ATAATATGGTGGGAGGAGTCATTTGGTTGGTTTTGAGTGAAATCCAATGGCTAAAACTATGCAATACACCAACTACTCCATTTCAGAACGAACTTGTACGAACCTGAATTGTCCAATTTCTTGGACCAATCGATATCGGATTGAGCCCAAAACTTGGGAAACAACATAATATGGTGGGAGGAGTCATTTTGGTTTTGAGTGAAATCCAATCTATAAAACAATAGCGACACACCAACCAATCCATTTCAGAACGACAATTGTACGAACCTGAATTGTCCAATTTCTTGGACCAATCGATATTGGATTGGGCCCAAAACTTGGGCAACATCATAATATGGTGGGAGGAGTCATTTGGTGGGTTTTGAGTGAAATCCAATCTCTAAACTATGCAATACAACAACCACTCCATTTATAGTACGAACCTGAATTGTCCAATTTGTTGAACCAATCGATATCAAATTGAGCCCAAAACTTGGGGAATGTCATCATACGGTGGGAGGAGTCATTTGGTGAGTTTCGAGTGAAATCCAATTGCTAAAACTATGCAATGCGCCAACACTCCACTATAGAACGAAATCGTAAAACCTGAATTTTCAATTTCATGGACCAATCGATATGGGATTAAGGCCAAAACTTGGGGAACTTCATATATGGTGGGACAGTCATTTAGTGAGTTTCGAGTGAAATCCAATCTCTAAAACTATGCAATACACCAACCACTCCATTTACGGAACGAACTTCGTACAAACTGAATTGTCCAATTTCATTGGCCAATCGATATCAGATTGAGCCCAAAACTTGGGCAACATCATAATATGGTGGGAGGAGTCATTTGGTGGTTTTGAGTGAAATCCAATCGTAAAACTATGCAATACACCAACCACTCCATTTACAGAACGAACTTCGAACGAACTTGAATTGTCCAATTCCTTTGGTCAATTGATATCGGATTGAGCCCAAAACTTGGGCAACATCATAATATGGTGGGAGGAGTCATTTGGTGGTTTGAAGTGAAATCCAATCTCTAAAACTATGGAATACACCAACACCACCATTTCAGAACGAACTTCGTACGAACCTGAATTGTCCAATTTCTTGGACCAATCGATATTGAATTGTGCCCAAAACTTGGGGAACAACATAATATGGTGGGAGGAGTGAATTGGTGGGTTTTGAGTGAAATCCAATTGCTAAAACTATGCAATACACCAACCACTCCATTTTACGGAAATAACTTCATACGAACTTGAATTGTCCAATTTCTTGGACCAATCGATATCGGATTGAGTCCAAAACTTTGGGCAACACATAATATGGTGGGATGACTTATTTGGTGGTTTTGAGTGAAACCCAATCCTAAAACTATGCAATACACCAACCACTCCACTTACGAAACGAACTTCGTACGAACTTGAAGTGTCCGAATTTCATTGGACCATTCCATATCGGATTGATCCAAAACTCGGTCAATATCATTATTTGTGGGAGGAGTGATTTGGTGGTTTTGAGTGAAATCCAATCGCTAAAACTATGCAATACACCAACCACTCCATTTACATAACGAAGTTCGTGCAAACTTGAAGTATGCAATTGCATTAGCCAATCGATATCGAATTGAGCCCAAAACTTGGTCAACATCGTAATATGGTGAGAGGAGTCATTTGGTGAGTTTGAGTGAAATCCAATTGCTAAAACTATGCAATACCCCAACCACTCAATTTACTGAACGAACTTCGTGCGAACTTGAAGTGTCAATTTCATTGGCCACTCAATATCGGATTGAGCCCAAAACTTGGGTCAACAACAGAATATGGTGGGAGGAGTCGTTTTGTGATTTTTGAGTAAAATCCAATCGCTAAAACTATGCAATACTCAACCATTCCATTTACAGAACGAACTTCGAATGAACTTGAATTGTCCAATTTGTTGGTTCAATCGAGATCGGATTGAGCCCAGAAACTTGGGCAACACATAATATGGTGGGAGAGTCATTTGGTGAGTTTTAAGTGAAATCTAATCGCTAAAACTATGCAATACACCAACCACTCCATTTACGGAAAGAACTTCCTACGAACTTGAATTGTCCAATTTCTTAGTTCAATTGATATCGGATGAGACCAAAACTTGATCAACATCGTAATATGGTGGGAGGAGTCATTTGGTGAGTTTTGAGTGAAATCCAATCGCTAAAACTATGCAATACACCAACCACTCTATTTACGGAACGAACTTTGACGAACTTGAATTGTCCAATTTCTTGGTAAATCGAGATAGGATTGAGCCCAAAACTTGGTCAACATCGTAATACGTGGGAGGAGTCATTTGGTGGTTTTGAGTGAAATCCAATCAGTAAAACTATGTATATACCAACCACTCCATTTGAGAACGAACTTCGTACGAACTTGAATTGTCCAATTTCTTTGGCCAATTGATATCGGATTGAGCCCAAAACTTGGGGAACATCATAATATGGTGGGAGGAGTTAATTGGGGTGTTTTGAGTGAAATCCAATCACTAAAACTATGCAATACACCAACCACTCCATTTACAGACGAAACTTCGTGTGAACCTGAATTGTCCAATTTCTTGGACCAATCGATATCGGATTGAGCCCAAAACTTGGGGAACATCATAATATAGGTGGGAGGAGTCATTTGGTGGGTTTTGAGTGAAATACAATGGCTAAAACTATGCAATACACCAATCACTCCATTTACTAACAAACATCGAACTAACTTGAATTGTCCAATTTATTGGACCAATCAATATCGGATTGAGCCCAAAACTTGGGAAACATCATAATGGTGGGAGGAGTCATTTGGTGTGTTTTGAGTGAAATCCGATGGCTAAAACTATGCAATACACCAACCACTCCATTTCAGAACGAACTTCGTACCAACTTAATTGTCCAATTTCTGGACCAATCGATATCGGATTGAGCCCAAACTTGGGGAACATAATTATATGGTGGGAGGAGTCATTTGGTGTGTTTTGAGTGAAATCCAATGTAAAACTATGCAATACACCAACCACTCCATTTCAGAGTACGAACCCTGAATTGTCCAATTTCTTGGACCAATCGATATCGGATTGAGTCCAAAACTTGGGGAACATCATAATATGGTGGGAGGAGTCATTTGGTGTTTTGAGTGAAATCCAATGTATAAAACTATGCAATACACCAACCACTCCATTTCGAAGCAAACTTCGTACGAACCTGAATCGTCCAATTTTCAGGGCCAATCGATATCGGATTGAGTCCAAAACTTGGGGAACATCATAATATGGTGGGAGGAGTCATTTGGTGTGTTTTGAGTGAAATCCAATGGATAAAACTATGCAATACACCAACCACTCCATTTCAGAGCGAACTTCGTACGAACCTGAATCGTCCAATTTCGGACCAATCGATATCGGATTGAGTCCAAAACTTGTGGGAACATCATAATATGGTGGGAGGAGTCATTTGGTGTGTTTTGAGTGAAATCCAATGGATAAAACTATGCAATACACCAACCACTCCATTTCAGAACGAACTTCGTACGAACCTGAATCGTCCAATTTCATGGACCAATCGATATCGGATTGAGTCCAAAACTTGGGGAACATCATAATATGGTGGGAGGAGTCATTTGGTGTGTTTTGAGTGAAATCCAATGATAAAACTATGCAATACACCAACCACTCCATTTCAAACGAACTTCGTACGAACCTGAATCGTCCAATTCTTGGACCAATCGATATCGGATTGAGCCCAAAACTTGGGAACATCATATATGGTGGGAGGAGTCATTTGGTGTGTTTTGAGTGAAATCCAATGGATAAAACTATGCAATACACCAACCACTCCATTTCAGAACGAACTTCGTACAAACTGAATTGTCCAATTTCTGGACCAATCGATATCGGATTGAGTCCAAAACTTGGGGAACATCATAATATGGTGGGAGGAGTCATTTGGTGTGTTTTGAGTGAAATCCAATGGCTAAAACTATGCAATACACCAACCACTCCATTTAGAAGAACTTCGTACGAACCTGAATTGTCCAATTTCAGGGACCAATCGATATCGGATTGAGTCCAAAACTTGGGGAACATCATAATATGGTGGGAGGAGTCATTTGGTGTGTTTTGAGTGAAATCCAATGTCTAAAACTATGCAATACACCAACCACTCCATTTCAGAACGAACTTCGTACGAACCTGAATTGTCCAATTTCGGACCAATCGATATCGGATTGAGTCCAAAACTTGGGGAACATCATACATGGTGGGAGGAGTCATTTGGTGTGTTTTGAGTGAAATCCAATGGCTAAAACTATGCAATACACCAACCACTCCATTTCAGAACGAACTTCGTACGAACCTGAATTGTCCAATTTCATGGACCAATCGATATCGGATTGAGTCCAAAACTTGGGGAACATCATAATATGGTGGGAGGAGTCATTTGGTGTGTTTTGAGTGAAATCCAATTGCCAAAACTATGCAATACACCAACACCACCATTTCAGAACGAAACTTCGTACGAACCTGAATTGTCCAATTTCATGGACCAATCGATATCGGATTGAGTCCAAAACTTGGGGAACATCATAATTGTGGGAGGAGTCATTTGGTGGTTTTGAGTGAAATCCAATGGCTAAAACTATGCAATACACCAACCATTCCAATTCGGAAAGAACTTCGTACGAACCTGAATTGTCCAATTTCTTGGACCAATAATATCGGATTTAGTCCAAACCTTGGGGAACAGCATAATATGAATATAGAAAATAAGAAATACATAGATAGGATAAAGAGAAGAGAAGAACTAGCTGGCAGCAATGTAGTTCCCAGGACTACTCCAAGCTCTCTTCTTTCTTTGTGGTGAATTTGAATGTGTGTATGAGAGTAATGGATGAAGTGAATGTGTGTGTCTGCCCTCTTGAATGAGTGTGCGCTCTCTATTTATAGAGTGCAATTTCGTCCTCCCTTTTGGCTGGTGAAGCACACCTCTCTTAGCTACTCCCCACTGCCTCAACTGCCCAACGCTCCAGCTGGCCATACATGCCAACTGATCCAGCTGTTTTGTTCATCTTTCTGAGTTCCCTGGTTGATTTGTCTCCCATGTGCGGCTGCTCTAATGTGACAGCACATGGCTCTAAGGATGTAGCCACCTTAAATGTGATGGCAGCCAACATGACTTTTTTGTGAACTGGTTCAGTCTTTGACATGTTGAGGGCTCCAGATTTATCTAATTGGGCTAACATTTGGATATGTTATAATAGACACCAATTGGAACAACTTCTATCAAGGATGTCTCCTCATCCGACCTGTGTAAGTTGCTGAAAATGAGGCCTGCAAGATGACTACAAACTGGACTGACAAGGAGTGTGGCCCAAATTGGGTTTGTCTTTAAGCTCATATTCCTCTTATCCCAATCAGCCCTTAACAAGCAGGATTGCATCAATTGTGATCTCTTGCAGTCTTAACCTACAAAACAATCAAAAAGAGGTAAGTGACTCAAAATAAAGACAAACTAAGCAAAGTCACTAAGTAAAGAAGGCATGGGAATGTATGAAATTATGAACTTATCACAATACGCCAATCACCAACCACTCCATTTCAGACGAACTTCGTACGAACCTGATATCCGATTTCTTGGACCAATCGATATCGGATTGAGCCCAAAACTTGGGGAACAACATAATATGGTGGGAGGAGTCATTTGGTTGGTTTTGAGTGAAATCCAATGGCTAAAATTATGCAATACACCAAACACTCCCATTTCAGAACGAACTTCTACGAACCTAAATAGTTCAGTTTTCTTGGACCAATCGATATCGGATTGAGTCCAACACTTGGGGAACAACATAATATGGTGGGGAGGAGTCATTTGGTTGGTTTTGAGTGAAATCCAATGTCTAAAACTATGCAATACACCAACCACTCCATTTCAGAACGAACTTTGCTACGAACCTGAATAGTCCGATTTCGTGGACCAATCGATATCGGATTGAGTCCAAAACTTGGGGAACAACATAATTTGTGGGAGGAGTCATTTGGTGGTTTTGGAGTGAAATCAATGGCTAAAACTATGCAATATACCACCACCTTAGAACGAACTTGCTACGAACCTGAATAGTCCAATTTCTTGGACCAATCGATATCGGATTGAGTCCAAAACTTGGGGAACAACACAATATGGTGGGAGGAGTCATTTGGTGGTTTTGAGTGAAATCCAATGGCTAAAACTATGCAATACACCAACCCACTCCATTTAAAACGAAATCTACGAACCTGAATAGTCCGATTTCTTGGACCAATCGATATCGGATTGAGTCCAAAACTTGGGGAACAACATAATATGGTGGGAGGAGTCATTTGGTGGGTTTAGAGTGAAATCCAATGTCTAAAACCATGCAATACACCAACCACTCCATTTTAGAACGAACTTCGTACGAACCTGAATTGTCCAATTTCATGGACCAATCGATATCGATTGAGTCCAAAACTTGGGGAACATCATAATATGGTGGAAGGGGTCATTTGGTGGTTTGTGAGTGAAATCCAATCTAAAAACTATGCAATACCAACCACTCCATTTCAGAACTTCGTACGAACCTGAATTGTCCAATTTCTAGGACCAATCGATATCGGATTGAGTCCAAAATTTGGGGAACATCATAATATGGGGGAGGAGTCATTTGGTGGGTTTGAGTGAAATCCAATGGCTCAAAAACTATGCAAATACCAACCACTCCATTTCAGAACGAACTTCTTACGAACCTAAATTGTCCAATCGGAACCATCGATATCGGATTGGTCCAAAACTTGGGGAACATCATAATATGGTGGGAGGAGTCATTTGGTGTGTTTTGAGTGAAATCCAATGGATCTAAAACTATGCATATACCAACCACTCCATTTCAGAACGAACTTCGTACGAACCTGAATTGTCCAATTCGGACCAATCGATATCGGATTTGGTCCAAAACTTGGGGAACATCATAATATGGTGGAGGAGTCATTTGGTGATTTTTGAGTGAAATCCAATGCACTAAAACTATTGCAATACAACAACCATTCATCACATAATGAACTTCTACGAACCTGAATTGTCCAATTCTTTAGACTACCTCGATATCGGATTGGGCCTAAAACTTGGGAACATCATAATATGGTGGGAGGAGTCATTTGGTGGGTTTTGAGTGAAATCTAGTCCCAGAACCTGCAATAACACTTATCACTCCCATTCAGAACGAACTTCGGACGAACCTTAATTGCAACCTATCGATAAGCCCCAACTTGGGGCAACATCATAATATGGTGGGAGGAGTCATTTGGTGCGTTTTGAGTGAAATCAAATTCTAGAACCCGCACTACACAATCACTCCATTTCATAATGACCTTTGACGAACTTTTTTTTTTTTTTTTTTTTTTTTTTTTTTTTTTTTTTTTTTTTTTTTTTTTTTTTTTTTTTTTTTTTTTTTTTTTTTTTTTTTTTTTTTTTTTTTTTTTTTTTTTTTTTTTTTTTTTTTTTTTTTTTTTTTTTTTTTTTTTTTTTTTTTTTTTTTTTTTTTTTTTTTTTTTTTTTTTTTTTTTTTTTTTTTTTTTTTTTTTTTTTTTTTTTTTTTTTTTTTTTTTTTTTTTTTTTTTTTTTTTTTTTTTTTTTTTTTTTTTTTTTTTTTTTTTTTTTTTTTTTTTTTTTTTTTTTTTTTTTTTTTTTTTTTTTTTTTTTTTTTTTTTTTTTTTTTTTTTTTTTTTTTTTTTTTTTTTTTTTTTTTTTTTTTTTTTTTTTTTTTTTTTAAAAGTCGCCAAGAAGTATTTAATGCACGAGGGAAGAAGGAAAGTGACTGAAGTCAGGATTTGGTTATGGAAATCAGAGTGGTTAGGCGCAAGCATTCTCACAAGTATTCTTACAACTTGAGGTCAGATCACCAACCACCAGACTAGGGCATTAAATGCGTTCCCACGGCCAAGGGGGCAGAACCCACGATCAGGACGGTGGTCGAGATTTACCCGGATTTATGGGGGTTACACCACCATGCTTCACGATCCCAAATGCCGATTTGACTACCCACTTACCCCGATCAGACTCCACCACGCAGATCTTTTCAGCCTCGATTGTCCCTCCAGGACTCCCCTTATAAATACTAAGCTCAAGACTACATGCAAAGGGTTCAAACACCAAACCAAAAGCCTCCCACGGAGCAAATTATATTTTCCTGTAATACACTTTCAATACCTTTATTTGCTTTCCTAGGAGTAGTAGTAGATTGTAAGGAAAATCCATTCATCAATATATCATACGACCGTTGATTTTCAAGGCACCGGAGCACCATCTCTGTTATCATCTCATTCACCCAATATACCATACGACCGTCGCTCTCTGAGCAACGCGCCGAAGCACCGCCTAAAACCAGCCACCAACACCACCACTAAACGGCATTGTAGCTCAGGCCGTGAACCTAACGGCCGAGATCAGTTCCTCTCTCGGCCACAATTGTTTGATTAGGAGTCGAACTCAAAACAGGCGCATTATTTAACCATCTTCTACCCAAACCTCATCACCATCTCGACGCACGGTAGACCGTGCTGGCACGCCCGCGCACAACCGCACCGCATCCAAAAGAAGGACGTCACGTGTTAACGCACATCCCCTCGGCCCGGAGCACCAAGTCGTGAGATTTGCGCAGCCAACAGTGTCTTATAAGAAATTCTTTCTTATCTGCAAGACCATATTAATATATATATGTACATTACTTGGATAGTAAGTACATAAGCCGCTAGTACACCATCCAATAGGAAATGAGTTGTAGCTAACCTATCCTTTGTATATATAGAAGTCATTAGTTGCACAGCAAAGGAACAAAGAAAGCGACAAAGAAAAAGAGTTAGAGAGAAGTAGAATTGTTAAGAAAAAGAGTGGGAAACTGAGTTTGTGAATGCAGTGAAAAATTGGAAAACACCTTACATTTCTAGCAAAGGCTTTGATGTCAAGGTACGGGGGTTTCTTGGGGGGTCATTTACGGAGCTTAATTTAATTAAATTTCTTGAGCACTATATTATGCGTGATATTATAATTTGATTGATGTTCTTGATATTATATAATGTTCTTCATGTTGGGTGTTTACGTATTGTTAACTATTTGAACAATGTTGGCATAATTATATATACATTGGTGATGTTTTAAATGGTTACATAGTTGTGCGATATATAGGATACGTGAAAGGTATAATTATATCATGTCATCGAAATTGGATGGAATTGTTGGATTGAGAAAATAATGATGGAAAAGAGGGTAGTAGAAATAATCTTTTGTGTAGTTGAGTCTAACTCTTGGTAGGTACCAGATCTCATGGATCTCACCGTGCACATGGTTATTATTGAATGATGCGGAATTGGCAACAAAGAGTTAGACAAGATGACTAATGAAAGGGGAAATTATGGGATGTTTGAGATGGGTGTTAGTTCATGGCACTCAAGACCAAGTGGTATAAGCATGGTATGGGACATGTAGGTCTGCTTATCCAGTTATATTAATTAACTAGAGTAGGTGAAGAGCATTCACGCATTATTGTTAATAATGTGATATTTGGCTGTGTGATTGATGTCACTTAATTAAGTAATATCGATTTACCGTGAAAATGTTTATATTCGTACTAGGTTATGGTTTTGCTCACCCCCTAACAAAATTTTCAGGCACTGAACCTGAAATCTAGGACTTATGATGATTTTGGCATGTCTATAGAGTGTATTGTGTGCATAGTTTGTGGTTGAATAATGAGAGACTCTTTTAGTGAACTCACGTACCTTCATGGTTTTCATCGTTTCAGGAAAATATTTCTCCAGGAATATTGTCTTTAAGGCAACCCATGTTGCAATCTCAACATCAGGCATAGCCAAAATAGATTCCCATCAATGATAAGCTTGTCCTTCCAAATAGGTAGAAGCGATGGTCACTTTTAGGTTTCTAGGAACTCTTTGTTCATTCATCTTTCTCTTCACTTGTCTTAACCATTCTTCTGTTGCCATAGGGTTTGGATCACCCTTGAAGACAAGTGGCCAAGTATTTCGAAATTCTTCTTGAACTCTCATTATTTGATCATCTTGAGTTTCTTGATGCAGTTCATGATTATGTTGATTTGTTTCACGAATAGCATAAGCCATATCTTGAATGGCTAACATTATTCTCATATTATCACTCACATCATTCTCACTTTGTCATTCTACTCTAGCCATCTTAACAATTGAACATTTACCTAATAATTTTACAAAATTAATATATATATATATTATCTAAAAATTACATAAAGCAATATTAAACATTTATAAATTACACTAAAAAAACATGATAGAAAATCAAACATGCGTATTAAACATTTATAAGTTGTTACAAACCTATTTCACAAAATTTAACAAAACAGTCACAAACCTATGTTACAAGGAACTCCCTATTCCAAGACCTCCATAAGGTTGCCCACAAAAACTATATAAATCTACCATACCAAAATCAGTCTGTTAGGTTCACACTATCCATTTTATTAGTCAAACTTTTGAGAGAACCTATTCATCATCAGAACTAATATCTATAATTTCAAGAGGAGGGATAACAGGCTCAGGATATTCATTCTCATCATCAGAATTCAGGTTGATGACAGTTGGATTAAATTTTGTATTTGCGGTTCAATGATAACCATTGAAGTAGCATAAGCAATAGACTCAGTAGACAGAGCATCAAAGTCCAGAAGTTCCAAATATGCTTCATCTTCTGGGTCTAGGACATGGGGTAACTCTAACCCCTGTGGTTTTGGAACATAAGGTAAGTTTATCCCTGGTGGTGACCAAATATCAACAACTATAATCGCAGCATCTTGCAACAGCTGGTCATAAGAGTGTGCTTCAATATTTAATTGGTATTGACTCCTAACATTGTTGGCCTGCAACTGATGTCTAACAACCATTCTATGCATCTATGATGTATATAACATCCTCCTATATCCTGTATCAACAACTTCATTAATTATGTCCAAATAAGCCTGGTTGTATAGAAGGTTGTGGTATACTTCTTCGTCTACTAGGATGAAGCTATCGAGTCCCATTAGGAACCCTCCCCATGTGTCATCATTGTGATCAAGTTGCATTCTAAACATTAATTTAATGGGCCAGTAAATAACAAAACAATTTAATGAAGGTGTGAATTAATAGGTCAGTAAATAACAAAACAATTTAATGAAGGTATGAATCACGTCTTAATCCAAGATTTCATAAATCCGTGGGTTGGGGTGTGACAAGTTGGTATCAGAGCAAGGTTTACGGTTTCATTAACTTTTTTTGTTATTTACTGACTTGTTAAATTAATGTTTAGGATGCAACCCGATCACAATGATGACACACGGGGAGGGTTCTAAATGGGACTCAATGGCCTCATCCCAGTAGATGAAGAAGTATACCACAGCCGTCTACGCAACCATGTTTATTTGGACATAGTTAATGAAGTTGTTGACACATGATATAGGAGGATGTCATATACACCAAAGATGCAGAGAATGATGTTAGACATCGGGTGCGGGCCAACAATGTTAGGAGTCAATACCAATTAAATATTGAAGCACACTTTTACGACCAAGTGTTGCAAGATGATGCAATTATAGCTGTTGATATTTGGCCACCATCAGGGATAGACTTACTTTATGTTCCAAAACCACAAGGGTTAGAGTTACCCCATGTCCCAGACTTAGAAGATGAAGCATATTTGGAACTCATGGACCTTGATGCTCTGTCTGTTGAGTTTGTTGAGTCTGCTGCCTCAGTGGTTATCACTGGACCACAAATAGAAAAGTCCAATCCAACTGTCATCAACCTGAGTTCTGATGATGAGAATGAATATCCTGAGCATGTTATCCCTCATCTTGAAATTATAGATATTAGTTCTGATGATGAATAGGTTCTCTTAAAAGTTTGACTAATAAAATAGATAGTGTGAACCTAACAGACTGATTTTAGTATGGTGGATTTATATAGTTTTTGTGGGCAGCCTTATGGAGGTCTTGGAGTGGGGAGTTCTTTGTAACATAGGTTTGTGATTGTTTTTTATAATACAAGTAATAGTCTAAATTACAAGTGGGATGGGTGTTTTTCACACACACACACACACACACACATACTACTAATGTGTCATGGAGATTTGAACCTGAGACCACTAGTTTGCAAGTTAAGACCGTTTTCCATTGGGCTAGACCCCATTAGCATGCATTGGTAACTTTTAAGTTAACTCCAAAATTAATTAGGTTGAAAAATATTAGTACATGTATCAATAGTAATTAAAATATGATGAAGTTGCATATGACACCTCATTTGAGACCTAAATTTGGTGTCCTTAGTATTATCGGAGGGACATTGCTTCTTTACTCACAAATCACAGCCTCACACATGAAAAAGTAACTCAGTAAAATTATAAAAAGAAAAGTTTATGCACATGTCAAATTGTGATTTGCCTCATAAGAGGAACGACTCCTTATGTGTATGAAGCCAAATATTTTTCTTATTGGAAAGGTGGTTGGCACAATTCCCCAAAAAAATTTATGTTAATACAAGCAATATTGTTGGAGCATGGATTCAAACACAAAACCTTGGGCGCAAGGGTAACTACTCTTACATCATTTAGGAGTGCTATAAGCTTTATGATAGCTAAAAATGCGTCTGATACAATTTGGTAGAAAATGTTATGTGCTTCTTCATGACGTACTCTCAAGTGTTTTTTTAGGAGGCACTTGGATTTCTTATGATAATTTCAACATCTTAATAAGAAAAGCGTTTTTTCAAGAAGCGCTTGTAAGTATAAGTGATTCCTAGAGAAGCAGTCTCAAATGAGCCTAAGGGCCTATTTGGGAGTGCTTTTGAAAGGGCCAAAAACGCTTTCTGATAACTAAAAACGTTTCTGACAGCGTTTGACAGAAAAGTTTAGAAGCGTTTCTTGGTCATAGAAGCACTTCCTGGAGAAGCACATGCTATGTGCTTCTTCAGGAAGCACTCCCAAGTGCTTTTCCACGAAGGACTTTAATTTTTTTTCTATTTATGAAAATTCAATATTTTATAATAAAAGTGCTTTTGTTAGAAGCGCTTATGAGAAAAAATACTTTCTAAGGAAGTAGTCCCAAACAAGCCATAACCATTTGATGTACAGAAGCTTTTAATCATTTGATTCAAAATACATCAAATGGTTTTAATCATTTGATTCAAAATAATGCTTTTTAAAAGGAGTGTTGTGTTTTCTATCACATCACATGTACGAATGATTTTTATACTTAAGGTACTTTACTATCCCAATTATACCATTTAAATGCTAGGTCTTGATACCAAATTCGAGATAAGGTCTTGCCAAGTAGCCAGGTGACTAGTATATCAACTAGATATCAAGCCAACTACATGAAGGCTAACTAACAAGGTCACACAGTGCCCATAAATTATCTTGCAAATCATCTAACTATAAAAAAAATTCCCATAGAAAGAATGATCGTTTCTCTATCAAAATAATAATATACGGTATAAAAGTGTTTCCATGTTTTGAACTAGAAGTCTACTAAACAAACATAAGAATAAAATATGAAAGAAAACTAGAAATGTTTTGAATGAAAATGAGAACTCAAGGTGATACTGACCCAAAAGCAAGAAGGCCCAACCTTAAGCCATAGGCCGGATTTCTTTTATCTTTTCGGAGGATCCAATTTGGTTTTTTTTTCTTTTCTCAAATTGAACTCCCAAATGGAGAAAATGAAGAGCTGGCTTCCAATTTTTTTGCTCACTTTCCATCCACCAACCGACCTAAACCCTAAACCTAGAGTCTAAAAACAATGCCTGAATTTCCGTAGGAGGAAAGATGCATGTTGCTTTTTTTTGAAGGCCCTCCCTTTTCAATTGCCAAGTAAACTTGCACTTCCTTTATGTTTTGATACTTTTCTTTTTCTTTGCATAAAACGAATTGGAAAGAAACTAAATAATTGCTTGAGATGTCAGGACGCAAAATAATGCAGTGCAGCTGTTTTTTGGAAGTCGTGCAATGTGCCTCTCTAATAATTCATGTCATATTGAACAGTAAATAACAAATGTTGATCTGATCACTATCGGGGGCCACCACATGCTCAATGTCCTTTATACTCAAAAACTTTTTCCCACATAAAAAAAAACACAAAATGCGCCACAACACTCCAATTGGTTGCAAGACACATAATATATTGATCTGCTTGATTTTGTGAACCAAATTACAAAAAGCTCACACAGATAACAAAATCGAAAGCAATCTAATTCTATTTTTGCTGACCTAATAATCTCCTAGGTGTAAAATTGTCATGTAACCTAAAAAAAAACAACGAAGGGACAAAGCTTAAGCTAACCCATTACCCATGAAAATGCAATGAGCAGAAGACTGGTCATGAGATGCCAAATCCATAGCTGAGAAATCTGATTGCTGCCGTTGAGATCTTCACTGGACCCCATTCCATACGCTGTTGATGGACTTGAAAGGCTTGCATTGCTCGATGACAAGCTGTGCATCATAAAAACACCAATAATGTTGTGCAAAATCTTGGGTGACAAAAAGCTAAGAAAGATGAACAAGATTTGAAATGAAGCACTACTCTTACTCTATGCTTAAACAATTACCCAAATGGGCCAAACTCAGTTTTCAAAATTGAAAAATTATCGAGGGGTTATAACTTATAACGAGGCGATCCTTCATAGTCATCCGATCAATCACAGAGCTATTATTGAACGACCAAATTAAAACCCCTCACCATAACCCCTCATTGGAAAGCTCCCTAAAAAGTACAAGTAAAGAAATTGCAATGGGTTACCTGGATGGGAATTTGCACTTATTATAACCTGAAATTGGAAAAATAAGAAACAAGTTATTTAATCCAAATTAGATCTAAATATCTAAACCCACCAAAAACCCATCTGTGATCTAACTTCTTAATCTCCAATTAAACCATAAACCCAGAAAGAAAATTCAACAAAAGAAAATAAAAAAGAGAACACTTACTGGGGTTCAAAGAAGTGAGAGCGGCAGTGTTATCAAAGTTGCAGCTTTCGTCGGTCATGCCGTGTTTTAGAAAGTAGTCGTTGAAGGCGTAGGAGGCGGTGTTTTGGATGTCGGTGGGGTCGTAGCAGGGCCCACCTTGCAGGATTGGGCTGCAGTCGGCCCCACCGGCTCCGCAGGCCCAGTCCAGCGCCGACTGCAGCTGGGCGTCCTCGGCGTTGTTCTTCGCCACGCACCACAGCTCCATGGTAACGACGCCGTTCTTGGCCATGGAGGGCGGGATCAAGTTGCAGAGGGAGAGTGAGAGGAGGAGGCAGAAAGCTAAGCCTTTGTGCATTTTGGGAGGAGAGAGAGAGAGAGAGAGCAGCTGAGGGTAGAGTTAATTTACAAGGTGAAATTGGCGTTGGGTTTTTCGAGAGACTCAGAAATAGAGAGAACGGAATATAGCCGTTTGGTTAATTTATTAATTGGGGAAGAGGGGAGGGGCTTATGGGGGAATGGAGGAAAAGTGACCGTTACTGTTGGGAACTTATGAGCAGAGAGTGAGACGGACAAGAAGAGAGAGTGAGAACACAACCAAACCGCCGGAGACTGCTGTTTATGTAATTGTCACCCAGTCACCCAGTCACCCAGTCAACCAGTCAACCAATACAAGTATTATTTATTTATTTTGTGTGTTGGTACAAACCAATACATATGTGTCCTGTAAGGTCTTTTCCAAATCATGAGAGGCTAAATCTAAATTTTTTCCGTTCAAAAACTAATTATTTAGGTTTTGCTCGGACTCAAATAATTTTTTCTCTCAATTCTCTACACTCAAATTTTAAGTCCGCAACTTTATTAAATTGTTTAAGAATGGTTTAAGTATAATTTTTTTTTAATGGAAAACTTTTCTTCATTTAATCTTTTTAAATAACGTCATAAATTTATTATTTTTTAAACAATTTGACCGGAAAAAAATTGAAATTCCATAAATATAATTTTATTCCAAAATAAAACACACAACATAAAAAAAAACACACAAAAGAAGGATTGAAACAATTGTCGACCTCATTCACCATCTCCAAAGCTCCTTCAATGGTGATTGATCAAATCATGTCGAAGACTCTGATGCACATGTGGAGATCGGACTCTATTATGATGAATCATGTAATCAAAGAGAGTCTGCCTATCTTGGTGGTACTCGAATATAATGCTTGGCTCCATTTCATATTGTCTTGCTCTAGCCCTCCTGGATCGTTGTGGACACATATCCTCATTATCAGATTCCTTTTCAACATATTCGTACTTATCATCCACAATCATGTTGTGCAAAATTATACACGTCATCGTGATTGAGTGGAGGTTATCCTTGCACCACATATGTGCAGGTCCTCGAACAATAGCCCATCAAGCATGTAGTATTTCAAATGCTCTTTCAACATCCTTCCTGTACACTTCTTGAATTTGTGCAAAAAACCTTTTCTTCGGGTTGTCAGGAGAAGAGATGGTCTTCATCAAAGTAGCACAACGGGGATAGATCCCATCTGCCAAATAGTAGCCCAAATGGTATTGATTTCCATTGACAATATATTCAACATGAGGAGCCACTCCATGTACCACATCACTGAACAATTGAGAATGAGCTAAAATGTTGATATCATTGTTGGATCTAGCGGCTCCAAAAAAGGAATGCCATATCCATGTGTCGTACGAGGCCACAGCCTCTAGCACAACAGTGTTTTTGTTTTTTTTTGTGACCGATATAAACTGGCCTGCCCAAGAAAGATAGGCAGTTCTTCCATTCCCAGTGCATGAAGTCAAGACTTCCTAACATGCTTGGGAAGCCTCGACTACTTGCCTTGTGCAATAGCTTGCAAATGTCAACTGGATTTGGAGACCTGAGGTACCATTGGCCATACACGGCTTCAACAATGCAACAAAACTTATGGAGTGATTCAAGAGTTGTGCTTTCACCCAATCTACAGTACTCGTCGATCACGTCAGTCGAGCATCCCCATGCGAGCATATGAAAGAGAGCTGTTAACTTTCACTTAGGGGATAGCCCTTGTTGACCGAGCTTGTCTTTTTTGTGGCGAAAGTATGGCTCGTGATTGACAACATCATTCAAGATGTAGTAAAACAACTCTTTCCGCATTCGGAACTGCCTACGAAAGTCCGTAGTATTTAAATGTGGCCTTTCAACGAAGTAGTTGGATATGAGATTGCGATGGCGATCTTCCCTCTTACAATTCTTGTACTCACGACCGACTACCGACCCACCATGTTTGGTGGCTTCATTCTCTAGTGAAGTGCGGTAGATAATGGCTTGTATTACTCTGATGATGTTCCTCATCATCTAAATCATCATCAAACATAAAGGAAAAGATGGCCTTGCCACGGTTATCCATTGAAAGCTTCAAATGATATGAAAAGTATGAGAATGAAGAAGATGATGTGCTTGAAATGATATCAAAAGTATGAGAATGAAAGGAGATTGATGAAATTGACAAAGAAAAATAAATTGAGAAATAGAAAAAAAGTTTTTGAAAGATTAATTGAGAAATGGGTGAGTATTTATAGAGTTTGGAGTGAGTTTTGGGGTTGGATCTGATTTGGATTAAATTAAAATATTATTTTAATCGTTGGATTTAAATTTCAGCCGTTGGATATTTTTTTTACCGTTAAAATAGCTTAGATTTAATCTAGATTGTTGATTTAAAGTTACTATTAGAATTTTTTTTATAAAAAAAAATGAAATTTGAATTGCAACTGCAACTTCAGCTGGAGTTGACACATGGCACCTGCTGTGTCAGTCCAGCAAATAAAGCCAGCAGCGCGAGCCCCAATCTCTTTTTTAAAGTTACTATTAGAATTTTTTTTTTTAAAGACATTTCAATTGCAATGACAACTTCAGCAGGAGCCAACACGTGGCATGTGCTGCGTCAGGCTGGGAGACAAAGCCACCAGCGTGGGCCCCAATGTATTTTTTGATGCACATGGGTTGTGGCATCTGTTGGTGGGCTCCACTGAATAGTTTTGGGTCCATGCAATACTTGGACTGGTATTTGGGCCTAAGTTTGGGTTTCCCCAAATTTTGGCCTTTTCATTTTCTTGGGTTGGGAGAGGTTTCGGGCAATAATTTGGGATATTTTGGGTTCAGCCTCTTGGGTTGGATATGGCCTAACAAAACTTCTGTTTTCATGATTTGTGAAGGCAGTATTGGATGTGTCAAATAGGTCGAGTCGACCAACACCTGACTGCATAAGTCCGATCCGTTTTGAATCATGTTGGACTTAGGAGGGTGTATTCAATTGAGATTTTAATGAATAGTTTTGAAGCTTAAAAATACAACGGTATTCAATTAGAATTTTTAAAGTAATCAATAAAATTATGGTGTTATTCAATTAAGATTTTTAAATAATTAATACAAGTTCAGTGATATTCAATAAGGACTTTTAAAATATAAGAAAAAGTAACGTGATATTAAAAAACTTATTGATTTTATTGTATTTCATTAAATGGTGTATTGTGCGTGACTTTTGAATTTTTTTTTAATTTTTTGTCATAAGAGATACTTCATAAACCCCAGACAGGGGAGCCAAAAGGAGAATATAAGATAAGCATACTGGGAGAGGAGCACATGCTAGACACACCTTATTGCAGGAAACCTAACCCAGCAAAACAAAATATTAAATAACAGAAGAAAAAGGGGGAAAGGGGGGGGGTGGGGTTGTGTGTGAAGCCCATCAGAGGTTAAAACACCCATAAGGGACGGTGATGGCTGATCCAGCCAGGTAACCCTATGCACCGCTCTTATACCAAACGAAGCTGCAGCGTGAGCTGCTAGATTCTTTTTGCGAGGGATCCAACTCAACTCGACTACGTCAAACATAGCTTCCATACACCTAATTTCCAGAAGGATAGGAAGAATTTCCCAAGTGCAATTTTCATGCTTCCCATCAACACCAGCCTTTAGGACAAGGGAATCAGTCTCCATAATAACCTTACGGTAATTTGAGAGCAACGCCAACTTTAGCCCACCCAAAGCCGCTTATGCCTCAGCCAACAACACAAAATGACATATCATACTTTCCGCAGAACCACCGCATAACAGTCCTTCCTAGTCACGGATCATCACTCCAAGACTAGCACGTTTGGTGTCCTTTCTCCAAGTCGCATCAGAATTAACTTTAAACCAACCTCTCCTTGGAGGTGACCAACGAGCAGAGAGGTTATCCACACTTAACTGACATATGAAGTAGGGGCAACAGTTCTTTGAATCTCCATAAATTCCCTTGTCGAAGAGGAGGCAGACCTCAAAACAACAATAGGCTCCAGTTTAACTCCTTCAAAAATAAAACGACACTTGCTTTTCCAAATAGCACACAAGATAAAGCTTATATAGGTCAAGCACCAATTTTTATCTACTTTAGAAGAGAATTCCATTTGGGTCAAGATAAGAAACCACTGATCAAAAGTTCGAAAACTTTGGGGATTGATTCTATAATTTAACTCAGAGCCAAACCATATTGTTCGGACCCAAGGACACAAGAAAAACAAATGTTCATCCGATTCCTCCAATTCCTCACAGATAGAGCATAAAGGAGAAGCCCTAATTTTTCTTCTAAAAAGATTCAGACATGTAGCAAGAGAACGAGAGAGCTGTCTCCAAAGGAATAATTTAATTTTTGGCTAAGAAACCAAACTCCACAACTCTTTCCACACCACCTGATTGATGATATGAGGAGAGTGAGCACTAACTCCAAACAATTATGATATGAGAAGAGTGAGCACTAACTCTAGACAATTCAAAGCTTAGAGCATGAATGTGTGATATAAATACCAAATCACATAACAAATCTCACCCTCCTATACCTGATTCTCATATATGCTCTCGTACTTTTTTTTTTCCCCACTATTTTTTCATGCTTTCTACTGTACAAAAAAATAAAATAAAAAACTTTTCATAAGAGAGATGATAAAGAAACATTAACAAGAGAGAATATATTGCCTCTTCTGGAGTTAATGGCCATTTTCCAATGACTCTTCTTTCCTTGGACAAGCTTCTTTGGAGCAAAATTATCTTTTCAGTACTTTTTTCAAAATCTCCTGGTCTTTGGGGATGAAAAATATCAAAAGCACATATGTTAAGAAGTCATCAAATAACATTAATTTTTCAAAATCTGAACTCATGAACAGTTTTAAAATCTGAACCGATGAAACAAACAGTTGTCAAAGTGATTTTTCAAGAATAGCTGGTGTAAAGGCATAACTACTTGGGTGGCACTTCTGACCACTTCACATATTCGTGATGATTTTCTATCTACATTCTTGATTCACCTCTGACTTGCTCTCATGCCACAATCATGATATTTCCTTGTATATATTGTAATGGTATATGCCCTCAGGTTATGCATTTAGGTGAATGATGCTGGGTGATAGAGTTCAAGCTTGTATAGAAATATAAGTAAAATTCTGTAATTACAAATTACAATATATTAAAATCATAAGTAAAATCCTAAGTGAATTAAAATCACAAGTAAAATCATATAATTGCAATCTATTAAAATCATAAGTAAAATTATATAATTACAAATCCGGCTGAAATCCATTACATTAGAATCATGTAATTACAATCTATTAAAATCTCAATTGAATAATGAAATCCAATGGGTTGTGTTGACCAAAAACCCAATATGGACCATACTTGGCCAAGTCCCTTTTTGGCCCAACACACTTAATATTAAAAATTAGGGGTTTTTTTTGGGAGGAAATTAGGGGATTTTTTTTTAATGAAGAAAAGTTTAGGGGGAGGGGAGGAGAGGAGGCTACCCCATCCCTCAACTTATATATTTTAATAATACACTAGGACTACTTATAAATTACGAACAATTGGCACTACATTTGGCAACATAATGCTCCATATTTCTCCTAATTCAACTTAGGTCGATAATAGCTTGGGTTGCCACATTTTTTTATTTTTTTAATCAGGAAAAATAGCTTAATTGATATTGGAAAAACCAAGTACAATCACCCAGAAAAATTGGAGACCTCATTAAAACCTTGCCTTAAAAACCCCCCAAATGAGGCAAATCCGGTATAAAAAAAAGAGTACCACATTACGCAATAACAAAAGCAAAAACCTACTCTCCCCTCCTATCTGACTCAAGTACATCCAAAAACCAAACTGGTGCATGATTCTCCCATATGAACCAAGTGTGCTCCTTAAGACCAAACTGAGCCAAAGAATGAGCCGATCGATCATTCCATCAAAAGCTGTACATCTTGAACAAGGTTACCAAATAGTGCCATTTAAGTAAATAACTGCCCCCTAAGAATCTAACCCAATAATAAGATTGTGAAAACCTTTCGCATAAAATAGTAGTAAGTCCTCCTATAATTCCGTTAATTTAGTTTCCAAAATGCCAAAACTCACCTCTCCACCACAAGCAAAACCCCAAACAAAATCGCCATGGATATCACCTATTCGTTAAAGTAACTAATTGCTTGGGTTGCCACTTATTTGTGAAATTCTATAGTGAGTGTGTCATATATGGACTTCTCATGTGGGCCTTCATATTAGCCACATGATCATTTCATTAAACTTAAGTGAAGTTACTATTCAAATGAATCATGTGACTAGGGTTATTTACTCAAATGATCCTCAAACTTATACCCGAGTTGCATTTTGGTCTCTCAATTAAATTATTCACTCAAATGGTTCATTAACTTTACATTATTCGGCAAATTGGTCTACCGTTACATTATGTCAATATTGTTGTTAAATATGAAGGCAAATTGGTCATTTAGTAAGTTAAAAATAAATAAATATTAAAAAATGAAATAAAAAGCTTTTAATCTCTCTCTCTCTCTCTCTCTCTCTCTCTCTCTTTGCAGGGTAGGTTGCGGTATGGAACAAATGATACATATACATACAGTTGGTTTTAGTGGGACAAACATGGTCAGTGAGTTAGATTTCTATGCACTTTAAGTACAACACCACCTCCCTCCCCCCCTTCCAAATGTTATATACGAAAGTTCCACATAATTCCCACCTAGGGGCACTTTTAGTACAACACCACCTCCCTCTTTCCAGATTTCTGTGCAGTATGTGTACTTCTACAAGGAGGGGAAACAGAAGGGGAGAGGGGTCTGTTGCTACGGGCGCAAATGTGAGAGAGAGAGAGAGAGAGAGAGAGAGAGAGAGAGAGAGAGGGAAAACAAAAGGGGGGGAGGTGTCTCTGGAGGAATGGGGGAGAAGAAATCAGGGGGATGGGGGGTGCTGGGTTTGGGTTTGACGATTTTTTTTCCTCTTTTCCTTCAATTTATTTATTTATTTTGTATTAATTTAAACCCAATTTTTATTTTTTAATTATGAAGAGTCATATTTACCCTAAAATTTGGTTTAATCTAACAGAAAATATGGTGGGACCAATTTGTAGAATAATAAAGAGTTGATGGACTATTTTAGCGAATAATTTAGTTAAGGGACCAAAATGCAACTTGGATATAAGTTTGAGGACTGTTTGAGTAAATAACCCTATTATCCTATGTGGCCAAGGATTAAAATACCAGCCGTGCAGAATATCAAGCCTCTAATTTACGGATGTTTAGGGGGATATATTGTTATCGTTTTAGGTATCAGGAAAAAATCAACAAAAATGACAAATATAGGCATTGAAACACATAATTTAATATTGAACAAATAAGGCTCAAAATTTACTAATAATAAGATATACATATGATGAAATATAAGTGGTATGTAATGTGTGTTAATGAAAAGTTTGAAAATAAAATATTGATTAGAATGAATAAACCATGCATAAATCCATAGTTTGTTTAAACATTGGATTACAATTTAGATAAGTGTCCATCTACATAAATGAAGAGCTCCTATGAAGTTCAAACAATGAGGAACAACCATCTAGATTCACACAATAGTCATACTAAGTCATGTAACCCGAGCAGTTTGTGAAGCCATGTTTGTACATGGTGCACATATGTCTCTCTTGAGCTCCCTACTGTCCTCCCATATATGGGATAGTTAGGATTAACCCAACTAGTATGTCCATAATCTATTTCATCATCTTGAGCTCCATAACTAGTTCCATTATAATCAGACATGACATAACCATAGCCATCATAGGATTCATTTGAGTTAGTACTAGGTCTAGTTCCTATGCTTATAGATCCAAAACTGATCGCCATGTCCTCTTCAGAGGGATTGATTAGTTGGATTCTTCTCCTTGAGTATTGCTTCCCAATTGCGCCAATGCATGGTCCAGTTTCTCTGCATTCATAATCCTCATCTTGGGTGGCATGAGTAAAATCACCCTCGATAGTAAATGGGCTATATTGTCTTCCTTCTTCATTACTTCTAATCCATCATTATTTCTTCCATCATTATCTGACGAATTGGATGAACTTTCCTTTCTACTAGTACTGGCATTGTCACTCAAGGGATGTCTTTGACCTTGCCGAGGTCCAAGCATATCCATTTCAAATGATGAAGTATCTCCACTCCTAACATCTTCGAATATGACTCTATCAACATAAAGTCCTTCTTGGGCAGCATGTTGTGCTATAACGGCATCAAGGTTGCCTTATTCATCATCCAAGTGAACTGTCATAATTCATTGTTGAATTGGATTATTATCATCATCAGATGGTTGCCCTACAATGTCAAGAAAGTCTATGTAGTCATTTTATGCAACCTTGTTCATTTCGGCCTCTTCATCACGTAGCTTAAGTTTCATATTATAATAGCAAAAGACAATTTTTTTCAACCTAGTATATGTGAGACGATTCCTTTGTTTCATGTGAATAAGAGCAAAATGTACTCCAATTTCGCTCACATGCTGATGATGACACTGTTTGTGACATTATATGCATAGCAATTTTTTCGCAAGTTCGGGGCAGAAATCACCATGAAGATTCCACCATTCTACACTGGGGGGGGGGGGGGGGGGGGATCAATTTCTTGATTTGACGGCCATCTCAGTGCAAAATGTCTTTCTACAATCTCTAAAATTTATCACCTGTATTCACAATGTTTTGTGTTCAGTATGCATAAAACTAAACTTAATGAGGAAGACATTGTTTCGTGTTCATTTACTTCGGCCCTAAATGTTTGCAAATCTCTATCCTCAGTTGAGTTTAACCTTTCAAATACGCGTTGGAGTCCTGAAAATAACTCTTTATTGTGGTCAACCCCTGTTTCATATTGATATCTATAGTTCAAGTAGTGGGCTACAAATATGAAGATTAGTTAATACCCGTTGAATAAATTTAAAAATCGATGCACTTTTTTACTAAGAGATTAAAACATACCAGCTTGATGTAATGGACAAGATAATGTGACATCCCATTTGTGATTGATGATTTTGAGAATCCATTTTTTTCCCTTCAATTTGTAAATATTCTCTTTCATTATGTGAAACGTATCATATAAGATAGGCACGATAGGAACTACCTCTGTGTCAACAATTCGCAAGATGCTATACAAAGGTTCATAGATGGATTGCACTCCTTCCATGGCATCCTAGAATCTATGATCAAGGACTCGACTTTCAATTCTCTTCCCATCTTCTAATTCATTGAATCGACTATTATACCATTCCTCACTTATAAAAAGTTGCCACAACCCAGCTTTTTTATTTAAGATGCTATTGATGGTGATGTAGTTTGTTGCAAACTGGATTGCACCGGGTCGGACCAAATCCCCTTGACAGAAGATCCTCATCTAGCCAACCATGATTGTAAATGTAGTTGGTTAATTTCCTAACCTTATTTATGACATTAGCCATCGACTCTTGCTTCCCAATATCTTCAAATATTTTATCTATGCAATGTGCAACACAATGAGTCCAATAAATAGGGTATCGCTCCATCATCATCTCTCCAGCCTTAACAAAGGCTAAACCATTGTCGGTGACAATATGAACAACATTCGACTGCCCAACCTCTTTTATGACATCCTTCAACAATTTGGCGATGTACTTTGCATCCTTAGTTTTATCTGAAGCACAAAAAAATACTTTTCCCGTTTGAATAGACCATGAAATTTATTGTGGACAACCTCATCGAGCCTATCCATCCATCACTCATGATGGTACATCCATACACGCCCCGATCTTCCTTTACCTTTTTCACATGGGCTGGCATGTCTGTGTGTTCCATAACTAAGTACTTATGCTTTATTCATACGGTGATGGTGCGACTATGCCTTGACCAAATATAATCGAACTCATATTAGCAATTGGTGTGTTTAGAATATTTAAGTTCAAGAAAGGGAAGTCATAAGGAATAAAGCGAAACCTGATTGTTGGACTGCAACAATCATGTTCTTGAAATAAGGGGAACTTACTTTTTGAGGACCCACATTCTCAAGTATGAAGAATTTGCTGCAGTATCCTCCAAGTACCTCTGCTGAGTTTTTAATCATGCCTTTGATTATTCTCTATTTTGCTTTAGTGTTCTTGTGTGGCATTGGTACCGAAGGAGATCGTAGTGGGTCTTGAAGGCTTTAAGTGCGACGATATTGCGGTTGACTACTACCACTTGCTCCCCCTGCAAATCGTTTGCTTCTCATTCCATGAACTCCTCCTTGTCTAAACTGTTCTTCTTGCTTCGACGCTCTAATGGCAGCAAGGTAATCTTCTTTCTCCGCAAGGTGCATGTCTAAAGGATATGCATATCCATCCTCATCATCATCATCATCATCAACATGATTTCTACTTTTATTGTCCATGTATCCCCCTCTTGCTATAGATCTTATGTTTTCTTCAACAGATTTCTTATGTTGTTTGCTAGACTCTTTATCCTTTTTCCATGCAATTACCTCCATCTTAATATCTTGTGGTACTTCTTTGCACTTCTTTACACTCTTATGTGGATCAAATCTGGCCAAATGATACTATGTCATGCTTATTGCCTTCTATTGGACGAGCATATTTCCATGCCACATCAAGACCACCAGGTACACTAGCTCCACTCGATCCACTACTACTTGCCATTTTTCATATCAAACTTAAATTTATTAAATTAACTTGCAATATCAAATCTATCACAAAAATAATACAGACCATGTGGGAGAGCCACATACCTGAAACAACAATCAAAGAGAACTTGCAAACAAGGAAAAAAGCTTACAAACTAAATAAAAATTGAAAAGCTAGTAGAGAAAGAAGAGAAGTGAAGATTTGGTGCCCCAAAAGAAGCAAAACAGCCTCTTGTGATAACAGTGGGAAGTTTTGGGGGTTGAGGGACAATGGTATATGGGCTTTGCATACTTCATTTTATGGATTTCAGTTGGATGATTCTCTGTCTTTGATGGAACTAAGGGTAGTAAGATTTTTTAGAAGTATATGGGCAGTGAATTGGATATTGCCAATTGCATGAATTCGATATTGCCAATTGACTATGCATAGACTCTTCATATTAATAATTAATGGATACTCCAAAAAATCTTCTGAATTGGATATTGCCAATTGCCTTCAAAATTATCTAATCACTGCCCACATACCTCCAATTCAGTGAATTGTGTTAGTATTTTGGGTTTCAATTTGCTTCAATTGCCTTCAAAACTTATGAATTTTTTTTGGGTTTTGTTATTGGTATCGAGAAATATCACACTTATCGGGGATATATCGTTGATACATGGAAAGATATGGCCTTACCCCCCAGGATCAGTGTCGACAGTTGAAAATACCAATATATCGGTGTATTGGCCGATATTTCAACCCTTGCATGTGGCTGATACAAAGGTCTACATCTATATCCCATATATTGCACCCTCATCATAGAACAACTCCCACTAATCTAGCCTTCAATGGGCCCAAATAACAATGATTTATCCCTATCTAAAACCACTAACAAAAAAGATACTCATATCAAACGATGTATTATGTCACAATTGACAAAAATGAAGACATATTTGAACCCACACAACGAAATCATGACTACAACACATGGTAGAAGCACAAAATTTCAAAACAAGTTTAACAAATTAATACTAGAATTCAATAGCAAAAGCATCTCAAACTTGTTGAATAAACTTTAAAAAATAAAATAAAAATAATTATTCATAATTATTTTACAATTCAAAAGTAGCAATAATAAGTTTCAAGTTGAACATACATTGTCCATAAAAAGAAGTTAAATATACACATAAAACACAAATCGGTGGCTGTATAGTAGCCTCTACCACTTTGAAAACATTAAAATGAAATTAAAACATTGAACATCGAACAAATCAAGCCAATACGAGCAAAATTCAACATATTTCAAATTTCAATTTCATATTAAACCAATATACTGTTAGGAAGTAATCATTAAGTAATTATATTATTTGATCACAATAATTTAATACAGTACATCAAATAATTATCAAAATAACATAATTAAAGTATAAATGCAGAAGAAAAATCGAATCTCTATAAAACTCGGGTGTCTTAAGTAAATTTATATGTGAATAGATATGAAATATAAGACATGGTATAACATTTATAACCATGAAATTAAGCTAATATGAAATTTAAAATTCAAAAGGGTAAAACTTTTGATGAAATTAAACCTGGGCTCTAGATACCACTTTAAGGGAAAACTAGTTCTATGCATTTCTCAAATACACAAATAGGATAATGAGCTATCTAACATGCATTTATACTAAATACAAAGAAGCGGAAGCAAAATAGAAATTTAGAAACTCATACAAATCCTTTTGAACCCTAAATATTTCTAGACTTATGAAATGTTGCACCGTAGACTCTCTAAAACAACTTTAAAAAGAGGGATTAGAGATGTTGTTACCCTTGGAGCGAATCTTGAACCCTAAGAAAGTGTTCAAGTAGAGTGCTTGATCTCTCCTTACTTGATACTCCACTATGGCTCACCAATAAGTATAATAGTCTCACCAAAACTTTTCACCAAGGATGGATGGAGACGAGAGAATGAGAACTTGGGAGAGGACAAGAGTGCTAGTTCTCGCGCTCCAAGTGGCCAGCCAAGGGGGACTTTGTTTGTGCAAATTTCCTCCCTTGGAATATTCGGAGAAAATCCTTGCTTCTCTTGAATGAACTCTTCCTTGAACCCTGCAAAACAATGATGGTCAATCGTAGAGTACCGGTGTGGTGTTGGCCAAGGGCCTTCCGATTGAAAGGACCCACCCCGAATTCCTCCTTGGAATCCATGACGAACCATCTCCCTAACTGACACCAGGCATGTGTCCGCCCAAATTATTAAAATACCCTTCTTGCCCTAATTCCAAAACAACTTTAGGGCTTGACTTCTACCGGAAAATTGACAGAGCCTTCCTTGAAATTGGCTCAAAACCCAAAAATCTACTTGCACAACAAACACAATTACTTCCCAAGCGTTCAACAAGCACAAGGTATAAACGACACTCCAATTAGCAAAAGTTTCAATGGGCTTCAGCCCCCCCTTTACCAACTTAAGAAAGTCAGCAAAATCATCTTTACATAACTAACATAACAAACAAATCATAAACTTGAGGCTACGCTTAGGTTAGCTTAGGTTGCCTACACACCCTTACTGAGGGATCAAGCCACACGTAATTCTTTCTACCATAAATCACAATTAAGATAATACAGAAATGTTCAAAGTAAAATCAACAATAAAATTATAAAACCATTCTTTACCTTGATTTCAACAAGCTATATGATTAAATGTCATTACATGTAAATAAGTACTGATCTGTTCAATTAGTTTATCATTGTACACCAAAACACACATGTACCCACACCTTTTACTTGAAAGCCATACTTGTGGCTGTTCGCATAGTGCATATGCCGTGCAATCACCAACTAAGGGGTATATGGAAATATTATTAAATCCGAAGGCAACCGGGGAAGGGGAAACTAGCCAACCACCTATGTAGACAAGTCGGGCAAGTGGTTGCGGATCCTGGCCAACCTTGTGAAGATAACATGAGCAAGGTGGCGAAGAATATCCTGTTAACTGTACAAAACATATCAAGACTGCACTGTTTTCCATATAGGGGTTACCCCAAACATAATCCGTCAATTCCATAAATAATCTATCAATTCCAAGTACTACACATGTGGAACGGTCTACTCCACATGTGTGGCACATCCTAGCAGAACTCAGGGACAAATGGTCAACCTGAGAACGTAATCCTAGCAGAACTCAGGGAGATATACTTAACCTGGGAACGAAAATCCTAGCAGAACTTAGGGGGATATACTTAACCTGAGAACGAAAAGCCTAGCAAAACTCAGGGAGATATACTTAACATGAGAAGGTAAATCCTAGTAGAACTCAAGGAGATATACTCAACATGAGAATGCAAATCCTAGCACCACACGGTTCGAGCGTCTTCGAGACTCGTGGGGCTATGTCATACGCATGTGGACTCATCCGAAGGCAACCAAGTTTTCCGAAGACAATCTGGAGACAACTGGATGTCCAAAGACAACTGTATGTTCGAAGACATTCCAAAGGCAACCGAGATGTCCAATGACATCAATATCTTTGAAGCCATCCGGGATGTCCAAAGAAATCAATATCTTCAAAGGCAACCATATTTCCAAAGGCTATCGGGATGTCCAGAGACATCAATATCTCCAAAGGCAACAGTATTTTCGAAGGTAACACAATCCAATTTAAAACCATTTAACACTTATATAAAAATAAACATAGATATATCATACTTGGAAAGTAAAAGCGATTGAATAGTAATTCCCAAATATTTAATAAAACTATCATAGCATAATACCATTTTAAAAACAAACAAACAAACAAACCACAAACACCTCCTAACCAAATGTTCTCGTTCGGACTGGAGAGGCCCACCATCTAGATGAATTAGGCATGCGAGGCCACCATCTCCGATTTTTGATAAAAAAAAGTTTTTATAGGTCCAACAAAGTCTACTAAACAACTGCCGAAAGTTTAGTCTTGATCGAGCAATCGGATCTAAGCCAATCGCACGATCGGACGACAATTGGTTCGCCTAACCCTAGAATTATTGATTGAGAGTATCTGGGACTCCAATTCTCGATTCGTAAGTTCCTACACGATTCTAGAGGTATAGAGAACAACATAATTGAAATTGGAACCAATTGAACATCCGAACTTATCGAACCCGGATATCGCATAATAGGTGCAATATCCTTTCGAATGTCAAAGGTAACCAAATTCAAATCCGATCATATCGTGGTGCTCAAGAAAACGAATAAATAATTTTAGGTCGAAAACAAGTCGCCGACACAAGGCCACGCACCGATAGTCGGTGTCTTGAGAAAATTCCAGCAAAGGAAAATTCCCAAAACACGGGCCAATACCTATACTAATGGATCAAGCACAACTAGGGGATCATTTTCTGTTCTTGGACCCCGGCCAAAAAGTGGCCAGAGTGGCTTGAAACACTGCCAAAACTGCCAGCCTCAAAAGGTATCTAAATGAACCTTTCAATTCTCAAAATCAATGCAAACCAGGTACAAAGCCAGTAAGATCATGAAGAGAAGATCAAAATTCATACTTGGATTGAAGTCAATGGCCGCCGGAGTTGCAGGAATCGACATCGAAAAGTGAAACCCTCATTCTCATTTTCTCGAGCTTGCGCCAACGTCGTGAGGAGCTGCGGAGGTCGGGCTTTAGCCCAGACATGGTCGCCTGAGGTGGCCGTCATTTTTCGACTAGTCTTATTGTCGGAACTCGCCGGACGGCAGCATTGTGTTGCCAGGAATACGAACAGTCACTGTTTGCATATGACTGTGTCGAAGGAGGAAAAGAGATGCGTGAGGAAGAGAGAGAACCGAGGGGTGCACGCATGAGGAGAGAGCTGGGTATTTAATGTTTTTGAAAAATTTCAGTAATTCCCGATACTTCCTTTCCATTTTCAGACCTTTTCTCCTTCATTACGACACAGAATTTGGCGTGCTTCTTGTCTACGAACTCATAGGCACGAGCACTACGCAAAGGAACCAAGAAAATTTCCAAACTAGCCCTGAGCAAAAAGTCAACCCTAAAGCACTAAAGAACCATAAGATTAAAGTTGTCCATTCACTTTAGAATTTTGAAAATTAAATTAAATTTCGGGATTGGATATTACACCGATGCCTAAGTTAGTTTATGGTCTTGGGAGGTTCAGATAAAACTGAAAGGTATGGAGTTTGCTCTCTAAGGAGAGGAGGTGGAGTGGAAGCCGGGACAGAGAAAGAGAGGTGGGCGACATGAGACGTGAGAGAGAGAGAAAAGAGAGGTGGCGTGAGAGCCTTGGGGTATTTTGCTAGGGTTTTGGAATTAGCTTCAGAATTACTTCATGTGTGAATTATGCTTGCCTTTATATAGAGTCTCCTTCTTTGGTAGGATTTGTGGAGTAATTCCCTTTTAATGTGAATCATTCTTTTCCATAAATAAGATGATATGATAAATCAAGGAGATTAGGTGGAAATCGAATCCTTGATTTAGGGAGATACTCTTATCTTAAATTAGGATAATTGGCTAATTAAATGAGATTTAATTAGCACAATTATTTTACCTAAGGAATATAACATCTTCCAGTGTCACTTTCTGAATGGCTGCCGAAAATATGTGTTTCCACGGACTTGAGAGAGAGGTTCGCACTACACCATAATATGAATTTAACAACGCACGGTGTACGTTGTGAATGGTGTTTGACAACACATTTATGACTGTCGCGTACCTTTATGTTGTTAAAAGTCATATTCATTTAACGACATGTTTCAGATGTTGTCTTACATATGTGTGAACGTTGTTTAAATATAGCACATAGTATTTTATATTATATATGAAAACGCTCTATGGACATCGTGATACTCTTGTTCTTTTAACAACGTCTTATTTACGTTACAGATTAGGTTTTCGCAACACTCTTTGGACACTGTCTAATTGTTATCCACAACGTGAATTGGGACATTGTCAAATCCTTTTTTTATATTTATTTATTTATTTAAAATTTACATCTATCAATCATTTTCACGTTGTGGATAACAGTTTGACAACATCTTATTTACGTTGCATATTACGTTGTCAAAATGTTTGCTTCTCTACCTTTGAGAGAGTGTGTGATGCAGCTGGTAAGTAGTATTTTTTCCCAATTTTCTCAGCATACAATCTATCTCTAATTAGGATGCTTTCCAAGTCCAGTCAAGAATTAAGTCCATCTTTACTTTTCCCTTTAATTTGCAAAAGAGTACCAATTATGGCTTCACATATGTTCTTCTCGATATGCATCACATCAAGTTGTGACACACAAGTAAAGTCTGCATAATAAATAACCAAATGCTTGCTGTCATGTAAATAATGTTATCATAAAATTGAGGAGAATGAGGAAAAAATAATGTTATCATAACATTGAGGAGAACGACATAATAGAGGACATAGTATATAGCAAAGTGTACCTTCCAATAATGGTAAGTAAAAAAATATTGACCTCTTTTTCCATAATTGCTCTGAGTGCTTGTCTTTCTTTCTTCTTTTCCTTTTTTTACTTGCTTTCCCAAAATCATTCACAAGGTTTCCAACTTCCCAGAAAGTGTCTTCACTAGTAAATAACTTAGGCTTCACCCCCTTTTCATGCTTGTTATTAAACCACGTAAATTTTTTTGCGAAATGGATGATCAAAAGGAAGAAATAGTCTATGTCCCATGTAAGCAAATTTTCTGCTATGTGAAAGCCACTCTGAACATGTGCCTTTAAGTTCAATGTGGACATACTGAATGCATCATAAACCACAACTCCATTAATCCATAGCTCTTTCAAATCTTCTATAAGAGGTGTTAGATAAACATCTATACCGTTACCTGGTTGTTTTGGACTTGGGATGAGTAAAGTCAACATCAAGTTCTCCTTTGATGTGCATAACTTTGGTGACAAATTATATGTAGCCAAAATTATTAGCCAGCAACTATACCTCGAACTAAGATCTTGGAAAGGATTAAACCCATCAGTAGCAAGGCCAAAACGAATGTTTCGAGGTTCCAAGTTAAAAGAATCCCATTTCCTATTTATTGTCTCACATGCAATTGAATCCACCGGATGCGTCATTTTACCGTCATGGCTTTTATTGGTATGATCCCATCTTAGTTGTTCAGCAATTTCAGCCATACCAAAATTCTTTTTAGTCTTGGTATTATTGGGAAATAACACGAGACTTTTGCAGGGACTCCTTGTTTTTTCATTTTTGGACATGGGCTAACTTCCCATCAAGAAGAACCACATTTTGGGCACTCTTGTACATGCTCAAGATCTCTTCTAAATAAGTAGCAATCGTTGATGCAAGCATGTATCTTCTCGTACTCAAGATCAAATTTCTTTAGCAATTTTTAATTGCGTATATTGAAGTAGGAAGTGTGTTTTGATCTGGGAGCATGTCACAAATAATTGGGAGGAGCTCATCATAAAAAATGTCACATACACCAAATGCAGCTTTAAGCTTAAATAAAGCCATTGTTGCTGACATCTTTGTGTACTTTATACAGCCATCAAATAAAGAAGTTTTAGCATCCCTAATAAAATTTGATGTTTTTGCCTCTATCCTTTCATTTGTTTGTGCTGCCACATTACCTTCTTGCAAACCAATTTGATCTTTATACATCTTATATGTTTCCAACATTTCTATGTCTCCATCTATCATAGATTCGTGAAGGACCCAAGTAGTGTAGCTAGGATCCATGCCATGTAAGATCAAGTAATCGTACACTACATGAATAGGATGGTGCTCCAAGTTTTTGCATACCACATAAGGGCAAACTATATCTAGATTTCCTGCAATTTCACTGGCAGTATTGACAAAATTGCGCGCTCCGACCCTGTACTCATCCAAATATCTACAAAACAAAAGTTTTTGTTCTTATAGTCTAGTTTGAAATGTCCTAAAACACATAACATTATGGGTTGTCTTAAAGGTCAAGAAGTTAACCTTGGTAAGTGAACCCATTCCTTATCCATTGGCCGCAACTTAATTCAGCAATTGTTTACACACAAAATTTCTTAATTTGTTTTGTCATTGAGAGATGAAGACAAAATTCAATCAAACAAAATAGTAACTTCTTAGGTATACTATGATTTTTAACAAGGATAAATTACTTTGGAAGAGAAAAAAAAATATATTAAACAAGTGTAAAGCTCAAACGAAACAATCAATGTAAAATAATTAAAACAAAGTACAGTAATCAAAAGACCAGACCAGTCTTTTAAGTTAGGTCTTGTCCTAGTTTAAGCAAAGTGCAATGTAAAAACTACAATATCAAGATATCAAGATTGGGTCTATACCCATAGAAAATTGAAAAGAAATTTGGAAGTCTAGATTAGGAAAACACAATGGGAAAGCAGTACCTTTTCTTCTTTCTCTCTTGATTACTCGTTCTCTTTTACTGGGTCAAAACTAAGAATACGAAAAAGAAATTGTCAAACAAAGCGTCTACGAAACTCATAGGTAATTTTTTAGTGAACTCAAAGAAACTAAAAAAAAAAATTGCAAAATTAAAGAACAATAACTCACCAAGAAAATAGAGGAGCAGATTTGAAGACAAATTTAACATTTAGGGCTCATCCCCAAGTTTCAGTTGATTTTCAGTCTTCGAGGAGGGAGGATGTTACGATTGGGTTCTCAAAAGCAAGCCCAAGAATTGTGTTTCAGGTTTTGGCAATATATATATATATATATATATTTGGGTTTTAGGACTGAGCGCCAATTTTTCCTCTACTATTTGGTTTAAGCGCCAAATATTTTGGCAATTGGGACTGAAATATTATAATAATAGAATAATAATTTCTAAAATATTTTTATCAGATTCAACAACATCCATGTCAATATTGTGAATATTAAACACTATTTCGTAATGCCCAAATCTTTGTTGTATTGTTTAATAGGAATCACAACATCCATTACAACGTGACAAATATAAAATACTATTTCGCAACATACAACTCTATGTTGTATTTTTTTAAATATAAATCACAACATTCACAACTTTGGGGATATAATATACTATTTCACAACGCACAATGCCACGTTGTTATATTGATTTCAACAGCGTGTTTTTTACACATCATAAAATGATTGTTCGTAATGATGTATGACAACGTGCGCTAAATGAACGTTGTTGATCACCCTTTTTCACAATGTTCAAATAGGATGTTGCAATTTTTTATGTTGTCGTATCCCATTTTTGTTGTAGTGTTGATTTTTCCTCTCATCCAATTTTCCACCTTGAAAACCTTAAATGAAATGGTGCTATGACATCATATATATAAACCCATGTTGAGACACATGTGGACCTAAGTCCACTTGTGTTTCGCAACCTCCCTTTGGTAGCCTAATTTTGGGCTTTTTTGGTCCAACACATTTATACCTTAATGTGTCACATATGTCTAAAGTCCTATGGTTCAATTCTTAATTCTTTAAGTCATGTGAGACCAACCAAGTTCAATAATTTTAACTGTTTAAATTAAATTATTCTAATTTGTTTAATTTGTTTAATGGCTTAATTAATTAAGTCATTAATCTTGTCTTACAAGTATGGGTCCCGGTCAATCCTTGTTAACCATGTCAAGTGTCGGGTGAATGGTTAACCTTTGACTTTGACTTTGCCAATAGGGAGAATTGAATGATGAGATTCAATTCATTCTTGGTTCAAAAGGAATCAGATTTACCCACTGCCTCACTACTTAGAACCTATAAGATTGCGCATCGAAAAGGAATGGATTGAGAAATAGCAGTATGTCATGGCTACCCAAGGTAAATAGAATTCATTGGAGAACATAGTCAGTTGTAATTGCAATTCAATCCGGTCCTTTTTTCTAACAATACTTTATGTCACATTATCGGGATGTAGTTAACTTGTATCAAATCCTCAATGCGACATTTCTAGGCTATGATTCACTTGGACGAGATAGCAAACTTTCCTATTGCAATCCTATCCAATACTTTGGCCAAAGATTTAACGAATCATATCTCTAGAGTATTCTCACTTTTTACTAAGAGTATAAATTCCTTGGTATACATTCACATGCCTCTAGAAGAAGAAAAGCTACTCAAAACCTAAGTAGCAAACAAAGACAAACAGATTAAGAGAGAGGCGGAGTCATTCGAAACCCAGGTCTTGACGTGGGTTTCCAAATGCAACATATGCTAGACTGGTATCTGAAATAAAAATCCAAGTCCTAACCAGTCCATGATCCACTCAAGCCCACCAAACAACAAACTGGATTCATGTCCAATTTATTTGGAATTGTCTAGTGTCCGGTCCACCAAATAAGGCATAAGAGTTTGGTAAACCACCCCCACCAAAAGAGTCTCACGCCCTTGTTGGCTCAACTCCTTGGTGGCTTCCACTCATCTCCACATCACTTGGCTCTACTCGAACGACTTCTTCATTGGAATTTTCCATATGCTCTTCCTTAGCCTTAACCATCTCTTGAGGCTCCTCTTTAGCCTCTAGGTTTTCAGCCCCTTTTGCAAACATATAATCTCTCACGATGCTATCAATTGCCATACTAACCCACGAGTCCTCATCTAATTCACTTGCCGAAGGATCCGACGCCAAAGAAATGAATTGCTCCACCTCTACCATGATCTCACCAAACTGATTCTCAAGGTCCCTATGCCTCAAGGATACGTAAGACAACTCGAAGTTGAACTTTTCCATCACATCTATATAGATGTCTAAGTTGGCACAAATTGTGCCCATGATGTATATGTGATTGTGCATCACGCATGTCCTTTCAAGAAACCTACAATGCGACAAGTACATCCTCCAAGTATCTAGACAATGTGCTAAGGCAACATATTGCATTTCCTCCATCCCACAATTAAGATCCCAATTCGGAATCCTGTTTTCTTTTCCCTCCACAAGCATGCTCTCATGCAACAACGAAGCATCGATAAACACCTCTGAAGGTTCCATGGAAAATACATCCACAAACACTTTAATCACCTTCAATGCCGGCTTCTCAATGGCATCCATTCCTAATGAATCTTCTGGTGGCTCCAACACTAGTGCATTCAACACCACCATTGGACTCACACGGAGACTACTGGCCTCTTCAACATCTCCCTCTTTCTTAGCCGCAATTGCATTCAAGCTTTGCTAGTTTGGATAGTCTGGTATTTTGATGGAGCCCTTGGCAAGTGAAGCAACCTGAGAACTTCTTCTTGTACCCCTGCTCATTGTCCTTTGCACCACTTGAGGCAGCAACAAGGGGTTAAGAAAAGAAAAGAGTATGTTGCTGGAGGAGTTCAACTTGAACATCTAGATATAGCACAAGCACAATTCAAGCCGACTTTGACATCTATGAAAATGTGTTGGACGAGTTCGACTTCAAGTTGGCTTACATGTCTATGAGGAATAGGGACATTGACGATTGGTTTGATGAGATCATGGCAGAGCCGAAGCAATCCATTTCTTTAGTGTCATATCCTTCGGAAAGTGAATCATATGAGGACTCGTGGGTTAGCACAACTTCCATTTAAGACTTCCACGACATACTCACCTCAACATTCTCATACCCCTGGTTTCCTCCCATTACCATCACCTCAGCACAGAATGTCTCCTTCCCCATTCGACCTATTGTATCTCAAGCCCAGTTAGTTGATATTTTCACGGAAGGACTTACCATGTTTAAAAGCCTCAACTTCAAGCTCATCACTAGAAAACCTCGTATTCACTTACAGGGGTGTGCTATACATATCAAACAAGATTATGCAGCAACACATGAAACCAATCATACAGTATCAATACCATAACTTGTAGAAAATCTAATGCTAATGACTGATTGCATATTAGTCATGAAGCTGGCTGCATCTCCACAATTCTTGTAACAAAGTCTGTTCTAGAATAATTCATAGCACTTTGATACAATGCAATAACCTAAACAGAGGAAATATTCTTACAGTCATTAAATTCTTCTTAGCTTTCTCTTCCTTTCTTCTAGATTTTACATAAAACACATGTCATATTTTGAGATGAGATTTTCACACATATTTTCCTTTTCTTTTGTCATAAATAGTGTAACTATTGTGCTGCATTTAGTTTCCTTTATATATATATATATATATATATATTTAAATACAAGCTCTATTACAAGGGGAAGGGGATTTCTCTCACACACACACACACTACCAAGGTGTCATGGGGGTTTGAACCTGAGGCCACTGGTCTGCAAATCAATGCCCTTTTTTCATTGGGCTAGACCCCATTGACACTGCATTTAGTTTCCTTGATCATGTTGAGATTGAACTATTCTTTATTAAGTTCCTCTTAGGCAATGCTTGGACTTTCTAGAATGTGAATGCTCTTGTCTACTGAGAAGATTCACTAAAATACTATTTCATTAAGAATAATACTAGTCTTACCACATTTTTATACCATAATTTCATACCACATGATGTCGCAGCTGATGTGTACATACCACATCATGTAAAATACTAGTTTCTGTTTTTCTAATTTTATTTATTAAAATACACTTCATTCATTTAATTGATGTGGCATATGATATGGACATGCCACATCATCTGGTATAGAAATGTGGGATAAAAATGTGGTAATTGTAGCATTACTCTTTGATTAACAAAGAAAAAGCAAAAATATATACTAATGGTGCCTGCGGTTTAGCTGAATATTCGCACCTTCATCCTTGTAATTTCTTTGTATTATTCTTTCTCCTTCTAGTTCTTACCACTTTTGGTCTAAATCATCAATAAATGAGTTCATATTTGCTTTTTATTTACTTCTAAATTTACCAAGTAACAAAACAATTTCTTGGTTAAGCTTAGGAGTCCCTGCAGAGTATCATGGCATACTTGAGTAATTGACAAATATAACTTACCAAGAAGATACAAGAGAGCAAGAGACATCTGATACAAACAAGTATTAGGTTCAAATTATGCTGCCAATTGAATTTACCATAAGCTGCTTAAACATAAAAACTGATGCAGAATGAATCTAAGACCACCCAAATACGTAGTCAAGAATATAAACCAGCAACAGAGAAAGTGGATAAAGCAGCATAGCAACCAGAGACATCCAAAGGGGGAAGGTGGTTCGGAAACTGGCAATGGCACCCATTAGAATGCAGACAACTACAATAACGAGAACTTCAGCGGAAAAGCTCCACGTCAAGTTGCGAATGTAAACCAGACCCAAGAAAACTGCCAGGGAAAGAATGTTGCTCATTGTCACTGAGCCATATATCTGCACCACAAAGAAGGAATAGATCAGAGAACAACCCTAAATTAGTACAAAATTCCCAAGGTGCCTTTAATTTTGAGTGTCTAGCATACACAAAAGAAAAGGTAGAGATTGTTAGCAAATTGTCTACCTCAGAGTATGCCAATGAAGCAGTTCTCTGCTTTTTCCGGCTGACGAAAATTAGAGTGGAGACTATCTCACTGGAGCTAGCAAAAGGTAGAATGACGAATGAGACGAAGAATGAAGGGATACTCGTAGCAGTTGAGAAGTCGTCAACAGCATCAACAAGAGGATCAGCAAACACTGCAGCAACTATAGTTCCCAGAAGCAGCAACCCTACTGCTTTGGAGGCATGCCACTTGACATTTTTAACATCCTCCACAACCTCATCCATTTGATCCATAAACTGATCCTGCTCTTTCTTTGTTTTCTGAATATGCAGCCACAGATGTCATTAACTAAGTGACATATATATATATATATACACATACATACATATATGTATAGGCTAGAGAAAATTAGAGGATTTAAACAACTTACCTTATCAAAATCCTCTAACAGTTTCATCGATGGTGGAAGCTTTCCACGCTCCATCATTGCGACACGCTTAGCCTTGTTGATCCATTTCGAGATTCCTTTGAAAAATTCATCCACATCAATCTTTGAGTCATGAGATGTATCAAAATCTCTCATCACTTGTGAAATTGCTTCATCGATGTTTATGTCTATATCGTCGAACTGGATTCCTATAATCAGAGATCTTAAGTCTGCGGTACTTAGATAACCATCCGAATCCTGATCAAGTGTCTTGAACAACCTATCATTAGATCAACAGATTATTTAATATCAGCATTGACATTATAATCTGGAAGCTAGTCAAAGCACGAACTAGCAACTAAAACTTTTTTCTATCTGTATTACAGTAATAGGACACACAACTTTATATATGCATTGTAAATGAAAACCCGAAAAGAAAAATATCCCCACTAATTGAGTAGCAACATAAGTACTTAAAACCTATATTCCCCCATCTCTACTAGTTGTGGAGCAACATAAGTACTTAAACCTAGGTAGGTTTGAAGAAGCATTATCTATTAGAATGTGAGCATCTAACCCAAAATCAATTGGGAATGTGGTAGAGAAGGCCAAGATCCTGTAAAATACTGATGCAAGGCTTCCTTCCAACATGGGATGATGCATGCCGAAGCAAATAATTTACATCATATATGGAATTACTAGTGAATTTGTAAATGCCTGACTTCTTGTTTGAAAAATAGATCCCAATGGAACTGACAAAGATTGCGGAGTTTAATGAAGACTAACTTTTCTATAACCACTTTGTTAGGATCACCGTCATTTGTAAGAAGTCTTCCCAGCGCATTTGTTTTCAACTGTATTAGAATTTCTGACATCACATGCTTATGCTTTGATAATGCAAGTTTTCTCTTCTGAATCCATGGCTGAAAGACCTGCGTCAATATATATTTCATAGATAAGATGCAGCGATTAGTGCAGAACGGATGGGAAAATGCTGAGGTTGTATACAAATCAAACAAACATGAAATTTGGTAACTGAAAAATATATTTTTGAAAACTAAACTTTCAGCTAGCTACCTGATAGAGGCTATAAGCAATCACGAAGGAGATGGCGACGATGAGCGAAATCAGAATTGCTAAGCGACTGTCAGAAGTTGTGTGAAAAACTTGGGGTAATTGGACAATTACAAAAGGAATAATAGAGAAAACCATGATCCTTGCAGCATAGCTTGTCCAAATATCTGTGCTCACTCCAGATCCTGATAAATAAAAAATAAACAGAACAATGAATATACCTTTTTTTTTTTTTTTTTTTTTTATTTTATTTTTTTTTTAGTAGATCCTATAAACATTAAGTTACACACATTAAGCCAAGAACCAGTATAGGAAAAAGTACCAGTCAAGCTAAATCGTTTTTCATCTTTTTGATCAACTGCAACTGAATTTTCAAGGTCACATTTGCCAACTAGGAGACAGGTGCCCCATAGAATTGTTAGAAGCATAACATTTGATCCAGCTAGCAAGCCCATTCCCACAGAGACCTGACTTTGAGCCGTTTCTGTGTCTCCAGAAAGTCCAGACGCTGTTAAGAAACACCAGAAAGAGCACATCTAGTAATTTACTCCATCATACGTATTACGTACCAACAAAATAAATAACACATAAATTGAAATTTCTTCTGCAAGAGACACAATTATTTGTATTAAGGTAAAGAAAAAGATGGGCACTAAAAGAAGCGGGCTTGTCCATCCTAGAATCACATACATGACTTCATTTTTTTTCATCTCTGCATGTACTCGGAAGATTGAATATGCAGCGACAAGTTTCTTTTATCTCCTTATGCAATTCGACCCCAATTTCCTTGAGTTTTTCTTTTAAGAGAAGGGGTAATCCGTTTCATAAGCCAACAGAAGGTCGAGGCATACCTAACCATGTATGCAAACGATATTTTACGTTAATCTAATATAAACTACAGGACAGGAGATTCGAACTCGGATGCAGAATGGGGGGAGCACATCCACTCTAACCAACTGGCTAATGTATAATTATTAGCTTGTAAATAATATCGTTATTTTGTTTGTTAATTAGGGTGGGTGAGAGGTAGTCAGTTGTTCAAATCTGAGCAGCAAGACTTTCTTATAGTCAACAAGCGATTTTTTATTTTTATTTTATTGTTTGAAATTACTAGTTAACCAATTTTTATAACTTGGCCAAGTCATTAGTTGACATGATGAGCTTAGACTAACTACTCCACTATCACATGAACATGTCAAGTACTTGCGCAATAAGGCTACTTGAAATAAAATAATTTTTATGCACATAATTAACTTAAGTTGCGTCATTTGACCTTATAATGACATAATTTTACAGATAATTATTTTTCTTCCTTTTCCAATGCAAATAAAATAGAGGAGAAGAAAAGTCAGTGCATTGCTCGGATAGCATAGCACGTTAAACTGAGCATAAACTCATCCTTAAAATCAGCTTATTATTAATACAATTAGAGCGTATTCCAATTCAAAATCAATTGAAAATGGGTGAAGACACGAATAGATATCATCTACATATATAAAGTAAAAGGCAGAGAATGGTGAAACATTCAAAATACCAGAAAATGTTCTTAGTTAATGCAAACATTAAGAATTGAAATTATCAATTAAATTAGGATAATATGGTAAATTCACACTTTAAAAAGAAGCATCTCGCAAGCGCGGAAGCGCGTGTAGAGAGGCTAGTTATATATAATGTGTGAACTTTTCATGTCTCAATATGGTTATCGGAATGATTTCAATTCCTGACTATCATGTGTTTTACTAACATATGAATATTGAAATTATTTCAATTCCTGATGAGGTGCCCATGTGTTTGTCGATTATACATGCTAGATCGCAGCAAGCATGCTGGGCAATAATAGGAAGGATTTATAGAGAGATAAACTCTAATTTTTATTTTTATTTTGGCAGAATGTAGTCCTATAGCAGGTTAATAAATAACTAATTTCGGATTAAGAATTAATGTTGAGCTAGCTAGCTATATATATATTATATAGCTATATAGGTTTATGAAAGCTAAGCTTACCAAGAATAATGGTGGCATCAGGTATAGAGCCCAAAAGAGGCAGGAAGAAACCACCAACGATACCAGGCCCTAAAATCTGCAGCAGAATCTCACTTCCATTAGACAACAGCTTGGCTGATAGAAACATCAAGTAGCCATAAACGATGATCAGGAAAGTATTTCCCAAAACTGTGGTTGTGCATGGCAAGAACCCGTATGTCTGGTCACAACTATCTGAAGAGAACAAGCGGCCCGGCAGCCAAATGGAATTTGGTTTCGGAGCTTTTTCGAGTACTCCATCGGAGACCATGCTCAACGGCAAGTCGTTTGTTATGGACCGACTTTCTCCGGAGCTGGCTTGTTGAAGTAACAAGATGGCTAGCAAAAGGAGTGTGAGTTTCTTTGCCATGTTTTGGCTTGGGGAAGAAGCTTGTACTCTTTTTGCATTTGCTCGTGCTGCTTTGCATATATATATAGCTTTAGATGGTTCATGGGCATGTTTTAGGTGTAAAGTTTGGATACTAGGAATTTGTTTAGGTGAGGTCGAACTTGGAAGACAGGTAAGATGAAAATAGATCCAAAAAAGTAGATGGGTAATAATATATATATGTGACCGCAGAGGAAGTATAACATGCAACATATTTTAAACTTGGGTGGCCAAGTGGATGAATGAGAGAGAAATATATATATATTTAGAAGAAAAAAGAAAAGAACCATAGAAATCAAAGACTTTTGCTAACCTAAACAACTAGATTTGAGAAGTGTTGTTTGATCAAAAACAAGATTTGAGAAGTTTTGACATTGCTTAGTGTGGAAGACAAGTCAGTTTGGATAGGGAGGGGTAAAGTTGTCCGAAAGACTTTTGCTGAGTGGGCTTATGAATACAAAACTCATAATTAGATTGACAATTCTAATTAAGGACTAAATTGAAATTGAAATAATTTGATTCGAATTACAAAAGTATAAATATGAAGTATATTTGATTCTATTTATCAATACTTTTGGTTTAACTGAGGATGACTCGTTTTAGTTGTTCGACTTGCCTCTTGATTTCATTCAAGACGTCATGTTGTTTGATTCTATATAAGTTAGTTCCACTTTATTTCTTCTAAGATTCAATAATTTCCCTCGTATTGTCCTCGTTCATAAAGAAAAATATAAACAATTGAAATAAATTAATCCTAATGTTGGTGCAAAGGTTTCGCTACGTGACGGGGGCAGTTTGCCCCATAACAAATCCATAGATATAATTTGAGGGCGCAGCCCTTTGATGTCAGAGTGTCTTCCAACTAAATATTGAACCATTGGCCCTCTAATTTCCATATTTTCTTTTTGGTGATTGGATGAGCTCTCTAATTACAGCGGTTGAATGATTTATTTCTTTTCTTTTTCTTCATAAAATATGGATCACCCATCACACTCAGTTAAATGTAGCAGCTAGAGGGTCATAAATGTAATCTTGGTTTTATCCATGTGCTCATAAAATATGGATCACCCATCACACTCAGTTAAATGTAGCAGCTAGAGGGTCATAAATGTAATCTTGGTTTTATCCATGTGCTCATAAAATATACAAGGAAGGTTCTAATTACATGTTCAAATAAGCTATCGAAACCATAAATCATGGGAGGCTAGTTGATCTTGAGAGAGATTATTATATAGGAAACTTTCGAGGAAGATTCCAAGTATATGTTTACAAATTTGACCCAACTACCATTGTAGAATGCATGTGATTCAGTGGTTATCTCAAAATTTAAAACATGTTTGGTTTCTTGTACAAAAAATACAGTTTTTTTTTTCGGTCACTAGAATTATAAAAATAGAAAACAATCCAATGACACTCAACCATAAAAGTATGGTAGTTTCAAAGAATTAATGTTCAATGCTCAGTTAGATTTTTATTTTATTATATATATAAGCAATGTTGGGGAAAGGGGGAATTGAAACCTAGAACATCGGGTGCAGAGATAAATGATCTTAATCACTTGAACTACAAGTCCCTTGCTTCAGTTAAGAAATTTTAGAGCAGTTTGAAAACTGTATTTCAGAACAGTTTATGAAAACTCAACCAAACGGTTGTTGTGACAACCCCTTTGTTAATTTCTTGTCCTACAAAGAAAGAATCAAATGCCAACTCTTTGCCTTGCATTTTGAACTAGGTCCCAATTCAGAAAAAGAAATAAATTACTGGACATCACAACTTGTTAATGAGGCCAAACTGATGCAGAAAATAGACCAACTGCGCATGTGGAGCAATAAGTTAAAGTCTAAAAAACAGAGAGGAAGCAACTTTCATAACGGAGGTTAACGTTGAAAATATCATACAATAACATTTGCTTCCCTAAACCAAAACATTCTGTTTTAGTGTTCGATAACATATTTTTGAAAACAGAAATTTCAGAACAGTGCAAACAAATCCCATCTCTTTTACCTTTGTCTACTTCAATTCACATCATGTCAATTTTAGTGCTAGCAGAAGAAGCAACACTCTCAAAACTAAGATATCAAGGGTTAATTATTTGAGTCAATATCCATGCCATTCACGGATTTGCTCATTCTAAAATCAACGACAGCCTTGTCAAAGGTGCTCCTCACATGTTGGCATACAACCATGAGATCCTGGCTTGCATCTTTGAATACTTCTTTCGCTGCAGCACCTGTAAAGTTTCATGAAATATCCGCGTTATACGCATTATAAACTTCAAGACTGATTTCAACACTGCAATTCCTTATGAAAACACCAAGGAAATTTATAAAACTTTCCCTGTAGTGTAAGAGTGAAGTAAGTTTTCATGTATATAACTCCTTGGCCTCCATAACGAAGACTACATTTTGGTACATTGGATGGGATTCCTTAACCTATCTCCTAGTCCTACACCCTCTTCCCCACTCCTCCATCACCACCAGGGCTAACCCCAAATTTAAATGGTAATGCGTACCTGCCACAGCAGGACTGCTTGATGCATTAATTATCATACTAGAACTTTTAAGGGGTCCAAATCAACTATCTTGAGATGATAGTAGGTTTACATGTTCGAGCAGAAACTCCATTAGAAGTAATACAGAGCCCACACTTCTGTAGGGTATTGATTAAGCAGCTGTTTTATGGGTACCTAATGTTGCTACAATCAATTAACTGATTCAGACTCCACAACTTGGTTCCAATCACAGATATGATCAGGCAAAGTATCAAATACACAAATTGAGTATTTTGGAGGCATGACCAAGTGAATAGAAGATATTGTTGGAACTATTCATAATAAACAAGTAATATATGCATACAACCATCAGTCTCTACCTTACATTAAGATAAATAAATCAGAAACAAGTGCAAGGCCAGCAATTACGAGAAACATAGTTGATAGAACAAGAATAATCATAAAAGTCCATATATATCGCTGAAGGCAAAGCATATATATGTTACCTGTTGTTTGGACTCTAATATTAACTCGATTATCGGATGGATGAGGAATGCTGTACCCACAAAATTTTGTCCTTGGACTGCAACATAACAAAAAAAACTTCATTTAGATATCATTAAACTGTTATTACCACCACTACTACTTATTATTATAATTATCATTTTCCAGTTACTTAATCCTATCCTATAGAAAGATTTACTTCAACAGGGAAAATATGAACAGGATTCTGAGGAAAATTTGTGAATTAAACTTATAAAGCTTTTCCCACTTTGCTCATTCCAATTGAATGGTAACCCGATTTAGCAAGATTTTCTTCAACATGTACAAATTCATAATGATTAACTTATGGTTCGAGCTTAGAAAGCTATAGTTTGAGCAATTTTATAGAAGAAGCAGATTATTGATACATATCAACAGTCACATATTTGGTAAAAACATTTATTAAATAATTATAAAGCACTTACTCCTGATTTAAAGTGAACCTAATCGCATTCGCAAATGTATGATCCTCATCAATCAAAGAAAATGTGGATTGGCTGGGATCAGATATGGACCCATGTTCCATTTCTCACTAAACCCTGCCTAACAAGAAAAAAGAAACAAACAAACAAAACAACGAATCGAAATTACACTACTTAACAATAACAGTCTTTAAATGAGAACTGTAACTCCTACCCATGTATTTTTCTTCTTTTTTTTTCTTTTTTTTTCTTTTTGGGGGTAAAAACCCATGTATTGAACTCTCTCCCCAACCATGTATTTGTTACTAATTATCTGGAAAATAGAAATTTACAAATTTGAACTAAACGTGCAAATATACAAATGCGAAATCAAAATAAAAATTCCCAAATTAAGTTCAGACGTTGAATCTTGGATGGGTCTCCATGACGCGAGAGAAAGGGAAAGAAAAAAGTTAGGGCTACAGAAATTAAACAGAAAACGAGAAACAGAGTGCAGAATCTTACCCAGAGGTGGCGACTGAAGTTTCGAACAGAAAACGTGGAGGCAAAATTGGAGATAGCTGATTCTGTTGGTATGCTGGTTGTGGCTCTCTATATGTTTGTCGACTGACGCTTACGAGTGACCGTGAAGTACAAGAAGGCGAGAGACGTGAGGTAGGGTTTAAAGATTAAAATTGGACTGTGCCTCGCTTAACCCGTAAACCCTGTTTGATGGGCTGGACTGAATTGAATATATATAATTAAAATAGATATGGGTTTCATAAAAACAGGGGCTTCGTAACCCATTGTTAGATATGGGTTTCAAAGCCGCGTCTTTTCTCTCGCCGAATGTGTGAGCTCTCATCTCCCTCAGCACTTCTTCCTAGTCTATTCTCTTCTCTTCTATGCTCTCCTCTTTCTCTTCTCTCCTCTTACTCCAAAGTTAAGTATAGCACCAAACAATAGACACAAAGTCTAGTTCAGTCCCAATCAGTCCAATCTAAAATACAAAGTCCCAATTCAGTCTTGTCCATTTCAGGCCACCAAACGGGGCCTTATTTTATTTTATTTCTCTTTCAATTTTTTTTCATTTTTAATTCCTTTATTTATTTTTTCATTTTAATTAGTTTTGTATTCAATCGCAAATTTTAATTCATTATATATATTTTTTCTTTTTTATGTAGTTTTATATATATACAGTGTAGCACCAAACAATAGACATGAAGTCTGGTTCAGTTCCAACCAGTCCAATTTAAAATACAAAGTCAAATTCAGTCTTGTCCAATTCGGGCCACCAAATGGGGCCTAATTTTATTTCATTTCTCTTTCATTTTAATTTTAATTTTATCGTTTATTAATTTTAATTTTTTCATTTTTTGTATTCAATTGCAAATTTTAATTTTTTTTAAATTTTTTTCCTTTTTTTTTAATGTAGTTTTATATATATTCATTCGCTAGGATGGGGAGGGGGGGAGTATTATATTGGAATTTGGGTTATCTCAAAATTTTCTCCTAAGTGAATCGAACCCAGATGCACTTGGGAGGGAAGGGGAGTGTTTGGCCTACATTTCCACTGTAGTGCCACCCATGTGCAATTAGTTTTGTATTCAATTGAGTCTAAAATTTCTACAAAAGTTTAAGTGCATTAAAAACAAAAGTCATTGACTTTAAAGGAAATACAAAAAGAGTGGATTCCCATTTATTCTAAATATAGCTTTCCTCCCCTTATATTTTTTTTATAGAAATTCTTTTTCTTCGTGTCAAGATATGATTTCACCACATCTACTACAACCATCTTGTCATGGTTAACACCACCACCAACACCTCACCATAGCCATTTACCATCACTATTGTTACTCCCACCATCGCGACCACAACCACCTTCACCATCATCTTAACTACAACCACCACCGCCACTTTGTCATGGTAACTACCACCATCATAGCCAACACCAATACCACAACCTTGCCACTACCATCAGACATGTTGCCACCACCACAACCATCATATTGCAATAGCCATCACCACCATGACTTCCACCACCCCATGTCCATCACCACCACACTCACCACATGTAGCCACCACTTGACATGATCATTACCAACATTATCCCCACAACCATTAATGCCTCCATACCACCACCACAACCACTATCTCTATATTCCAACCACCAACATCAAACATGATGACCTATTGTTATTTCAAACATTATAAATTTGGAACTAATGAAAATACCCATTAAATGAACTACTAAAAAGTACAAGAGAATTTATAGAAGTTTATAAAAATCTATAAAAACTCTACAATAAAATTTTAAAAATTTCATCAAAATTCATATGAAATTCAATCAAATTATCTATGGAGTTTATGAACGTCAAATAAATTCATAGACGACTCCTAATTACTTTAAAATCCAATAAAATCTTGGTCGAATAGACAAAGAGTAATTTGATTTTTGTTTTCATTTTTTGTCCATGTTGTGAGCATGAAAAGTGAAATCTTTTTTTGTGAAAGAATTCATATTTTTCAAGTAAGCATTAACACAATTTCATAACGCTCTTACTAACGGAGGAACTCGAGTACATGATGGTTACCGTGAGTTTCCGTATGACTTCGTAAAGTATTCGAAGTTCGAGTACTAATTTGAAATTGAAATGCCCCCATAATTTGAGGGGTTTATGTAGCTAACCAAAAAAATGGTTTTTTTACTATCTAGTTTTTTCATCAAAATAGCACAAACTAGAGAAGGTTCAGGAACAGTTAAAATGTCACAATTCTCCATTGCAGAAGATATAGTTGTATATGCCATGCCTACTTACCGATTCGTGAGGATCCAATTAGTGAAATCCAACAGTTTAAGATGCGATGAAATTATATAATGTCGGATTTTGAATTTTGTGCAAACTATATATAATAATCCGATGGATGATATTAAATCTACTTTATTTGATCCAATGGTTGGTTTGAGATGAAACCTTATATGTTGTGAGAATCTTATATTTTGTTCAAATATGTGATAAAGAAAACCCAACAATTCATATCAATTGTTCTTTAGTATTGGATAAATAATATCTTATCTATATATATAAAGCAAAAGGTAGAGAATGGTGAAACATTCAAAATACTATAAAATGCCCTTGGTTAATTCAAATATTAAGAATTGAAATTATTAATTAAATGAAGATAATATGATAAATTTACACTTTTTTATATTTAAAAAAATTAAAATAAAAAGAAAAATCAGATAATGGATTCTATTTTTATAGAACACAACTACCTATTATCTTTTTTAATTCTAAAATAAATTTAATTTTTTTTTAAAAAAAGCCTCTTGTAGTCTTGCAGAAGCGAAAGCGCATGCGAAGAGGCTAGTCATAATTAAAAGAAATTAGGTCAATTTGTTTGGACAAAAGATTAAAACTAACAAATAAAAACTAACACAAAATAAAATTTAAGCCAAAGACAACTTAATACATGAAAATCTAAATTTACATCTTTCCCATTAAAACAAAAACTATGGGGTGTGTATTTATTATTAGTTCATACTTTTGTGGAATTTTAAACACTTTCACGGAATTAAAATGCAATTCAAATTTTTGAAGGCTTATTAAAAGTGATGGTATTCAATTATGAATTTTTAAAAATCATTAATAGTTTGATGGTATCCAAAAGGCTAATCAATTCTAAGAACTTCGTTAAATAATTGGCTTTTGTATACTTTTGAAGGTAAAATCTTGCCAATTTACTAGAGACTTTTTAGTGAATTTTTCATATTAATGGTGAGAAGCTAAACATACAAAACAAACTTCTCCCATTCTTTATATCGTACGCATAAAGTGAGAAGCAACTTCTACACTTTAAGATATTCATTCATCTCATTTCAGATTAGCAAATAATCTTGCTGGTCTCATGTTGAAGGTTTTTTTTCCTTCTTGAAATCTTGCATCTTGAAGCTTATCAATTTTGATATCAGGATAACGTGAGACACAAAATATTAATAAAAAGGTAAAATGCGTAGTCATGACCTTGCGAGGAGTAATATGAAATTTTACCATAACTTCATAGGCGCTAATATAATTAAGCATACATGTACGTGTCCCCCACCACTAGTCATAAATATGCAAACCTTAATATGATCTTAGATATTCCAGTGAGGCATTGGTGATGTCGATAAGACCAAAAGTACCAGCCGCTGCTTGCTGCACAGACTCACTTGAGGAGGCCACAAATCATGCTTGATCAAATTTACAATCCACTTCTCAGAAGTAATTGGAGAGATTCATGACAGTGATGGAATGATTGTGGTTGTAGATCATGAATCTGCTCCATTATGCCATATGCTAACAACATTTGTTTAACAAAACTTAATCTGACTGTAAAAAAGACTTTGATTTGCATATTGACGCATAATGTTGATAATGTGTGTGAGAAATCTCGTTCTCTTTATAATTTAAACCTCGTTTTGATAAATTATTTCGGCCAATGAAGTTATTACAACCAATAATACACTAAAAATGTACAACAAATCTGACATCAAAGTGCCGAGCATCTCCCTGCTGCTACTACCCTTACTTTCGTTCATCCCAACACAACCCCACTATACTTTGCCTTATACAAATTAGCACTAAGTTGAAAATCCAAAATCCAAAAATAAAAATAAAAGTTAAATTAAAAAAATAATGGCAATAGAATATTAACGAATCATCACATACACACCCAAAATCAGCTAAAGCGGTACAATCCTAATCCTTCTTTTCTTTCTAAAAACCACAGATGCACATGTTCCTTCCTGCAAACCAATCATTCATTATCCGAGTGGTCCCCTTCTTTAGAGCTAAACACAACACGTGACTGCACAGGTCAGCAGCAGCAGCAGCAGCCAAGTCACCCACAATAATGTGACTTCTTTCCATGTTCATCATGTCTTAAAAAAATCACCCAACTTACTCACACGGTGAGTATAATCAGTTGTATACAACTATGCGTCTATTTTTCTTATAATCGATCCGTTTTCAATTTCCTCAAAAGATCCATGTAGCTTTGAAATCAATCATTCAAAATGCTGATATGATTTTCAATAGACCCCATAGACATGAATTTAGGGTAATAATTTGTTTGGAGGCCACATGATGAGATTTCATTAGACCCTTAATTAACCATACTAGAGGAAATTAAATGATGATTAGGAGGAAACATTGAGGAGCTGTTCTTTTTCAGGAGTTGTTATGGTGTCTGAGGGTGTTGTTTGTGATTGAGCAACGTTCTCCATGTTCTTGAGGTTTTGTTGGTGATACACTTGCCTTAGCCTTTCTATTTCCCTCTTCAATGCTTCTTGATGAGCTGCATTTTTTTTTACAAAACAAAAAAAAAAAAAAAAAAAAAAAAAAAAAAAAAATTAAATTTTAAGGTTTTATTTAAATTACATGTGACTTGTGACAGCGCAACCCACATTATTAAAATTTTGCACATGAGAAGTACACATGTAAACACATGCCTATACGTTAGAGACCATTATTATATTACTTTATCCCTAATCACTTCTCTTCCATCCTAGACTTGTATAAAATTAAAATAAAATAAAATAAAAATTCATACATCTTCATGGAGTTTACCTAACACCCCTTAAAAGAATATGAATAAAAATTTATACATAATGTATCACAGTTGTTGTAGATTGCATTTATAATTTGACCCATAAATGTGATCTATCTAACATTACTCGTATGTTCGTCCCACCACTCTAATATGATCCTCTTTTCTACTTTCAGAGTAGGAAGTGCCACATGATATGCATCATCTCCTTAATTTTCTTTCCTACTACTTTAGCATGCATGGATGACCTTGAGGCTGCTTTGTGCTGTGCATTGATTGTTGGTGGATCAAATCTCTTTATCCAATCTTAGAGGTCTTTTTCCATTTTCATAGTTTTGAGTACCAAGCATAACCACCCTTTTTATTGGCTTTGTTTTTGTTTTTTTTTTTTTTTTTCAGGGCTGAAGGAATTAGATCTCAGTACACCAGTATAAAAGTTGGTAGCTAGGAGCTGAACTGATTGAAGGACAATAATGGTCTTCATTCAAGATAAATTAAAATTGATAAAAATAAGCTTATTATAAAATTTGATATTTGGACACATGTGACCTAGATTGAAATTAATATTAATTATATATTTTTCCTATATGTACAAATTACTCTAAATTAATCTAATCTACAAGAATGGGGACTCGAACTTGGGTGTAAAGGGGCCGACTCACTGCCCTAGCCAACTAGCCTAACACAGGTCTGCATATGTCATGAACTTAAAAACCAAGTCCAAAATCATGATGTTTTGTTACAAAATAAAATGAACAAGATTCATATTACTAATTATGTAATTTTGTGAAGTTAAATAATTGATGATATGAAAGTGTAATTATTTATACGTACCATCTTTGAAAATCTTATCCTGCGCCAATGCTGCAATTCTTTGTTTGAGAGCACTGTTGTCGACGTTTAGCAGCAAGCGTTGATGGTCAAGAAACGCAACCCGCGGTGACAAAACTGAAACTTCAGCCTTCGTTTTGCAAATTGCAACCAAAAAGAAAGAAAAAAAAAAGAGTCAGTAAAATTTAGCCTAATTAAATTAATTAATCAGCTAGTAATTAAGGTATAATTTCACGACGAAATTAATTAATTAAATTCAGAATTTACATATTTAACCTACTTGTAGAGAGGTAACGCTGCGTTCGAGTTCTGATATGTATTGCAGCTTCCTCACCCGTGATCTTTGTGCAGATTGTCTGTTTGCCAAGATTCTAATGCAAACACAAAAACACGTAATTAAAAATTTAATTCAACATATTTTTACAAAATTACAAAAGGGTAATTACGTTATTGGGAAATGACTCTGTGTTGCATGATTTACCTCTTGACCCTTTTTGGATCAATTTTCCTGTCATTTGACGTGCTCTTTGTTGTATCATTTGGATTTGGTTGTTCGCATTGGCTTTCCACCTCTTCAGATTCGTTCTTCAGCTGCTTGTGATGAGGCGCCTCCGCTTCTTTCTCGTCCTCATTAATGCTGTTATGGTCCGAAGGCGAGGACGGGTTCGAGGACGAGCCGGTGGGGCCGGCGGCGGCGGCAGCAGAGATTTCATCGGTTGTGAACATGGACATGAATTGTTCGTCGTCAAACCTATCAAACTCGTGGTTGTTGGGGTGTGAACCATGCGGTGCACGGCATTCGTCCTGCATTGGTGCCTCGAGGAAGGTAATGGAGTCGCTGACCGATCTCCGGTGGGACCCCCGTCTCGCCGAAGAGAAGTCGATGAATTCATCAACCCAACAAGTGTTTTGAGATGCGGAGGCGGCGTTGACCGCGGGGGCATTTCCATTGGGTGCAAAATGGCCCATGGGAGGCATCTTCTGGTGAGAAAAGTCAGGCCAACTGGGTGTTATGCTTGGGATTTTTGGAGGTAATTGTGCCATAATGTACACAAATTAACCACAATCTCAATCAAACTTGGAATGTTTAAAATGATTAAGAGAGAGAAAGGGAGGGAGAGAGAGAGAGAGAGAGAGAATGAAAGAGAGGAGATGAGGGATGTGAGTCTTGGAAGAAACCAAACAAAATTACAAGCTCCAACAAAGGCTCCTATATATATACCCAAAAAAAAATACACACAAACCAGGGAATGTTGAAGGTTCAATCATGAATATTGCTGAGGAGAGGGGGTTAAGAAAGAAACCCACGAGACAACATGATTATATTTTGAGCTTCTTCTTTCATTTTTAATATTTTTATTATTTATTTAATGAAATATTTTTTTCTCTCGATCTCTAATGTGCAGTGGGGTCACATGGGAGAGGGAGAGATCGGACAGCTATCGCCAGCTGGGAGGAGGTTGGGGCTCAACGGTTTTACTGGAAAGTCGCCAGTACTAGTTTTAATAACTAGCGGAATCAGCCACCACGTGCCCTCGTGCCCATCTCTTTAGTGGGGGAGCTTATAATAATAGCCTCATTATTTTTATTTTTTCTTTCTTTCTTTCTTTTTTTCATTTTGCATCCAAGGGAACATTCCGATGATGTACATGCACCACCCCCTCCACATTTAACCTTGACAGTCTCAATTCTGACCGTCTGATCCATCCACATGGGGTGGGGGAATGATTCATATAGTACCAAGTGCCAACCAACCCCCATTACTCGTCCTTGGATCAATAGTATCATGGCCATTTTTAGGAATTACTTATCGTATTAAGAAATACTTTATTTCGCAAATGTGAGTTAGGTCAATTGATTATAACATTGTGAGTTAGCTCAGTTGATCATAATAGCGTGACCGTTCCTTTGTATTCCAGTTCAAGTCGCCCTCTCTTTAGACCAAAGTAATTTAGACTATAACTTCTATTAAATTTTTTTTACAAAAAAAAAGGAAATACTTTCTTTTTAACAATAAATGAAAAATGAAAAATGAAATTAAGATACTTTATAACTTGGTAAAGAAAATTGTCATTATATCAAGACTTAGTGGTTAAAAAAGATTGTTAGGAATTTGGACCGATGACCCAATTATTAGTTTCTGTCATTTTGTGTTATCAAAGTGACTCTAGGGGAGGTAAATAATTAACTGGAGAATATCCCAAACTGTAAAGCTTGAACTAATTAAATTGAGTTAACTACTTTTAGGGTTTCATAATAAAGAGAAGTAGGGTTTAATAATCACATCTCTCTAAGTTCGGGATCCACATAAAATTGATCTCTAATTCAAGAAACATCTCTGTGAATTTGGGATGTTCACGTAAAATTTTTACTCTAACGAGTCTTACTAACATACGTACATAATCAATTAACCAAAGAAAGAAAACAAGAAAAACCATTCGCATTGAAGCTTCTTGGTGTGAGGGTTATGCACAGGAGGTGGACCTGGTATTATATTAGCAGTTGTAAGATAATCTTAATAAATTAGTGGGATTAGGGGATTTGGGCATGATGCTTGAAGGAAAGGGTGGACAGAGAAACTGTAGGGAATCACGTCACAGTTCCCATGTGAATTGTTCGGATGGATGCTGTAATTAAGCTTTATTTGCTTTGTCCCCAAACCATACCCACATGTAGCTATACGTCTTCTTCTTCATCTTCTTTTCTCTTTCTCTCTCCCTCTCTTTGTTTCTTGGTACCTTCCATCTGTACCTCAACTGGAATTTATGTAGTTTTTAAATAGTGAGGATAAAATAAAAGTACTTGGGAGGCACTAATTATGATTAGAGGGGTGTTTAGAATATACATTAATTTGCCGCCTTTATCGAGGAAGTGCCTGCCATATTCACAGATGTACTTAATTCATACGAAAAATGAACATGGTAGCTGGTACTTCATTTGCTCTCTCTCTCTCTCTCTCTCTCTCTCTCTCTCTCTCTCTCTCTCTCTCATGTACATGTATTATGTTATTGATTTGTTTACATAAAATCAACATATTTGAGATTGTTTATTTTGTTTATGTGATTGTTTATTTTGTTGTTCTTTTAAACATGGATATAGTAACATGGTATAGATCTCAAAACCATTCTTTAAGAAATGGAATGAGTTGCATATGTGAATTATGCCAGTTGGTTAGTGTAATGATTCTGTTTCTCTATACCCAAGTTCGAATTCCCCTTTCTGCAGATAAGATTAATTTAGAGTAATTTTAGACTATCACTTATATATTAGAAATGGAATGATCTTATTACAAGCTAAAACCTAAAGCTAAAGACTTAAAACACAATTGATGAGAAGTTGGGGCCGACGTGGTTTCCCATGGAATAGTGTGTTCTATTATCCTAGATATTTTGAGGCATCATCCTTATATTAATTGATGTTGATGTCCAAATTTGGTTTCAACTTTAGATGATGAAGTATGGGGTCTTCGGCAGAGATAGGAAGGTGCAGATATTCAGCAGGGAGACTTTCGGTAGTCATCAAGCTGAATGTGCTTGGTTAATTATGGTATAAATAGTAGTCCCCTAAGTTGCCGATCAATAAGTGGCTTCTAGGTTGGAAACTTGTAAAATGCCAAATAATCAAACTAAGCGATTCGGCATGACGGACGCCGTAGGTAGCCCCCTAGTCCCCCCAAGTTTGCAAGTTAGGAGTCGTTTCGGCAAAGAGGTGATTAGGCTAAACTGTGAAGTGAACATGGGGTAGGCAGCTAGATGATTGGCATAAGTCTTACCAAATGGGGGATAGCGTATATCTTGCACAAAAGGTTCTCTTACGCAATCGGTAGTAGAGTGTGCGTGTCGCGCGAGGAGTTCTCCTCGACATGATCGGCACAGAGCCTATCGATCGGTAGGGGAGTGAAAGTGTCACACGAGGAGCTCTCCCTACATGATCATCACGGTGCTTGTTGATCGACATGGGGTGATTTCGCCCATGTCACACGAGAGTCTCCTGCACGATTGACATGGTGCTTGCCGATTGGCATAGGGTGATTTCGCGTGTGTTGTGCGTAGGGCTAGCAATGGGTCGGGTCGTGTCAGGATATTAAACGTGTTAAGAATGCTCAACCCGAACCCAACCCATTTAATAAACGTGTCGTGTCTGGTTCGGGTCGTCTTTTATCGCGCAGGTTTCGAGTCGTGTAATGGGTTGATAAATAATAACATGCATGTTACAAAAGTCACAACTGAAAAAATTTAAATAAAAAAAATGGAGAGAGGAGAGAAAATATAAGGAAAAGAAACAAAAAAAAAGGATAGAGAGAGGAGAGAAGAGAGAAGGAAAACAAAAAAAAATAGAGAGAGAGAGAGAAGGAAAGAAATAAAAATAAAAAGAGAGGAGAGAAAATTAAAGAGAAGGAAAAGAAAGAAAAAAAATAAGAGAGGAGAGAAAACTAAAGAGAAGTAAAAAAAGAGAGGAGAAAAGAGAGAAGGAAAAGAAATTAAAAAGAGAGAGGAGAAGATAGAAGGAAAAGAAAGAAAAACAAAGAAACATTATAAATATCAAAAGGCATAGTATATAATCACAAAGTTGTATCTAGCATTGTGGATAAGGTGTTGGAGAGTAATGAATATGAAGGGGGTTCGAAACCCCATATGTGTGTTTTGAAGTCTTTATTTCTCTATGTTTTTTCGCCGGTTGGCGTGTCTTACACGGGTCGTGACACGACCCGTTTAATAAACGGGTCAAAACGGGTTGACCCGAAAATTACCCAATTATTAATCATGTGGGTTCGAGTCGTGTTTTTTCCGTGCGGGTTTCGAGTCGTGTAATGGGTCGTGTAGGAAATTGCCACCCCTAGTTGCACGAGAGTCTCCAACAGAATTGGCGAGGTGATTGCCGGTCGGCAGGGGGTGATTTCATGTGTGTCACATGAGAGTCTCCCGCACGGTTGGCACAGTGCTTGCTGATTGGTAGGGGGTGACTTCGTGCTTAACATGTTAAAGTCCCTTACAGGATCGGCATGCCCTTGCCGATTGGCAGGGTGACTTCGTGCTTGTCACTCGATAATCCCTTGCAAGATTAGCTTGGGCCTTGCGATCGAAGGGGTTTGTCTTCACCCCGCCGAATCATGTAGAGATCGTCTGCCTAATACAAATGATCGGTCTGGATCCTGAAATGATCTAAGAAAATTTTCTTAAGACTATTGAAGGAGTTGATGATGTCGGGGTTCAGCCAATAGAACCAATTCATGGTAGCCCCACTGAGCGTGGAAGGAAAGAGGAGATACATGCCTTCATCACACAAGTTCTTGCACCCTAAGAAGGATTGAAAGGAGTGGATGTGGTTCAGAGGTAAGGTCTAAAATATCGATGGTATCGGAAATATCGGTAGTCCAAAAACACAAAATTTCGATGGAAATATCGGAATATTATTGATATCTATAAAATTGAATAAAAACCACAGAAACTTTGGTGGATGTTTATTTAGTCAATTATCTATTGGCTTATCACAAAAAAAAAGGAAGGAAATGCATTGCATTATAGGTTTAACTGATTTAAGTTGATTATATAGCGAGCTGAAAAATATTGTGAGTGTAGAAAATATGTTGTAATTAATGAAAGAAGATTAAACACACCATAATCATTTATAATAATGATTTACTACAATATTTTATACTTTATACATTGCATGGTAAGATACATGAGTGACTTAGTACCATATAGAGTTCCTATAAGGTTCAAATTTTTCACTATTTTCATCATCTCTATGTGTAGAGTAAGTGCATTGTGAAGAGCAGTCATCAAATGATAAATCCTCAAAATAGTTTTGTATGTAATTATTAATATGCCACCCATATGGATCTGAGATTGCTTGACGTTGTTCATAAGCAAAATCATTTGAAGATTGGTGTAGACAAAGAAATTTTGGAGGAATAAATTCCATTAGATAAGAAAATAATTAGGTTCGGTGGATTAAATTGTGGGCCCCATAATTCGCCCATGTGGCATACGACTCATCAAAATCGGATTAGTTGTCAAAGGTGACACGTGTCGACATTCGGCAGTGTGCATCAAACGGTTCAAATTGAAGATAAATTAAAAGAATCTTATGTGATTGACTTTGATTTAAATTAAATATTAATCAAGTCAATCAATCGAAGATAATTGGGTTAAATTTCCAAATTATCGGAATTGATTTTAAATCAAATCAAAATCCCACAAAGTAAGGTCCTAAAGAAGGAAATCTATTTAGGTCAAACATCCTGTAGGAGCCTATAAATAAAAGGCCTTAAGATGAAGGAAAGGAGTTAGACAGGCCAAGCACTTAGAAGAAACAGAAAACTCTCTGCATTCTTTACCTCACTTTGGAAGAGCCACCAAGCACAACAAATACGTGCCGGCTCCACCCTAGAAAAATCCAGTCACCAAACAAACCTTGTGCTACCCGTTTGATCAAGATCAAGTCTCTACGACCCTTGTATCAAACACAAATTTTCTTTAAACACTTTGGAGATTGAATTAGAGGATTTAATATAGAGATTGTAACCCTAAATTTCATTAATACTAATATTATTTTGTACACGTGTTCTTGTTTCATTTGTCGCAGGATTTTCCTGTTTACAAATTTGGCACGCCCAGTGGGACCATCTCTGCCTCTCATCTCTTTTTCCAGTTCCAAGCTCAATCAATACACTGAAAACGATGGCTTCCAAGAAGATTCAAACCATTCTCTTGACGAAAGGCAAAAGCATAAGCACCTCCTTCTCAAGCGGAGACTCTTCTGGGGTCGTCACCCGGAGCAAGGCCAAGGCGATATCCGCAACTCAACATGTCACTTCCATACCGACTCAAGCCAAGGCGAAAGATGTGAATTGAAGGCGTGAACCGGTTATCAATTTGGCCTCCTTGGGGGCAAAGAAGAATACCTCCCGAGCGGATAAGAGAAACTCTTAGAACGAAGAAAAGAGTTTTTCGAGCTCAAAGAATTCAAGAGAACATTCATTCTCGCCTATTTCAGATGCTGACTTGAGCACATGCTCATACCATGGATCCCCGCCTGACGACCAATAGAAGAAGATTGCCATGCAACCCTCGACGTCCATAGGTTAGTCTTATCCTATGTCCATGTAGGTCATGGTGGCAAGAACGATGTCTATTGAAGAATAGCTTGCCCATATGAGCGAAGTGGTGACAAAATTGACGAAGATGGTCGAAAAGAAAGATACGCAGATTGCTTCCCTTATTAACAACTAGGAGGCACATCAGGATAATGAGTCTGGTCAAGATGTGCACAAGGAAGGACCACATCATGAAGCTGAATCCAACGAGAAAGGATTGGGTCATGAAATAGAGTTGAGTGAGAAGTTGCAAGGAAAAGGCGACGCCGCCTTAGTGGGTTCTTTGTTGGTCCAAAAACTTCAGGACAAGATCACGAACACCATCAGGGTTCAATACAGAGCTCCTTCCCGAGACACACTCATATATTCCAAGTCATACACTGGGAGGATAGATAACCTGCAGATGCTAACGAGATATCAACCTCCCAAATTTCAACAATTCGAAGGAAAAAAAAAGGCATGCTTGAGGACTTGCTTGAAAAAAATGTGATCGAATTGCTAGAATGTAAGCGGTCTAGGAGATGAAATGGGTTAGCAACCCTAAGTTTTGCAAGTACCACCGAATTGTCAGTCATCCAGTAGAGAAGTGCTTTGTGTTGAAGGAGCTAATTATGAACGTGGCTAGGCAAGGAAAGATTGAGTTGGACGTTGACGAAATCGCAGATGCGAATGTTGCCACAATTGTGTTTGGATTCTTTAATTCAGTGCCGTTGCCCGCATTGTTGTCAAGATTGGAGTTTCAATCAACAAGGGGCATACTCCAGGTGATTGATCTGCGTGCAAAAGAAGTGGTGGGCAAACCAAACAATCGAGGTGGTGATGGTTTTGTTGGTGACTCACCTTTCGATGATGATAAAGAATGGATGCTCGTTACCCGGAGGAAGTCTCGTGCGAAGTGTACTCCTCCACAACAAAATGCTCAATCAAAGAAGGAGCAGTGAAAGAGAAGCTCGCGTTAACACTCTAAGAACAAAACCAAAATAATGGGAGAGACCTTAACCAAGAAAGTGGACCACTAATCCAAAAGCCACGGAGTCCAATTATGCTAGGAGAATACTTTCCCAAAGTGTTCTTCGTAAGAGGGCAGATGGAGACAGTCCATATGACAACTTGCTATCAAGTAGATGACGAAGATGCCTTGGAAGGAAAATCTAAGACTCATGAAGAACAAAAGGTCTCAGTACAAACAGAGGACTCACCATCGTACTTCAATATTGAGGAAGCAATGCAACTTCTTGAAGCATACATGTAGCATTGGTAAATGCGCTGACGGATCTCAATATTCATCCAAATAAAATAAGAGTGATTGAAAGATTGGAGCCTGTGTCTCAAGATCATGCTATTTGTTACGTGACATGTACGTCCATCACATTCACTGATGAAGATCTCTTGTTAGGATCCAAACCACATAACCGTCCGCTTTTTGTGTTAGGGTACATTCGAGAATAGAAGCTTAGTCGCATGCTCGGGATGAAGGCTCGACAGTAAACATCATGCCTAATTCCACAATGATGAAGTTAGGCATCACCATTGATGAATTGTCTGGAAGTCGTCTCATGATTCAAGGGTTCAACCAACGGAGGCAAAGAGCCATGGGCATGATCAGAATTGAGCTCGTGATAGGTGATTTAAAGTCAAACACCCTATTTAACGTGATTGATGCCAAGACTTCCTACAATATTCTTTTAGGAAGGACGTGGGTACATGAAAATGGAACAGTGCCTTTAACTTTACATCAGTGTTTCAAATTTACAAAGGCGAAGTAAAGAAAATCTTAGGTGACAGCAAACCATTTATTGAAGCTGAGTCTTATTTTGCCAATGCCAAGTTTTACATGGATGAAGACATGGTATCTGAAGTTATTCCCGTTGAGGTTCACTCAACAGGCAAGGCCATACCAAGAAGAGATGAACATTCAAAGTTCCTTCCTACTGAATTGAAAGGCGATAAGCAGTCAAAAAGCATTTTGTCTGGACAAATGGGATGATCATTGATAGATTCATAGAAGGTGTCCATTCCAGTCCTTTGTTATTTCTCATCATCCCGACGGAAGGAAGGACAATCCCTATTTGGAAAAGAAGTAAAACCAAGCAAGTTAGGGAAAATGATATGAAGTTCTTGAATGAGTCGACAACCATGCCTTTACCCAAGTTGAGCAATTTAGACATTTCGAAACCTTCGATACGAGGGTTCATCAGACCATCACAAGATGCAATAAGACGCGAATCTCTTCCGGTCAAAAGAACTAAAGAAGGTTTTGATCCTAATGCTTATAAGCTCATGTCGAAGGTAAGTTATGACTTCAGCTTATCTCCTTCGCTGGGAGAGCCTAATCTAGATATCACCGAAGAAAGGACAAATTGCCTTACCAAAACCCAAAAGAAGTTGAAGGAGCAGGGTTACGTAATCGACTCAGCTAGAGCAGGCCTTGGTTTTACTCCTATCACACCGATTAAGATCTCTACTAGAAGGAAAGAGAAGAAGGCAGATGCTCAACACATTAGTGTCGAAGTGGTCGAGGAGGAAGAAGAATGATAGGATTAAAAGCACACCACAAAGTAGCACACAAATAACCTATTGATTTTCCTTATTAACACTAAGATTCATCAATTGTAGCATATGAAAATAAGGGTCTTTCCTGCAGAAGATTGTCTTATCTAACTACTTGAAATGTCACAAAAACTGGGCTGCTGTCCCTACTGACCAGCCACCGAAGAAATAATTATTATCCCTACTTACACTTATCGAAAGTCTACGAAATTTTATGCACAGATACTAGACACGCAGAGCTACACTCACACAAATTTTTGGGATTTTTAGAGTTGATTTGCTATATAAATTAAATCGGACAACAACATAACAGAAACGGATTTTCAATTATAAGAACAGATTATCTTTCACAATTAAGAAAATGAGTTAGGGGAAGTGCTATCCACCACCAAATAGTCATGCAAACATGTTATGTTTCAATCAGATTCCTTTTATTTCCGGATGAAGATGCTCAAGTTGGCTCAATGTTAGAACTCAACCTATTACTCTTTCTTATGTAGTATGTTAAGAGAATGACGTTTTCAACTTAACTTAGTCCCTAGCATGCAATCTAGAATGGCGTGTTCATAGATTTAACAAGTAGAAATCATTAAGAACGAAAAGAGTTTGAGTCATCACAAGGCATCGTAAGTACTGGCGTTGTCTTACTTATCCTAGAAATTGATTCACATATTAATCGCAACTAACAAGTACTACTCTGGAACATATGTAGGTCCTCATTCAACAGGCATACACATATTCATAGCATTAGAATCCTAAATATGCTTACTAAGTATTCATCCGTAGAAAACACATAAAGAAGTCATCAACGAGACAAGTAGTGAAGCAATTTTCATCCTTTCATGAAAGAAATTGAAACGAAATGTCATAACACATTTGCAATCATATCTGGGGCTTCAAAACAGCCCCTAACTACTAAAAATTTAGTTACACATTATTCTTAAATTAAACCAAAAGAAAGACATGAGTTTGGGAAGGTAAAACTGAAAGAGGAGAACGCCAAGATTTCCTCCCTCCTCTAACGTTCCTGCCTTGCCTCTCTATTTCCTTTTTCACAGATCGCCCTCTCTCCCAACTTATTCTACTAATAGCTATTTATTGATGACAATAAGTGAGACAAAATGGTAAAACAATTGTAACTCTTTGGGTGGCCTTTAAGCCAATTACTCCCACCTAATCCCCATCTTTAATTCCATTTCCTCATATATTTGAATAGGTTTCCGCTGGCTTGTTCTTGGCTGCATCCGTTTTGGCTGTTAGGTTTATTGGGTTTATTGCTTTCATTGCAGTTAGAAACTGCTCAGCCTCTTGTGAACCTTTCAGTGTTAAAATGCCTATTAATGTTTCTAGAAAAATGATATGAACAATCCACGAAGTGCTCCAGAGAATAGACATCTGTAGCTTTCCAAGCATATATGGCACGTTCTCTAATTCATTCCAAGCTGTTCACAACTTGCTTCCAAAGTCAGCTCATCTGCACAGGCAGTTTTGACGAATTTGTGACTTAAAATCCCACTTGTGCTATTTTTCTTTTCTTTGCTTGATAGATCCTACAAAACACAAAAACAAAGTAAATAGCTCAAAAATATAAGGAACTAACTAAGAAAAGACAAGTGAATTTGGTGTAAAATATATATAAATATGAGCTTGTCAAATACCCCCACACTTAGCTTTTGCTAGTCCTCGAGCAAAACAAAGAAAACATGAAAAAGTAGCAAAATGAAAAACATTAGCTTCCCCTTATGTGACCCTCATAGAATTTCATTCAAGAAACCAACTCATCAAGAACCTTAGCTAGCACCAAACAAGCTAATCCAAGCTCATCTTCCTTATTCAAATGTTAGTTGAAACCTTTTAATCATCCTTGAAGTGTAGTGTGTGTAATAGCCATGCTAATGCAATTTCAAGTTTTTTTTTAAAACACCATATGCAAACGAGTGACCTTCTCACGGAACATACACTCAATCACACATGTTTAGTTTAGCGTGTTTCGCTCAAAGAATCAATGTGAAAGATCTACCATAAGCTTGCATAAAGATCTCATCTCCACAATCATAATTGCAAAACTTAAATCAAGAGGACTTTTATTGGATGTAATGAGGCTTAGGGCGAGGGTCATAGAAATGAAAAGATATGTAAACACAAGTCCCAAGCTACATTGTTAGCAATTCTCTTGTTGAGATTTACAAGAACTCAAGCTTTCCAACTACTCTACTAATACCTCCAACCACACCCCTTAACTGAAACTGCAGGTACTTTTTTTTTTTTTTTTTTTTTCTTTGATTTTTTTTTTTTTTTTGCACATAACTAACATACAAACATACAAATACCCCCACACTTAGGCCTAGTTTGGGATTGCTGCCGCTTTAAAAAAAATCTGCTTCTGCTGTGCTTTAAAAAGAATCAGCTGTAAAGTAAAGCAGTTAAACGTTTGGTAAACTGTAATTTTTAAAGTGCTGTGAATATGAAAAGCAGTGTTAGAGCGTTTGGTAAATTTTACCGTAAAAGTGCTGTAACTATTTATAATTACTAAAATGGACATGATGCTGAAAGTGCTTTTTACTAATCTGTTTGGTAAAAAATAAAACTGTAAAGTGCTTTTATACTTTTCTCCCTAAAAATTATATTAATCTTTGCTTAAAGAAAAGAAAAATTCAAATTGAATAAACTCCAACAAAGATAATTATGATTTGAATAAATTCCAACAAAGATAAAGAGATCACCACGGTAGTAGGTTCATACACCATCCTTGATATTGAATAAGTAATAAACATTTTTTTAAGGTTTGAATTGTAGCAATAAAAACAAATTGAAACTAGGCTTAAATAAATGGAAATAAAGAAAATGTCTAAGAAGATGCATGCATTAAACTTGCAGCAATCTTGTTCCTTAATGTTTCTAGTTCTTGTGCTCCAGGCCCTTGAGTAATATGATATTCTTCTTGTGCATCACCCTCCATCTCCATTGCATTTGGGTTGTCATTCACTTTGTCAAAATGAATATCACGTTGGGCATGCCTCCTTATATAGTTGTGAAGTGCCATAGTTGCAATTACTATCTTCACTTGCTTATCGAATGGATAGCTAGGCATGTCTCGTAAAATACTCCATTTTTTCTTCCATACACCAAAAGTGCGTTCAATGACACTCCTAAGGGAAGAGTGTACGTGATTAAATACTTCTCTAGAACCTGTTGGTTGAGTACCCCTACGAAAATCTGGAAGATGATACCTTTCACCTTTATATGGTCCCAAATACCCACTCATTTGTGGGTAACCCGCATCCACAAGATAATATTTTCCTGTAACCAATAAGATATGTTTAATTATAATATAATTTGAAAGTGCAAAAATTTGAAGTTTAATGATATGCACATATTTGAAACATTACCATTTGGAGGTTTGGGAAAATTTAAAGCATTATTTCGTAACGCTGATAAAAATACTCTTGTATCGTGTGCAGTGCCTTCCCAACCTGCACATGCAAATATGAATTGCATGTCAAAATTACATGCAGCCATTATGTTTTGAGTCGGTATTCCTTTCCTGCCAATATATGGTACTTGATCTTCAGGAGGTATTAAGGCTTTAACATGTACGCCATCTATAGCACCAATGCAATCCTGCAAACAATAAGAGAAACATTTCAATAAATATTACTTTGTTCCTAAAACAAATGATAAATTGTTGTATCTAATTTTTACCTTAAAATGGGGCATATATCTTGAATCTCTCAATATCTCTTCCGGGACTCCCTTAAACTCAGGATCCAATGGTTTTATGATATCAACGGCCATATGGCATACAATATCAAGTAATTTACCAAAGTATCTACTCACAGTTTCACCAGAATGTTGAAATCGTTCTTGTGCTAGCCTATTCCCTATACCATGTCCTAGAATGTGCACAAACATTCCCAACATCTCAGCAGCACACATTCTCCTAGAACCTCTCAACCCATAATTATTTTCCAAGTCAGTGCATAATTGCAAAAATACACATTTATCCATTCTAAACATTCTATAACAACGTTTTTCATTCCCTCGTAACATTTCCATCACCCACTTATTTCCTGTTTGAAAAGAATCCATACAAGGACTTTTATGAATATACTTCTCATAATAATATTCCATAGTACGAATACAAACACATACAATTTGGTTGAACTCCCTTTCATCTTCTGAAATTTCCATATCTTGCAATAAACCTGCAGTGTTATAGACATATGCATTGATATAAATAAAAGTCATATGAATTTTCAATAAAAACAACCATCCAAATAACAGTCACATATAACTAACCATCCAAATAACAAATTCAAATAGCAAACCCAAATACGACACCTAAAAAATAAATCCAAGTAGCAAAACAAAGTTCTAAGAAATATTAGACACTCTTTTCTCTTGATTTAGGAATAACCGAGTTGCAAACAACCACAAATGGCTCCCAGGCCCTGCACCAGGTAAAGACGAGACTGCTTTCATCACTTCAGCAATGCTGCTACCTTGGGACCCTTTCATCATCATTGAAGTCGTACTCCTATTCTCCATTACATCAACCATCCGCTCAATTTGTTGTGACAATTTAACAGCACCTCCTACCTTCCCCACTTTTGTAGCAACTCTACTTCCGTTCTTCTCTTTCTTAACCTGTGTATCAAGTTGTTGATTTGTTCTCTTTTTCCCCTTCCCACAAGATTTTTCAGTAACTTGAATTGTTTCATCTGGTACGTATATGGGATCATCAGAATCATCACCACTATCGAGTAGAATATCACCACATTCGGAGGAATCATGAGTTGGAAGTACACCATGAAGGTGCCCAAGCATGGTCACCAGTGGCAGTGGTGTTCATGAACATTCTATCAAACTTCTCTTCCATATCAGGACTAATACCTTTCTACGTAATTTTGCATATTTGGGATTTATCTACAAATCAAAGAGAACAACATTAAAAACTATTACAGATGTTTCATTGAATTATAATAAACAAACAACATTAAAAAAATATTAATAACATACCTCAATTTTGTTATGCCACCATTCATCAGAAGCATCAATAGTCCCAAGTTTGGAATTCCACCCAAGACCAGTTTCTTTTCCAATTAGTTCTTTCCATATTTTCCATTGTTCCTTAAGTGCATCCCACTTATTTTTCAATTGTGATTTATCATACTCGGCTCCTGTCTCTTTACTCAAGCTAATCCTCACATTTTCCCATCCTTCTTTCTTAAAGTGAGTACCAGGACGATTACCTGCCTCCACCTCCTTGATACACAGGTCACAAAATATAGTTGTATTCTGATTATTCCATACAGCCGAACTCGTGATCCACTAGCCACATTATTATTCTTCACCATCTGTGCATGTCCTTATATAAATATGTATGTATTGGGAGATGAACATGTTATAGCAAATAATGTTTTTACTAAAAACATGGATAGTGCCTAAGTAATTACCTATAGGAAAACTTGGGCAAAACTACATACATCAAAAGCAATACACAAGTCGTACAAGATGACAAGGATTCAAACACACTCCCATATATTTTTCCCTTATGTTTTGGGTCTATAGTTTTGATATTTATTCACAAAAGATTAATGGAAGTCAAAGAAATAAAGTTTGCAGCAAAACTAGTTTATCATAAAGGGAATTAAAATAAAGTTTGCAGCAAAACACGTACTACAAATGAAAATCCATCATTGCTGGGATTGAATTGGCTATGGCCTCTAAAGATATGAATTCCAAGGAAGGGTCATTTGTGATGCTGGTTTGTGGCGGCGGTTCCATTAACCAGGTCCAGGTTCTACCAGTTGGGTTTTGGGTATGAAATTTTGCTCCCTTTTTTGGTTAAGTTAAGTTGAGCTTGTTTGGAATTGTTATAACTTTTCAGTATGCCAAAATTCTCTCACAATTCATAAAAGTGATTTCTTGTTTGATTATTCAGTGAAACGTGTAAAACATGCAGCATGCTCTGTTTGCACACTAAGAAATCTGATAAGAAACAAATTAGGACTTGCCCAAAACACAACATAAACATAGTTTACAAACACGCAGATAACACAAACCCAAAAACAGAGATTTTAGGCACGTAGATTTCCCAAGAAATATTATATTACAAGTATGCAGATTATATAAACATATAATATTTGTATGAAGAAGAAGACGAAGAAAAATAAACCCAGTAGAAAAATAAAGCCCATTGACAACCAATGGAGGCCTCGCAAACCAGTAGAACAATAAAGCACGTAGAAAAATAAAAAAATAAAAAGCAAGAGCAACACGTATATAAAAAGTTTGAGAGATTGAAGAGATTGAAGAATCTACCTTGTGAAAGAGATTGAGAGAGATTGAGAGAATGGTTGTCTTCAAACTTGGGAGGCTACGTGAAGATGAACTTTGGTGTCTGCAGATTTGAGAGAAATACGTGAGGATAGATTTCTAACCTAATAAGGGTATTTGTGGAATTGCAAAAATTTCATTAAAGGGAGCGCGCTGCTTCAATTAAAAGCAGCTTTAAAAAGCAACCCCGATGTTGCTTTTAAAAGCTGCTGTCAAAAGACCATTGCTTTTAAAATAAGCAGGATATTTTATTTTTACCAAACACCTTAAACTGCTTAACTTTAAAGTTAAGCAGGTTTTTGGGGAAAAAAAGCAATCCCAAACGGGGCCTTATTCATTTGCCAAACTCCTTCAAAGTACTTACACAAAGATTTCTCATAAGACAATCTCACATGGCTCACTAGCTAGCTTGGAAAGGGTAAGGAAAAATGTTTAAGGTATAATGGTAGACATATCTGGTGATAAGAAATAAAAGGCTCAACATGTACGGCTCAAGTCGGCAAACTAATGATATCATTTTTCTTTAGGATACATGCTTGTTTGGGCCATGGTGATAAACCTAATGCCTCTATCATTTTCAAGTTCATGCAATCAATGACAAATATTTCGAAAGATTGTTACGCAAGTTCTAGAGATGTAAGTCACATAAGTTCATCACACATGAAAGAATAGGAGTGTATGAAAAAGGCACACACTTTCAATAGGCTCAAAAATTCACATAGGTTGTCTATGGTCAGTATATTCACATATGAAGCTCTAAGTCATGCTTTAGTTTCATATCAACAAAGCTATTTGCATTTGGTTTTTCAAAGATGATTAAACATGTACAAAACTAACAAGAGAATCAAGAATGTCACACAACACATGCTTACTAAGTTCTTGATCATTGTGGTTCCAGTTCGATCCAATTATATCATTGGGTCGGGAAACTAACAACTATCTACTTCAAAACAATAAAGAAACCCCCCCCCCCCCCCCTTTTCCTTTTTTTTTTTTTTTTTTTTCTGTAAACAAAATAAGAAAACAAAATGCAACAACAAGGAAACACACACAAACACAGTTCGTAGTTGAAGGTATAAAATTTTTCATTTGGGTCATTTTTTAATCCTTACCCCCAAACATAAACTAGACATTGTCCCCAATGTCAGAAACCACTATAAATTATAAAATCAAATTCAAAATAAAATAAATAATAATAAACAAAATAAAGCAGTTGGACTGAAAACTTCCCCAATTTGCAGTAAAACCAAATGTTGACCCCCAAAACTTCAAATCTACAATAAACTCCAATGGTGGACATAACCAAATGTTCCTACAAAGAAAAGAAATAATTCAGTTTAGCACGCAAGAAAATTCAGAAAGAAAGAAGAAAAAAAACGAAAAAATTTGAAAATGACATAAAAAGACAATGAATAGAAATATTGGGTTGCCTCCCAATAAGCACTTGCTTTTACGTTCGCAGCTGGACGGTACCAAGAATAATCATCCAAGGGGAGCTGGTTCTTGGAGGGGTACAACCTCCACATCATGCTCCGTAAAAGACTCGTAATATGGCTTGAGTCTATGCCCATTCACTTTGAACACGTTTCTGGTCTTTGCACTTTGGAGTTCCACTGCACCATGAGGAAAAATATTAGTTATAACAAATGGACCAACCCAACGAGAACGAAGCTTACCTGGAAATAACTGAAGGCGAGAATTAAATATAAGAACTTTCTGTCCAATGACAAAGCTCTTCCTTAAGATCATCTTATCATGAAATGCCTTCGATTTCTCCTTGTATATGCGACTAGACTCGTACGCATCATTCCGGATTTCATCTAACTCATTCAATTGAAGCTTCCTCTGCTTTCCAGCAACACTCATGTCCATGTTGTAGGCTTTGATCACCCAATAAGCTTTGTGCTCTAATTCTACTGGAAGACGACATGGTTTCCCATAAACTAACCGAAATGGGGACATTCCAATAGGAGTCTTATAGGCAGTCCTATAAGCCCACAATGCATCGTTCAAGCGCATGCTCCAATCCTTCCTACTTGGACTCATAGTTTTCTCCAAAATTTGCTTTACCTCTCGGTTTGATACTTCTGCTTGACCACTTGTTTGCGGGTGATAAGGTGTAGACACCTTATGTGTGACATTGTACTTCCTAAGCAACGTTTCAAATGTTCTATTGCAAAAATGACTCCCTCCATCGCTGATGACTGCTCTAGGTGTTCCAAATCTTGCAAAAATGTTAGTCTTAATAAAATCTGAAACAACTTTTGAGTCATTAGTTTTGGTGGCTTTCGCTTCCACCCATTTAGAAACATAATCCACAGCCAATAAAATGTAGAGAAAACCATTTGAAGATGGAAAAGGTCCCATGAAATCAATGCCCCACACATCAAAGATTTCAACAATTAAAATAGGGGTTTATGGCATTTGATTTCTTGGGCCCAAGTTAGCTGTTCGTTGACAACGATCACATGTTGAACAAAACTCGTACGCATCCTTAAACAAACTAGGCCAATAAAAACCACTCTCTAGCACCTTAAGCGTTGTCCTCTTTGCTCCAAAATGGCCGCCACATGCATAAAAGTGACAAAAAGTTAGATAGATTTAAACTCATATTCGGGGACACACCTTCTAATCAATTGATCATGGCAATATTTCCACAAATAAGGATCGTCCCACTCGTAGTTTTTGGCGGTTTTGACAAGCTTATCTTTCTGAGCACGTGTAAAATCATCCGGAATCTTTTTGGTGACCTTGTAATTGATAATATATGCATGCCAAGGGTCAGTGGCCTTTAAGGAAAACAATTGTTCATCCAGAAAACTCTCACGTAAAGGGATGAGATCTTCCTCTGTGTGTGAATGCACAAGTCTGCTAAGATGATATGCTACAACATTCTCACTCCCTTTCTTATCCTTGATCTCCAAGTCAAACTCTTGAAGCAGAAGTATCCATCGAATGAGTCGCGGTTTTGCATCTTTTTTTGTGAGTAAGTACTTCAAAGCTGCATGGTCAGAAAACACAATAACTTTAGTACCAATAAGATAAGATCTAAATTTTTCTAAAGCAAATACAACAGCTAAAAGCTCCTTCTCTGTTGTTGAATAATTCAACTGTGCATCATTGAGTGTTCGAGATGCATAATAGATGACATATGGCACTTTGTTGACACGCTGCCCTAGAACTGCACCGACGGCATAGTCTGAAGCATCACACATCAACTCAAATGGTAAACTCCAATCTGGTGGCATGATCACAGGAGCCGTGGATAACAACTCCTTAAGCTTGTTGAATGCTACCACACACTCTTCATTCATATCAAATGTTGCATCTTTTTGAAGCAAACGGCATAAGGGTCTAGAAATCTTTGAGAAGTCCTTTATAACCTACGGTAGAAACCTGCATGCCCAAGAAAAGAACGAACCTCCCTGACAGTAGTAGGGAGGGGTAATGAACTAACAAGTTCTACTTTAGATTTATCAACTTCAATTCCCTTTTCAGATATGATATGTCCTAGAACTAATCCATGTGAAACCATGAAATGACATTTTTCCCAATTTAATACTAGATTAGTTTCTTGACAACGTTTTAGAACTAGGGACAGATTATGTAGACATGTATCAAAAGAATCACCATAAATAGAAAAATCATCCATGAACACTTCAATTATTTTCTCAATCATATCAGAAAAAATACTTACCATACACCTTTGAAATGTGGCAGGAGCGTTGCAAAGTCCAAACGGCATCATTCGATATGCAAATGTGCCAAATGGACATGTGAAAGTCGTATTTTCTTGATTCTCCAAAGCAATTGCAATCTGATTATATCCAGAATAACCATAAAGAAAGCAATAATGAGAATGCCCAATTAACCTTTCCAACATTTGATCAATGAATGCGACTGGGAAGTGATCCTTGTGTGTGGCGTTATTTATCTTCCGATAGTCTATATAGACTCTCCAACTATTTTGCACACGTGTAGGTACTAGCTCTTTAGCTTCATTCTTAACAATTGTGACTTTGGATCGCTTAGGAACTACTTGAATAGGGCTCACCCACTTGCTGTCTGAGATAGGATATATGATGCCAACATCAAGAAGTTTGATAACCTTTTTCTTGACGACCTCCATCATGAGTGGGTTCAAACGGCGTTGAGCTTCCCTTGTTGGTTTTGCACCTTCCTCCAACAGAATTCTATGCATACATGTAGCTGGATTTATACCTTTGATATCTGCAATGCTCCAAGCTATGGCAGTTTTATGATCCTTTAGTACCCGAATCAGTTTATCTTCCTCTTCTACTGTGAGTAATGACAATATGATGACCGGTAATGTTTCATCCTCTCCCAAAAATGCGTACTTCAAATGTTCAGGAATCGGTTTAAGCTCCAATTTGGGTGCCTGAATTGCAGAAGGAAAAGTCTTTTGATTAGAAGTAGGAAGAGAAATAAAATAGGAAGAAGACTTACCACGAATTGGTGAAAGAGACTCAAGGGCTGCCACTGTCTGGATTAATTCTTCTTCAATGTGCTCGGAATAATTAAGTGTTCCATGTGTAATGCTATGCTCTAACACCTTCTCTAAATTTTCTTGTCCCACATCTTTATTAAAACAATGCTGCACAGAATAATCAAACTCATCAATAGAAAAACAAGATGCAAAATCACTAGGGTACCTCATGGCATCGAAGATTCTGAACTTGACACTTTCTCCATCAATTTCCATGGTTAAGGTACCATCGTAGACATCAATCTTCGTACGTGCCGTTCTAAGGAATGGTCTTCCCAATATAAGAGGAAGTGCAGTAGGCATAGGGTCATGTTCCATCTCAAGAACAAAAAAATCAGCGGGAAAAATGAGCTCATTCACTTGCACAAGTACATCCTCCAATAGGCCTTTAGGATATCTATTTGAACGATCTGCCAACTGGATTACTACCGTTGTTTCCTTTAACTCTCCAAGGTCCAATGATTCATACACTGAATATGGCATCGGATTGATAGATGCCCCCAAATCACACAATGCTCTCCCAAACTCTTTCCCTCCGACTACACAAGGAATGGTAAAGCTACCGGTATCCTTCAACTTCGGTGGTAGCTTCCTTTGCAAAACAACTGATACTTACTCGTTTAATGCCACAATTTCTTGATCATTGAATCTCCTCTTGTTCGTACAAAGCTCTTTAAGGAACTTTGCATACTTGGGCACTTGTTTTATGGCATCTAAAAGAGGTAAGTTCACTTGGACTTTCCGAAAAGTATCCATGATTTCCTTATCAGTTTGCTCTTTCTTAGACTTCATAAACCTGCGAGGGAAAGGAATAGGGACACATGAGTTAAATGAATTTTGAACTTCTTTACTTACCTTATCAGAATTGTTTTTGCTCAATTCTGTAGCTTTAGGAGACTCTTCAGTTTCTGTTGAAGCCTCATTTTGCTCAAAATTTTTGGTTTGTTGCTCCCCTTGCTCATTTGTATCTTTTCTAATCCTTTTTTGCATCCTTGGCTGCTCAAAAACTTCTTTTCCACTCCTTAAAGTCACAACATTCATTTGCTCCGCATTTGGATTCAGCACAATTTGGCTAGGCAACCTTCCTGGCTGGTGTTGTTGCCCCATCGAACTTGCTAACTGACTCATTTGGCGCTCAAGGTTCTCAATTGCTTTGTCTGTTTTTGTTGATGACATTGAGTAGAGTTAGCTAAAGAAGCAATTAAATCCTCAAGAGACTTACTTGGAGGTTGTTGCTGTTGAGGCTGCAATGGTGCATGAGGTCTTGCTTGAGAGAAGCCAGGTGGACGGTTATAGTTGTTGGGAACAGATTGTTGTCCGTTGTCTTGATTACTCCACTTGAAGTGTGGATGATGGCGCTGCCCCACATTATAAGTGTTGGAGTATGGATCATACTTTTGCCTTTGTTGCCCCTGAAACCCTCGTAACGCATTAGCTTGCTCATGACCACCTTGATCCATCAACAAAGGGCACATGTCCGTGGCATGTCCCATCATTGAACATACACCACACACCTGTTTTGGAGGCACCATAACCTGTTGCACAAGATTAGTCAAGTTAGCTAATTGTAATTCAATACTAGAATTAGTACTTACCTCATTAACTTTCTTAAAAGGTAGCTCATCTCTCCCTTCAAATTGTCGTGTGTTGCCAGCAATGTTCTTTAGCAATGCCCTAGCATTAGTTGGTGTTTTGTCCATGAATGCTCCTCCACTTGCTGCATCAAGCATTACATGATTAGTACCACACAATCCCTCATAAAAGTACTGTATTAAAAGATGCTCTGAAATCTGATGATTAGGACAAGATGCAACCAAATGCGTGAACCGCTCATAGTAATCTCCAAAGGGCTCTCCATGTTGTTGTCGAATTGCAGATATGTCTTTCCTTATGCTTGCGGCTTTTGTGGCCGGAAAATATTGCTCCAAGAATGCTTGCTTTACCTGGTTCCATGTGTTCATTGATCCCGGAGGTAAATTGTAAAGCCACTCTTTTGCCTTAGCTTCTAATGTAAATGGAAATGCCCTCAACTTGACTTGCTTCTCATTCACATTTGCTGGTCTCATTCCTGAGCATACCACGTGAAACTCCATGAGATGCTTGTTGGCATCCTCTGTTGAAAAGCCATGGAACTTAGGCAAGTAGTGAATCATGCCAGACTTGAGCTCAAATCCTCCTTCTGCATTTGGATATGTGATGCACAATGGTTGTTGATCCGTATTTGGCGTTGCCAATTCCCTCAAAGTACGGTTATCAGCCATGTCTTCTGGTGGTTCTTCCTCCTCTTCTAAACTCAAATGTGGTGGAGAAGATGGTCGTAAGGACACTGATGCACGCTGCTGCTTGTTTTTCTCCGAAGCTTTCGAAGTGTTCGTTCAAGCTTAGGATCAAAGGAAGCTAGGTCAATAATGCTCTTCGACCTTTGAGTATGCATATACCGCAAAGAGTACCTAAAATAGAAACAAAAACAAAAACACTAATTAGACAAGAAAAGAAAAACAATAGAAAAATAAGTGATTAGAAATAACAATCCTCAGCAACGGCGCCAAAAATTGATAGGATTAAAAGCACACCACAAAGTAGCCCACAAATAACCTATTGATTTTCCTTATTAACACTAAGATTCATCAATTGTAGCATATGAAAATAAGGGTCTTTCCCGCAGAAGATTGCCTTATCTAACTACTTGAAATGTCACAAAAACTGGGCTGCTGTCCCTACTGACCAGCCACCGAAGAAATAATTATTATCCCTACTTACACATATCGAAAGTCTACGAAATTTTATGCACAGATACTAGACACGCAGAGCTACACTCACACAAATTTTTGGGATTTTTAGAGTTGATTTTCTATATAAATTAAATCGGACAACAACAGAACAGAAACGGATTTTCAACTATAAGAACAAATTATCTTTCACAATTAAGAAAATGAGTTAGGGGAAGTGCTATCCACCACCAAATAGTCATGCAAACATGTTATGTTTCAATCAGATTCCTTTTATTTCCCGATGAAGATGCTCAAGTTGGCTCAATGTTAGAACTCAACCTATTACTCTTTCTTATGTAGTATGGTAAGAGAATGACGTTTTCAACTTAACTTAGTCCCTAGCATGCAATCTAGAATGGCGTGTTCATAGATTTAACAAGTAGAAATCATTAAGAACGAAAAGAGTTTGAGTCATCACAAGGCATCGTAAGTACTGGCGTTGTCTTACTTATCCTAGAAATTGATTCACATGTTAATCGCAACTAACAAGTACTACTCTGGAACATATGTAGGTCCTCATTCAACAAGGGCAGGCATACACATATTCATAGCATTAGAATCCTAAATATTCTTACTAAGTATGCATCCGTAGAAAACACATAAAGAATTCATCAACGAGACAAGTAGTGAAGCAATTTTCATCCTTTCATGAAAGAAATTGAAACGAAATGTCATAACACATTTGCAATCATATCTGGGGCTTCAAAACAGCCCCTAACTACTAAAAATTTAGTTACACATTATTCTTAAATTAAACCAAAAGAAAGACATGAGTTTGGGAAGGTAAAACCGAAAGAAGGAATGCCAAGATTTCATCCCTCCTCCAACGTTCCTGCCTTGCCTCTCTGTTTCCTTTTTCACAGATCGCTCTCTCTCCCAACTTATTCCACTAATAGCTATTTATTGATGACAATAAGTGAGACAAAATGGTAAAACAATTGTAACTCTTTGGGTGGCCTTTAAGCCAATTACTCCCACCTAGTCCCCATCTTTAATTCCATTTCCTCAGATATGTGAATAGGTTTCCGCTGGCTTGTTCTTGGCTGCATCTGTTTTGGCTGTTAGGTTTATTGGGTTTATTGATTTCATTGCAGTTAGAAACTGCTCAGCCTCTTGTGAACCTTTCAGTGTTAAAACGGCCATTAATGTTTCTAGAAAAATGATATGAACAATCCACGAAGTGCTCCAGAGAATAGACATCTGTATCTTTCCAAGCATATATGGCACGTTCTCTAATTCATTCCGAGCTGTTCACAACTTGCTTCCAAAGTCAGCTCATCTGAACAGGCAGTTTTGACGAATTTGTGACTTAAAATCCCACTTGTGCTATTTTTCTTTTCTTTGCTTGATAGATCCTACAAAACACAAAAAAAAAGTAAATAGCTCAAAAATATAAGGAACTAACTAAGAAAAGACAAGTGAATTTGATGTAAAATATATATAAATATGAGCTTGTCAAAGAACTGAAGTCTATTAAGAGAGCCTCAATGTTTGACTGTTTAGCCAAGCCTACCCAATGGACCTCAATTTTTAACCGCATCAAAGAATCAACATCACGACCCTCTGTGTTCAAAGGATAACTGGATATAATAGCCAAAGGGGAATTTGATAAGCTCCAAGAAAAACAAAAGTGATGATGAAGAAGCATATGTCATAGTTGTTCATCACATCATGATTAAAGAGCTCGATGAAGAGGAACCTTTCGAGGATGAGGTTCATGATGCCCCTACCACACTAGAAGTTGAGGAGCAAGTGATTGTAGATAAATTAGAAGAACTCAACTTGGGCACAGGTGAAGACCCAAGACCTATCTTCGTTAGTACGTTTTTGAACCCTAGCGAAGAGGAATTAGATCATCAACTGCTACTTGAGTATAAAGATGTTTTTGCTGGACGTATAAGGAGATGCCAGGCCTCGATCCAAAAAATTGTTGTCTATCACCTTGCAGTTAAGCCTGGGACGTGTCTAATAAAAAAAACTCAAAGTCGCTTCTGCCCGGAGCTTCTAGGCTAGATCAAAGCCGAAGTCGACAAGGTGATCGTCGTCAGATTTATTAGGGAGGTGAAATACTCAACGTGTATCGCGACCATTGTTCCGGTGAAGAAGAAGATCACTGGACAAATTCGTATTTGTGTTTACTTCCGAGTTTAAACAAGGCTTGCTCAAAGGATGACTTTCCATTGCCAATAATTGAGCTTGTGGTAGATGCAACCATAGGTCATGAAGCTTTATCATGGATGGTTCATCTGGATACAATCAAATAAGAATGTTGTCAGAGGATGAAGAACTCATAGCTTTCTGCACTCCGAATGGAATTTATTGTTATAAGGTGATGCCATTTGGTCTTATATACGCAGGTGCGACCTATCAGTGTGCAATGCAAAAGATCTTTAGTGACATGCTTCACAAGAATGTCGAGTGTTACGTTGATGACCTGGTGATCAAGTCACAGAAAAGATAAGATCACTTGAAAGACCTGAGAATGGTGTTTCACATACTGCGGAAATACCAACTCAAGATGAACGCTTTGAAGTGTGCTTTTGGCGTCACATTAAGTAAATTTCTCAGTTTCATTGTTAAGCATCGAGACATCGAAGTAGATCAGTCTAATATTAAAGCTATCTGAGATATGCCTGAGCCAAGAAATTTACGTGAGTTGAAAAGTTTACAAGGACATCTTGCTTTTATTCGACGATTCATCTCAAACTTAGCAGGGTGATGTCAACCATTCAGTCGTCTTATGAAATAGGACATCCCATTTGTTTAGAATGAGGCTTGTCACAATGCCTTTGAGAGCATAAAGAAGTACTTATCGAGTTCACCACTGTTAGGAGCTCCTATTCCCGGCAGGACATAAAGAGCAGGCACTCTACTATCTAAGCGGAACCCTTACTGGTCTCGAACTAAACTACACGCCTATAGAAAAGACGTGTCTTGCACTTGTTTTTTCTATTCAAAAGCTAAGGCACTACATGCAAGCTTTCACGGTTCATCTAATTGCACGAGCTGACCCGGTGAAGTACATTATGTCAAAACCAGTCTTGACAGGGCATTTGGCGAAGTGGGCGTTATTTCTCAATCAATATGAGATCATCTACACTCCAGCAAAGGCGGTTAAAGGTCAAGCTGTTGTAGACTTCCTAGTCGATCATCCAATTTCAGCAGACTGGGAAATTTCAAATGACTTACCTAACAAACAAGTCTTCTTCGTTGACATTTCTCCTGCTTGGATGATGTTCTTTGACGGATCGACTCGTATAGATGGGGCATGGGTTGGCGTAGTCTTCATATCACCCGAGAGACACTGACTACCTTATTCATTCTATTTAAGTGAGCTTTACTCAAACAATGTTGCAGAATACCAAGCTTTGATCATGGGCTTGCAAATGGCCGTGGAGATGAAGATATCAAGCTTAGAAGTGTATGGTGACTCCATGTTAGTGATCAACTAGCTATTGACCTATTACGAGGTTAGGAAGGACGATTTGATTCCATACCACCAAATGGCCACATAGTTACTTGAAAAGTTTGATTTTGTGATGTTGAAACATGTGCCAGGAAAAGATAACCAAATGACGTTGCCAGAGCCGCTGCATCTCACAATTACTTCTTGGTCGTTTGATGCATGAGGTCTGGATGTCGTGAGACCGATAACACCCAAATCTTCTAACGGCCATTCTTACATCCTTGTAGCCATAGACTACTTTTCAAAATGGGCAGAAGCTGTACCTCTAAAGGAAGTGAAGAAAGAAAACGTAGTAAGCTTTATCAAAGTAAACATCATTCATCGGTATGGTGTTTCGTGTTACATCATCACAGACAATGGAAAGCCATTCTCGAACCGGTTAATGGATAAACTGTGTGAAGATTGTGGTTTCAATCAACATAACTTTTCAATGTATAATGCCCCCAATCAACGGTCTTGCAGAAGCATTCAACAAAACTCTTTGCAATATGTTGAAGAACGTTGTCGGGAGAACCAAGAAAGATTTGCATGAAAGGATAAATGAAGCATTATGGGTTTGGTGATTCTGAAGATTGGGAACCTTATAACCCAGAATATTGGGAGCCTTACCATTTAGAAGCTTTTGGGGAGTGGGAAGCTTACCCACCACCATCCCCTCAGCACCTCTAACTTTCAACACCTAAACGCCTACCTCATGCTGACCCGGCAGTGAGACAGCTATTTGAGAAGGTTTGTCTTTTAGAGGACAAGCAATAGTGTAGCCATCAGCCTATTTGGATGAAGCCACGCCCAAGGCCCTTTATAGAGCTAATCCAAGTATGAAGTCATTAGTCTAATACTGACTATTGTTTCATGTTTCAAGAAAGGCGCCATCATTATTCTTGAGGATGAAAGTGATAACCGGGACGAAGGTACCACATTTCTTGTAGGTGCGCCTCTCCTAGCTTCGGAGGTATCCGATGTGGACTCCATATCCCGTCTTGGTCTCAAGAAGTGTTTTGTCACCTGGGCCACTTCAAAAAAATCCAAGTCTACGAGTAAGGACCTTCACTTCACTGTTTTATAGTTAAAGTCCTCGCATCATGCAGAGACCGATTCATTAAGGGCATTTGAACTTCTTAGTGACCGAATCCATAATGGAGCAATGAATTGGAGTTATGCTCTCAAGACGGCCAGTGAATCTACATTACTGAGTATTACTGAGAATGACTTGAAGATGTGCTCAGTAGAAATACTTAGGTTCTTAAAAGCGCAGGTCTGTATAATGCAGTGTTTGCCTCATTATTTAGCTATGATTGACACACTCCAGTCATCCAAGCCTTTTGCGAGTACTGGTGTCTTGTGACAAATACTCTTCATACATCGCAAGGGGAAATGTCTATTTTCCTTTGGGATCTTCATGAAATCGGTGGTCTTTCTATTACAGGTTGATTTTATGATGAGGTTATTCCAACCACTGAGAGTCTCAATAGGAAGGACCAAAAAGGTGTGCCTTATATCCCACAAATTTGTCGCTACTTGTTCTTAGCATACCACAAAATTTTACGAGATTCTAAAGGAAAATTTGGAGTAAGAATGATTGCTTGGATAAAATACTGGTATTGAGGACCATTCAAGTACAAAAAGCCTTCAAGGAAAACCATACGGAACAAGTCACAAAAGCCAAAGGAAGACTTTGATCCGTCTAGTATCATTGTGGTGGCATTGAAACTTACTGAGGAAGAGGAAGGGGTTTTTGAAGATTTGGGTAATTGATGAAGATATGGAAAGATCATACTTGGCTGCTTTCCTTACTTGCTGCTTATGCAAATTTTTATTTCCCAAGGACGTTGTCACTTTGATTGGACCGGGGGTTTTCAAGTTGCCAATCGAATGGCCCACGATGTATCACTTGGCCTAGCAATTCCAGTATTGGCTAGCATTTACAAGGGGTTGAACGATATTTCTTCGCAGATGATCCAGGAAATTGCGCAACTGTTCTTCCTTTCCATTATGTGTATGGGTGGTTGGTTGGGTGAATACTTTGACACCCACTTTACATCATCTTCAAAGAAGTCTACTACTATCATGGCAAGGTTCTCAGGAAGACTTTTGGTGAAATTTTTTGAAGATTCAACAGCTCGAGCTTTATTTCGGACTTGTGATAAAGTGGAAATGAGTCGTCTGGCAAGAGTGTTTTCAGAGTGCAAACGATTGTCTGATGAAGATTATATTTCCAAAGAAAAATTTGCATATTTGATATGCCTTCGTTCAGGATACATTTCTCTACGACAGGAAAACTACCAAGTCATCCAACCTTATAACCCACACCAGTTCAATAGACAGTTTTGCTATGTACAACATGTGCCAGGAAAATTTAAAGATGACGTCCGGAATGAGACTGTCAGAGTATTCACATTGGAAGTCATGCTTAAATGTTAGTAGTGCATCTACAATACCCCTACCCACTAAGGACAATATCCAGGAATTTGAGGTCACCTCTGATCATGTTGTTTGGTGGTCAAAGGTACATCACTTAGAATCAATGAAGTCAAAGACAGCCTCAATTGTAGGCAAGTCGTCGTTGTTATCTCTGCCAAAATCTTTTAAGTCTTAAGGCAACGAAACTTTAGTTCATGATAAACTCATACATGGTAGAGTTCAACACACACCTCCAGTTCATCTAGAAGTTGAAGTTAGTTCTACTACTTCCGCACCTCGAGTTCAACACACACCTCCAGTTGAGGTTCCTCCAACTCGAGTCCCTAATGATAAAGAAGAAACATAAAGTGTAGCAGATTCACAAGAAGATTTCATTCCCCATGGTCGACTAATTCGCAATTTGAAGAGAGGGCATATAAGCAGCAATGAAGATAGTGAAGTCAACTTTAGGCATAAAAAGACAAGTGTCGGATCTTTCTATTTCGATATGGACAAGGCATACCCACTCGATGACACATTTTTTGAGACGTGCTAGCTGCTTCGCAACCAGTTCTAATGAACGAGGTATGTAATTCATGTTCCTACTGTGTCTGAGCTTGTGTCATTTAATTCTTTGCCTATCAAAAGGGAAAATGATACTTTGCACCCGATAAGTGGTTCAGGTGTTAGCCTAAGAGGTATCATTCAAATCTTTGTCACGCTCTATGTTTATAAATCTTTGAATCTACTTGCTTAACTATTATTCGTCGGTCAATGTAGGTTCGCTTGCGCAGCAACATTTATTAAAGCCGGCTAATCATGCATCTACCTCGGAAATGTCATATGGAGAACCCAAATTAGGTGTTGTAGACAGAACCCTTCGCAAAGTAGTTTCCGTTTTAGGAAACCAGATAAAAAGTATAATCTTGAAGGCTTCATTAGAAATGCTTCCTTCATTCAAAGATGAGTTTGGCAAGTTGTTGACTACCCTTGACAATGTGGGGGCAAACGTCTCATCTTTACAAGCTATGATCGATGTACTTATGATGACCGCAATTGACTATTATTCAGCACACTCTACTTACTCCCAAAAGCTGTCTCCCGAGGTTCAAATTGATTGTTTAGCTATTGTTGACTCTTCACTTTCTATCAAGGATTAAAATATCGGCCGTGCAGATAATATCGGGCCTCCAATTTACGGATATTTCGGAGGATATATCGTTATTGTTTTAGGTATCGTGAAAAAATCAACAAAAATGACAGATATAGGCATTGAAACATATAATTTTGGTGTAAAACTTTCATAGATGTTATGTACATTATCAATTAATGTATTGAACAAATAAAACTCAAAATTTACTAATAATAAGATATACATGTGATGAAATATAAGTTGTATGTAATGTGCGTTAATGAAAAGTTTGAAAATAAAATGTTAATTAGAATGAATAAACCATGCATAAATCCATAGTTTGTTTAAACATTGGATTACAATTTAGATAAGTGTCCATGTACATAAATGAAGAGCTCCTATGAGGTTCAAACAATGAGGAACAACCATCTAGATTCATACAATAGTCATACCAAGTCATGTAACCCAAGCAGTTTGTAAGCCCTGTTTGAACATGGTGCACATAGGTCTCTCTTGAGCTCCCTATTGTCCTCCCATATATGGGATTAACCAACTAGTAGGTCTATAATCTTATTTATCATCTTGAGCTCCATAACTAGTTCCACTATAATCAGACATAACATAACCATAGCCATCATAAGATTCATTTGAGTTAATACTAGGTCTAGTTCATATGCTCATAGATCCAAAACTGATCACCATGTCCTCTTCAGATGGATTAGAGGTATGTGGGCAACGGACTGTGCATAGATTCTTCATATTAATAAATTATAGGGTTTGGGGCAATGATTAGCTATTTTTGGGTTTCAATTTGCTTCAATTGCCTTCAAAACTTCTGAATTTTTTTTGGGTTATGTTATGGATATTGGGAAATATCGGGGATCTCGGGAAATATCGGGGATATCGGCAAAATATCGGGGATATCGCACTTATCGAGGATATATCGTCGATATAGGGGAAGATATGACCTTACCCCCCAATATCGGTGTCGATAGTTGAAAATCCTGATATATCGGTGTATCGGCCGATATTTCAATCCTTGCTTTCTATTGCTTTGGCTCTACAACAAGCTAAAGAGGTTCATCAGTTTTCCATACTTGAGTCTATTAAATTTGCCAACACACATATGGAGAAGTTGAAGAGAGAACAAGAATAATTGGAGTTAAAACTACGTCAATTAAGCGAATCATTTTCGGAGAGTGATGCACAGCTTTCTTATCATCATGGTGGGGTTACCTGCTTGAGAGAGGATAAGATTGCAGTTGAAGGAGCTCTTGTATTATCAGCTGTCGATGCTAAGACTTTAGATGCATTACGAGTTTCTTTTGAGAGATTGCATAACGGGTTCAGGGACTTGTCTTGGGAGTAGCAAATTTTTGTTGTTGTAAACTTTCTTTGCTTCGTTCATATTTCTCTTTGAACTTGTCAAAGTATTGATATTTACTAGTTAACTTTCATAATACAGTAAAAGCATTTTCTTATTTTATTATTTCTTTCAAATAGTTCGGATTGATGGGGAAACCCTTTATTTTTATTTTGATGTGACTGACCTTAGAATTATTTGTCCAAGCTGCCTACGTACCCTCAATGAAAAGAGATCAAGTCATCACGTAGTTCAAAGGAATTTTTTTTGTGCCCTAACTTTTGCTTGAGCCACCCTTTCGGGTTTTCAACTCAACAGATTTTCTTATACTCTAACTTTTTCTTGGATCACCGTTTCGGGTTTTCAATCCAACGAGCCACTTTATTTTTATTTTTGGTTAGTATCGTGCGCAGTTTAGGCTCATGCAGGCTAGGAGCTTTGATTCACTTCATGCATAGTATCGTTTCAAGAGCTTTCCATTGATAGGGCCAACTCTTAAGCCGTCCTCTGCTACGATCTTGTAAGCACCACTTGTGTATACTTCTTGTATTGCATGGGGCCCATCCCATTTCGAAGTAAACTTACTTCTGATTTTGTGAGTTGTGATGATAGGTCTACGTAATGCGTGGACGAGATCTTCTACTTGAAAAGATCTAGGGTGGACTTTCTTATTAAAAGCATTTGAAAGTCGAGCTTGATAACACTTTAAGCGTTGTTGCACTTCGAGTCACGTTTCATCTAGTGCTTCTAACTCTTGGAGATGTAGCTTTGCATTCTCTTCATTAGTCAATCCCTCTTGTATGGCTATCCTTAGTGATGGAATTTGACTTTCTAGAGGCAAGATTGCTTCCAGGCCATACACAAACGAGTACAGTGTAGCCTGAATAGGTGTCCAATATGTCGTCCGATAAACTCTTCTGGAGTGAAGGCGTTGTGGTTTTGGAGGAGGACCAAGGTGTACGACACGTGGATCGTCAAGGTCCACGGAGACGCGAATAAATCTTGGCCGAAGCTCGTGGATACAATCTCTGCAATCCTTGTAAACCTTGGTTGGGGCATGAGGTTGGTCCTTGGGGGGTGAGATCTGGAGGGGGCTCAACTTGGTTGTTTCAGGATGAAGAAGACCTTTGCCTTTGTCAAGCTAGGGCTAAGTTGGGGCACTATGAAAGGAGATGGCTAGCTGGTTCAACAGGGTATGCTCGACACCTTGGGTAATGTCATGTTGGGCTAACTGGTGGCAAGTGTTCTCCCAATTACGCTTAAAGGCATGTCAGTCATGCTCCAATTCAATATTTTTTGTCTAGAGGTGGTCGTAGTTCTTCGTAGTTTTGGCAACATCAGCATGGAGTTGCTCCACGTCAACCTGAAGATCAACATCGGTAGAATGTTTCCTTCTAGAGGACTCTACATTAGGGGTGTGCTCAGTACCAAGGCTAGCTTTGTTTGGCATAATGGTCTGATGGGTGAAGGATCCAGAAAGGCTAGTAGAGAAGTAAGATTCAAAAGTCGATTCCCACAAACAGTGCCAATCTGTTGATGTTCAAATCTTGTTTCAACTTTAGATAATGAAGTATGGGGTCTTCAACAAAGATGGAAATGTGTAGATCTTCAGCAGGGAGACTTTCGGTAGATAGATTGACATGCATAAGAGGGACAAAGGAAGCAGTCGTCGAGCTTTGGGCATCGTTGTGGTACCTGTCGAAGGCTCTCCAATGCTTAAGTCAACAAGTGCGGGAGACACAGTACTTTTGACAGAGTAATAGTCAAAGTGAAAGGTAGTTACTTTTTTACCTAGGCACTATTCCCCTTTTATAAAGGAATGGAAGTGAGTATTTGCACAAAGTTTTGATGCAGAACTTTGTAAATCACTGTGAGGGTGACATGTATCCAAGGCTTAGGTTCTGTAAGCTGAAGCTTTAGCAACCTCGACAGGCTATTGCCATATTGAAGGAAGATGTATCTTTGATAGCTAAGATCATGATGACATCATTAGTGTTTAGTGATTTTCTAGAAGTATTTTCATTCGGCAGGCTGTGGGCCTATCTACCCTCTAATCCCCTAATGTCAAATGCACTCTATTGATTATGTTACAAACAATTGAGTTGCTTTGTGAATTAGTATCTAATGCATGTTGTAGTATATAACTTTCCCTATGTGAATCAAATCTTTTATCAATTCTGACTTGTTGGGACTTTTGGTGTAATTGAAGTACTCCCTTCCTTTTTGGATAGAGCCTTTTTATTAGAAGAAAAAAAAAAAAAAAAAAAAAAAAAAAAAAAAAGAGAAAAAAAGAAAAAAAAAAAAAAAAAGAACCGCAGGCATCAAATGCCAGGACCCCATGCCAACCCCCCATTATGCTATTATGTACGGTCAACATAATGTGTTAGGTTAGTACACATAATTGCAAGATTCATTATAAATAATGAGTTGCATGCATATATACATTCTTACGAGAATAAGGCGCATTGTGTATATATAAGTAAGAATTTTGGCAAACTCCATAAATGTGGCTGAAAGTGTTGCTCTTCGAGATGGTCTTACTGCTGCCATCGATAGAAGTCGGGGTCAAATTGTGGTTGAAGGTGACTCTAACTTGTTATTGACAGTGTCCTAAAAAAAGTTCATCCCCCTTGAAGCATCCAACAAATTATTCAAGATATTTGGCTCCTTAACACTTCTGCTACTTCTGTTCACTTCCAGCATGTGTGTTAGGAAGGCAAACTTCATGGCAAATGTGGTTGCTAAGCTGGACCATGGGCTCTCATAGCAAGTTTGTTGGGAACTTGGTCTTCCCTTATCAATTTGCTCCGTCTTTTATTTCAACATCTTTGGGCATTCTTGTTCTAGGGGCTTTGTTTTGTAATTTCCTTTTTCCGCATAAAAAAAAAAGTAAGAATTTTCGCACCCAAATGAAACCAAGTAAATGATCAATGTTAGTTACTGATGGGTATATTTTATATTATATATTTAACCCCATTCATAGTATATTTTGGTTAATATTTTGGAAGAATTTTGATACTTTGAATTATATTTTCAATATAGGACTTTCGAATCTCTCTGGTGCAAAACATAATCAAATGGACAAATTTTGAAGTAATTCCAGTTGGAGGACGTTCGTGAGTCACTTAGCTTGATCATATCGAAATTTCAGATTTTTCTACCAAGCAGTTATTTTCTGGCAATAAAATAAAAGAGCAGTGCACAGTGCTGGAATAGTGACGTTTTGGGCTTTTATTGCATTTTTGGAGCCCAAGATGACCTCGTATGGGTTTCTGGCCTTCTGGAGAAGTGTTCAGAATATTTTTATCTTTAAAACAAGCAATATTGGGCAAGATTTGGAGGAGATTTGAGGCCAAAACGTGGCTGGGCAGATTGTGGGCAGATTCTCCTAATCCAACTTGGATTTTATCTCCTAGTATTATTTTATTTTAGCTTAGTTTCCTTGGGGGGATTGGGCAGCTAGGTTTTAGGAGATATTTAAGCTTCTTTTCACAGCAATTTTGAGACTTCTTTTTCACTTTTGAACGTGACATTGTGGAGAGCAATTGCTAGGGTTTTAGGTTTTGCGACTTTAAGGTGTTTTCATTCTTTTTCTTCTTAATGATATTTTCTTGGATTTCAATTATGAATATGCGTAACTAATTCTCTTTTTCTAGGGTGAAGCCTTGTACCTTAGCATGAATATGTGATTTTTATTTAATTGCTTATGATTGAGTGCATGCATACTTTGAATTGTTAATCACTATTTTAAACTATCTAATTGTTTTAATGCCTGATCACCATTAGGATCTTTAGAAAAGTAATTGGATGCAATTTTGATCGGAAGGTTCCCTGAAATTGACGCTAGCTTCTTGTGATTAATAATTGTAATTTCACTTGAGATGAACACCACGTCTTAAGGGTTGCATGGTTTTTCAAAGAGTTTTCACAGAACTTAATGAGTTTTTCATGTTTAGATTTGATCCAAACGTTCGGATGGGTTGCATGTTGGATATACGTTCTATGTTGGAGGTTCCAAGTATAATATAAATTAGGAAAACCTAACCTTCAAAGTGGCATGTGCAAATCATAAGTAATTGGTAAAAATTAATAGGATTGGTAGGTGATGGTGAAACCCTAGTGCTTTTATAAATTGGTATTTAATTTTTTTTTCCATTCAATCGTATTTGTTTTTGTTTAAAATTCATTTTTAGTATCAAACAAGTTCATATTAATCTTTCTCATCTTTTAATTTTAAGTAGTTAATTGGAAATTGTTTTTACATAAATTGCTAAATAGTCCTTGAGGAGAACGACCTTGCATGAGCATCTATACTACAATAGCCTTGTATTCTTGCAAGTATTTTATGTGATTTTAACCCTATTTGAACAGGTACTAAAAATCATATCAGTTACCTTGTAGTAAAACAATTGTACATATATCATGTGGTCATACATACTCTTTGGCTGGCCCCCCCTTTGTAATAATGCTAGCTACATACATATGTACGTACTAGACGTATATACCAAGTAGAACAAAACTCTTTGTCACGAAAACGATGCAAGCAATCAACACTCAGCAGACTACTACATGAATGGATCAATATTAAAATGCAATATGTAGGATTGATATGTGATTTAATGGATCAATATTAAAATGCAATATGCAGGATTGATATGTGATTTAATGAAGTGTGATTTAATCCTTGTACTACACAACAAAAATCAAACACACAACAGATTGAGAAAAAAAAACGAAGACAACGTATTTGTACGAAATCTCGCACGAGGAAAAAACCCTCCACACAGGAGAGAAAAACCTCAAGGCACACAGCCAATTTCACTAAAAACTTAAGGACATATACAAGACTCAATTGATACTTTCTTACACCACAAAAGAAGATTAATCAAATACTCTTGTCTTGTACAAACACGTCCTCTTCACTTTCTCTTGGATGAACACCAATTCACGCAGGTTGATCTTCCTCACAAGCAAAGCTTCCACAACGTTCCATGATAAATGAATGATATGTTATGCTCTCAGACTATCACCTAGATAGACCTAAGAACCTAACAACCTTTTATCTCTCTCCCTTGATCTTATAAAACAATCTCACGATTTTGATTAGAGTGCAAAAAGGAGGTACAAAAAAAACTTCCAGCCGAACCCTTTATATACTAGGTTAACTCTTTTACCTAATAAACGAAGAGATTGGTCTTATTTCAACCTCTTCCTTATTTAAGACTCTATGCAGATTTGTATAGACTTTACACCAACTCAATCTTTAATTGGGAAAACAAATCCAATATGAATGCAAATGATTCTTACCAAAAAAGGGTTTTGCCGTGTAACACTAGTCAATCATGCTCCAACCTTTGCAAGTTACAATTAATTCTAAGACTAGAAATAACCAACTTACAAACTCTTTACATTTGCTAGGAAATAGCCAACTAAAAAACACTTTCACTAAGGGAAACCCATGGGAATCGAAAGGAAAGCCTCAGGAGAACAATTATGCACCAAATCACAGTGTTGGTTCACCACAACAGACAACTCAAGATGCTGCTAAACCACAGTGCAAGGTGTGCTCCAAATTTCACTTTGGTGAGTGTAGATATAAGGGAAAGCCTAAATGTTTTAACTGTGATAGGTTTGGAAATTTGGCTAGGGAATGCACCATAGGTAAGGCTACTCAAAAGGCCAACTGTGTCAATCAAACTGAGATGACTGGAAACCTATTCTTTGCCAATAGTGTCATTTATGATGTGAAAATAAATGGAAACTGGTATATTGACAGTGGCTGTAGCAACCACATGACTGGAAGTGCAGAATTGCTTGTTGATATAAGGACAAATGTTTGTGGAAAGGTGTAGATGCCTATTGGAAATTTGGTGGATGTTGCAGGCATAGGCTCACTGGTGATTGAAACTAGTGCTGGCTAGAAATACATTAGAGAAGTCATGTTTCTACCTGGATTAAAGGAGAATTTGTTGAGCGTTGGTCAAATGGATGAACATGGGTACCATTTGCTATTTGGTGGAGGCATGTGCTGCATCTTTGATGGCCCCTCACTTGACAAGTTGGTTATCAAGGTCAAGATGAAAAATAATACGTGTTATCCTTTATCTTTAATGCAAAATGATCAGATTGCGTTAAGGGCTAGTGTGACTGAATGCACTTGGGTCTGGCATAAGAGGTTAGGCCACTTAAACCTCAGAAGTCTCAAACAGTTGAGAGACCAAAGTATGGTTCATGGTTTTCCATATCTGGAAGAAATTAATGGTGTATGTGAGGGATGTCAATTGGGCAAGCAACATAGGGACTGGTTTCCTAAAGGGCAGGCTTAGAGAGCAAGAAATCCTCTGGAACTGATACACACAGATCTATGTGGTCCAATGTAGACTGAATCTATAGCTGGAAACATATATTTTATGCTACTCATTGATGATTGCACAAGGATGACTTGGGTGTACTTTCTAAGGTATAAATCAAATGCAATAACCTGTTTTAGAAAGTTTAAATCCATGGTAGAACTGCAAAGTGGTTTCAAAGTGAAGTGTGTGAGAAGTGATAGAGGAGGTGAATTCACATCTAGTGAATTCAGCAAATTATGTGAAGAAGGTGGCATTCAAAGACAACTAACGACAACCTATACTCCACAACAAAATGGAGTGGTGGAGAGGAAAAATAGAACTGTGGTGGAAATGACCAAGGCAATGCTTCATGAGAAGAATATGCCTTACTCTCTATGGGCAAAAGCTGTTCACACAGCTGTGTATCTCGTAAATCGTTCACCCACCAAGGCACTGGAAAATATCACTCCATTTGAAGCATATAGTGGCAGAAAACCAGGTATTGGTCATCTCAAAGTGTTTGGATCACTTTGTTATGTACATGTACCAACATAAACAAGGTAGAAACTGGATGCTAAGAGTGTCAAGGGGGTTTTTGTTGGATATGTTGTTTGTGAAAAGGGGTACATGGTATTTGATCCTTTCACTAAGAAGTTGATTTTGTCAAGAGATGTTGTGTTTGATGAAAGTATGACTTGGAACTGGAAAGCACAGACAGAAATACCTACTGCAGTGACAAATACTCAAGATCAATCTAAAACTGAGATTGATTCTAGTCTACATGAAGTAACAGAAGTAGACAACAATTGTGCTAGTCCTTGCAGCTCTTCTCAAGTTGAAGAACAAGAGAGAAATATCCATGAAACTGTTGAGATCACTAAACCTTATGATCATACACCAGTTAAGTGGAGAAGCATAAATGATATTCTGGCACAATGCAATCTCTACATTGTGGAGCCAGAGAAGTATGAAGAAGCTGCACAGGATCAGTCATGGATAAAAGCAATGGAGGATGAACTATCTATGATTGAGAAAAATGGAACTTGGGAACTTGTGAACATACCAAGTGACAAACAAGTTATTGGAGTGAAATGGGTGTTCAAGACCAAACTTAATCTAGATGGTTTAGTGCAAAATAACAAGGCAAGATTGGTTGCTAAGGGATATGTGCAGAAACCAGGAATTGACTATAATGAGACTTTTGCTCCAGTTGCTAGATTGGACACAATCAAGACCTTAATTGCTCTTGCTGCACAAAAGGACTGGAAGTTATATCAACTAGAAGTTAAGTCAGCATTCTTGAATAGAAAGCTGCAAGAAAAAGTGTATGTTGAGCAACCTGAGGGATTTGTGGTTCAAGGCAAAGAAGATAGAGTTTATAGACAGCACAAGGCTCTTTATGGGTTAAAACAGGCACCTAGAGCTTGGTATGGAGAAATTGACAGTTACTTTGCTGAGTGTGGGTTTGAGAAAAGCTTGAGTGAAGCCACTCTTTATACAGAGACAAGGGGAGAAAATGATGTACTAATTTTATCCATCTATGTGTATGATATAGTGTACACAGGAAGCAATCAAGGAATGTTGAATGAGTTCAAGAAAGACATGAAAGAGAAGTATGAAATGACAGACTTGGGACTTTTCCATCACTTTCTAGGAATGAGGGTGATTCAGACAGATTCAAGCATCTTTATTCACCAAAGGAAGTATGCATCTTCTTTGTTGAATAAATTTGGCTTAACTGACTGTAAGCCTGTGTCTATTCCTCTTGTAGCCACAGAAAAGTTGATCAAGGATGATGGAAGTGGTGCTGCTGATGAAGAGAATTATAGAAAGCTTGTAGGAAGCTTACTGTACCTTATTGCTACAAGACCAGATGTGATTTATGCTACAAGTTTGCTAGCTAGATATATGCATGGTCCTTCTAATAAGCACTATGGAACAGCTAAGAGGGTGCTAAGGTATGTTAAAGGAACATTAGATTATGGTTTGATGTATGAGAAAGGCAAGAAAGCAGTGTTGGTGGGATATTGTGACAGTGATTGGGGAGGCTCAATTGAAGATAGCAAAAGCACATCTCGGTATGCATTCTCATTTGGAAGTGGAGTATTCTCATGGGCTTTTGTTAAACAAAATTGTGTAGCTCTCTCAACTCTTGAAGCAGAATATGTTAGTGCTTCAAAGGCTACAACTCAAGCAATTTGGCTTAGGTTTGTTTTGGAAGATTTTGGTGAATTACAAGCAGATGCTACTCCTCTGAAATGTGATAACACATCTGCAATTTCCATCACTAAAAATCCAGTGTTTCATCAAAGGACAAAACACATTGACAGGCGGTATCATTTCATCAATGATGCTCTACAACAAGGGGTTATTGATTTGGTTTATTGTCCTACTAAAGATCAAGTGGCAGACATCTTTACCAAGGCTTTACCAAATGAGAGGTTCAACTATCTTAGAGATAAGCTAGGAGTTTTATCAGCTCAAAGCTTAAAGGGGAGTGTTAGTGTATAAGCATTGAGCTAATTTGAGCTCAGTGTTAATTAGCCTAGTATTTCATTGTGTATTCACTTTGTCTTGGAATGACAAGTGTAAGGCTTAGATGCAATATTATGTGTGTGGATCCAGCTAAGGCTAACGGTCATGTAGTTAATGCTTTGTGTGTGTGCGTGATTGTATAGAGGAAAAGAATATACATATCCTTGCTCTCTGACTTAGAGAGTAAGCAGAGCAGTTTTACAAATTTCTCTTCTTCTATTCCTCTCACTCCTCTCTCTGAAAAATCATCTAGAATACTAGCAAACACTCTCAAACTTTTACATAAGTTAGCTTAATTACATTACATTCAAGCCTGATCTTTCTTATTCCAAGATATCCATAGAGAGGCTAATAGTGTAGCGCATAGACTAGCCAAGTTTGGTTTATATAAAGAGGTTTTGTTGGTTTGGGTACATATGCCTCCTTATTTTATTTAGGACGTTCTTTTCTTAAATTCTATGTGTCGAGGTTAGGCTTCATGTATCATCCCCCATTGCAATTCTTGATTTAATAAATTTCCTCCCTTGGTTGAGATTTCCTAAACCAAAAAAAATGAAAAAAAATAAAAGAAGAATTGACATCTTCCTTTGGAAGTTTTATATACAGTGCTTGATTTTGATATGTGAACTGCTGGCATGTGATCCTCACCGAGCTGCATTGACCAATGACATGACGTCACGTGATCTGCCTAAATAGTGTCGATCTCACCACTAAACCTGTTTTGTTTGGGCTCCATGCCACTGAACTTTTGTAGGAAAGTAGGAACGCGAGGGGATGTATGATCTCCTCTTGGCCTCATAGATTCAAAAAGCACTGAGAGTTAGTCAGGTAAAAATGGCAGGTGTATAAATCATCAGCATATCTGTGGGGCTTGTTGCATGTGGCAAATGGGTTTCCCATATAATCTTGCTAGCTCCTGTTCACTATACACGTTCATGGACAATGACTTTGCCAAAGTGTTGAAGTGCAAAATTGGGGGATCCTTGCAATGGCAGGTGAGATGGATCATATTGCACATGACGTGATTGGGGGAGAGTTCTGTTCATACTTTCCAATACAGACTCACCCAATTGTATTTCTTTCTAATCAGTGACAATCCCAATAACTTTTCATATATACTTCAAATTATTTATTATTGTTATAGAAACAAAATAAGCAAGAGAGAAATGTTTGAGATCTAAAACCTAAATTTACTTTATATTATATATCAAACAGAACCCTAAGCATATTACTAAGATGATTTATCTTAAATAAATACATTTTCAATATAATAAATATTAGATGTAATTGAATGGCATCAATATAATAACATTTACAACACTCTCTTTGGATGTTCACACATCAATGATAAGCAATGTCGGCCTTGGACAAGAGCAGTCATTGTCCAGGGGGGCCAAATTTATTTTTATTTATAAAGATGTATATTATATTTATTATATATTGTTTTAATAATTTTTTTTTAAAGTAACATGGGTTGTTTCAACTCTTTTAAGCTCTAACTAATTGCAAATTTGGAAGTTTTAAGTTTGTTGTTGTGGAGGGGAATTTCTCAAATTCTAAGTTATGTTGTTCTTTGTTTATTATTTGAAGTTTTAAAATTTCATTGGATTTCCTTGTACTATTTCTGATTTCAAGTAGCAATGATTCCTGAAAAACAACAATCTAGAAGTCAAAAAAGAAAAAGAAAATGATTGAATTGTTACAAGTATTTATCTTGTTTATGCATTAGATTTAAATGTATCAAGCGTAGCCTCTTATTATAGATTTTTATATATTGAAATTTGAATTTATATAATTTATTTTTCTTAAATGTTAAATTTTTAATTAATTTGAATAAGTTAAATGTTGATTAAAAATAAGAGTGAGTCTAGCACTTAAGTGAAAATATCTATATATATATATATATATATACAGAGAACTTCCATTGAGGGATCCCTCAAATAAGCTTATTTGAGGGACACCCCTTGTAGGCCCCACTCCTGATTGTATTTCACTAATCCAAACCGTCTATTTTATAGATACTCATTCAAAGATCATCTCTACAAAACATTACTTGAATCCGATATCATTTGACCACTCATTTGAGTTATTGAAATTTTAGTATTTTCTTGAAGCACCGTGTTCATTGATTTTGTAAGACACAATTGGATGTCGAAATGGTTTCCGATTTGTCTAATTTTTTGTAAGGATGATCTATGAATGAAGACTTAAAAAATAGATGATTTTGATTATTGGGAAAAAAATTGTAGGGTACCCTAAAGGACGTCCCACAAATAAAATTATTTGAGGAATCCCTTAATTGAAGGGAACTATATATATATATATATATATATAGGGGCCTAATTTTTTACATTTGCCCTGGGCCCTGGAAAATTCAAGATTGGCCTTGATGATAAGTTGCATGATGGAAACATTTGCTAGGGAAACTCAATGGGAGAAAGCCATAGTGAAGGGAAAATAGTACAACCTTGGACTGGATCATTGACATCACATTGGGTGCGCTTATTGTTGTCTTGTTCACAGAAAATCATATGGGATAAAAAAAATTACACAGTGCACATATATGTTTGATACATACTTTGGGTTGATTGATATCTCTCCCTCCCTAAAGCTCATGTGTACATAGAAGAAATCTAAAAATTATAGATTATCTTGCAATAAGGTTTGTTTGGCTTCGGACTTTTGACTTTCTAAAGCTCATGTGTATACATAGAAGAAATTTTCTACCCTCCTTGATGAATCCTTCTTTGATTTGGGATATACAAATTACAATCATCATTTTATACATGATTGTTGGAGTATTGGTCGTTGAAAACAGATCATAAGTGCTTCAGATAAGATCTTGACCAAACAAATTTTCCACTCGCTTCATGGAGAGCAAGAGCTTCCAAATGATTAGAGGATAACGACCAAAGTTTGTTTTGTAGATCGCCATGTGATCAATGTATTGCCAGAAGTACATACATATACCCACTTTGAGAGCAATCCTTGTATAGACTGGAGAGATATCTAGATAAAATTTGTTAGATTTCAAATCAAACCTTTTTACCCTCCTTTAGGTCACTTTAATGATATAGATATACTACTTTAGAATTAATAAGTGAAAGTTCGAACTAGTTTGTTATGTATGGAGGACGATATAACAACTGAAAATCTAGTTTGTCATGCATGATTTAATTCATTTTATATGTTATTGAGTGTAAACAATGGTGGTTGGGTGTGCTTTAAAATGCTTAGGCATAATAAAGTGAAGCGTTTTATACACCGCCCGTCGTGTACGGCGAAAGCCTCACCGCGTTCGAGTGTAAGAATTCTGTTCTGTCTTGATCGCCTTGACTGCGACTCGCTACGCCTTTTCGGTGAAATGCTCCGTGTGGCATGTGGAAGCCTCGCAGAAAGGCGTGCATTTTTCGGTGAAATTCTCTGGTGGCGTGTGGAAGCCAACTCCCAGAAAGGCTCGCCTCATGCGCCCCGTACACTGGTTGGAGTTTTTTGGCGCTTGAGAGGGCAGATATGTTAGTTTGGTTGGCTTATTCAACAATATACAAATTTTAAAACTATCTGTGAATCTCCAATTCAGTTTTCATTTTACAAATGTACAAATCTACAACCAAATGACAAGCTAAAGCTGAAGTTACAAAACACGATAACAACAAAATCATCATCCTGCTACCAACTAGTTCTTAATCTAGTTGTATTTCTTCTTTGAATCTACGTTAAAACAAGTTTCAAGTTGAAATCCATCCCATATTGGTTAAAGAAAAACCCCCCCTCTCTGCATAACACTTCATGCCCATCCATCTACCTCTGACAGACTGGCACACAATCTCAAAGAACACAGTCACAACTAGGGTGTAATTACTTTGTTGTATATTACTTGGAAAATAATTTATATTACCTACACTTCAGATAGAAAAACACACCACTACAAGTTCTCATTCAATATCATGTCATCACTCAATTCCTTACGTGTTGGGAGATTTAGCATGATCGCAGCTTTTGCATGAACCTTAGCTTAATCACTCGTTAACTCCACTCGTACATGAATCTCCTTGGGACAACTTTTCTTGTTTTGGACCGAATATTGGTTTGGTGCACAATACGAGTATTAACACCCGTACCGTAACAATAAAACTATTTGTATCATCTCAACTCGATCGCTATCTAATGTGCCATTTGTCTAACAGAGAACGATCTCGATTAAAGAAATGATACATTAGATGGTCAGCGGAAATAGTACAAAATAGCAACATTCAGTCCGTAGGTTAGCATATTTAACACATCACTACAATATAACAAACTTTCCTTAACAAATTCATAAGCACCAAAGACGTGAACAAAACAATGCTTTTGAACTACCTTGAGTAGTAGTAGTATAAACAAGGCCGGAACTAAAATACCTAGAAAATGCAAACTTGAAATCCAGATTGCACTTGAGATTATCTACAAGCAAACATCTTACGCATAAGATAGCCCCATTCTTCACCAGCATTCCAAGGGGAGCCATGGAGACATCTATGGTGTTGACGCGTGCTAGCTTAACATTTTTTATGGTTTGGATTTTCTGTATATCATCTACAGCATGTTCCGAAACGTACAAGCCTCTAAGGACAGACCCGAAAGCTATGAAGGAGAGGTACGAAAGGTGGCTGCAAAAATATGGCCGGATATATAAAAATAGAGAGGAAGCAGAATACCGTTTTGGGGTTTACAAATCCAACATTGAGTTTGTTGATTTCGTAAATTCTCAAAATCTATCATACAAACTCACTGACAACAAATTTGCAGATATCACAAACTTAGAGTTTACAAACACCTTCATGGGTTTCCAAACTAGGAGTCATCCGAAAACGAAGTTCAGTTATGACAAAGATGACGATCTTCCGACTGCAGTGGACTGGAGAAAGAATGGTGCAGTAACTCCAATCAAGAATCAAGGCCAATGTGGTATAAATTGAAATAGGCATTCAAAAAATGGATGCTCATTATTTTTCTCTCCTTTATTGCGCTCCCGAACTAGATGTTTGCTATGGTTTTTTTTATTCAGTTTTGACTTATAATAATTTTCCACTAGAAGATGGATTAGTTATTATATGCTACATGTGGAAATATGATTTCTTGATTTTAGACACATCCCTGAGCTTTCTTCACAGAACCAAAAAAGACAGGGTAAATATGTACTTTTCTAGATTTAGGTTCAAACTTACTTAGAATTACTCAACCATGAAAATGTATATTCTATCACATTCCAAGTAAACACCAAGACGCCCAAGCCTTAAATTCAATTTTGGCTTTATGATATACACACAATTATTAAAAGTTGGGTTTGTAGGTAGTACTTACATGTCCTTGTTGTTCCGCTTGCTGAATAGGAAATATTGCAGATTAAGTAGCAACCTCTCATAGTATTACACTTTCAATACACAGGAAGTTGTTGGGCATTCTCTGCAGTAGCAGCTGTGGAAGGCATTAACCAAATCAAAACTGGAAAATTGGTGTCACTATCAGAACAAGAGCTTGTGGACTGCGATGTCAAAACCGGGAATGAAGGCTGCAATGGTGGATACATGGAAAAAGCGTTTAGTTTCATAAAAGACAACGGACTCTCAACTGAAAAGGATTATCCTTACAAAGGATCAGATGGCATATGTGATGAAGATAGTTTGAAAAACCGTGCTGTGAACATTAGTGGCTATGAAAGCATACCTGCCAATAGTGAGAAAAGCCTCCAAGCTGCAGTTGCACACCAACCTGTCTCTGTTGCAGTTGACGCTGCCGGTTATGCGTTTCAACTCTATTCTTCAGGTATCTTCACTGGCCAATGTGGAAAGAATCTCAACCACGGGGTCACAGCGGTCGGCTATGGGGAAGATAGTGGTAAAAAATACTGGATTGTAAAGAATTCTTGGGGTCCTGACTGGGGTGAATCTGGTTATATAAGAATGACACGTGATTCAGTTGATAAGAAAGGTACCTGCGGCATTGCCATGCAGGCTAGCTACCCTGTTAAGGGTTGAGCAGTGTTGATGGGAAATTAACCTTTTCTGGAAGTACAATAGAAAGGTAGCTAGACAAGTTCCTTTTATGTAGTAATTTCATGTAAAATCAAGGTAAAATATGCAAGTGTGGAATTCCAATAAATAACAAGTAAGGTTTATACAAAGAAAAGAGGGAAACTAAAAAAAAGGAACAACAAAGGCCACCCAAAACATAGGTCATTTCAAAAGGAGAAGAGAACTACTTTTGAAGATGTTAGCAAAATCTTTGTATTAGAAACTTCATTTCAATGGAAAAAGAAGAGCATTTCTTATTCTGTCAATCCCACCTTCATTCTGTCAACTAAAAATAAATTATTTAAATTTTGTTGATAATTTTTTACATTTATAGTGCTAATTTAAAATTCCGTTGCACTTGGGTCCAGAAAAGTTTAAACATGCAAATTTGTTCAGTTGTAAGAAGAAGTAATTTTTCATCTCAAACACTATTTGGTCTTTGTATGGAGAATTAACCACCATGAATTTACCATCAAATTACAACAGACTTTTAAGAAGCTGAACTGCAGAACAAAGCAACATTGAACAAGCCAGCTCTTCTGTGCGACATAGGCAATGGTCTGAGTACCATCTCCCTTCGATGCAAAGAACTCGAATCCATGGACCCAAAGAATAAATACAAGGAGCTAAGACCTCAACTCTCCAAATCTTTGCCTCACAGAACAAGCCAGCTTCCATTCACCAGCACCAGCCAACCTCTCAACAACCTTCTGCCTGGTCCTAATATAAGGTATAAAACCTCTCTCTGTCATCCCCATCACCACTTTCCCCGCCAAAATATACTCACCACAATCCAAGCACCCATTAACCACCAACTCATAGCTCTCAAAGCCGACAGGGTAGCCATCCCTCTCTAAGAACTCAATCATCTCAACTGCTCTCCATATATCTCTGTTTGCTCGCAATGCTGCTGCCACTTTGCAATCGTCCCCTGCCTTGGTGTCAACCCAACTTTCTCTACCATTTGCTTAATCATATCTATTGCCTCAGCTGTTCTTCTGACAGTGCACATTGCACCAATTACCGTGTCAAAACTCTCCAAATCAGGAACACATCCTGCCTTACTCATTTCCTTTAAGACTTTCACTGCCTCATTCAACTGATCCACAGAACACAAAGACGATATAAGGTAGTTGCATGTACCACTGTCCGGATGATATCCAATTGACTGCATTTCTAATAGGATCTTAGAGACAGAGTGAGATTCATTCCGGCAGTTCAGCCAAGCAGAAGAGAGGAGAAGAAGGGTTTGGGGGACAGGAATGCAACCAGAGCGAAGAGTTCGTTGGAGGATGGCAAGAGCAAGAGGGAAGGGATTGGAGCATTGCAGTGTAAAGGACAGGAGGTAGGAATAGGCAATCTGAGTCCGAGAGCGAGGTCTTAGGGGGATGAAAGACTGCAAAATTTCATCAACCACTTGCGTTCTAAGGTTGTGGGGAAAGGTTGAAAGGAATGAGAAAGGATTCGGGTTTTGGCAAGCTTGAGCAGAGGATTTGAGAAGATCGGGAATATTCTGGTAGGTTTTGGCTTCAACTGCATTTTTTATAGTTTCTTGGAGCATCTGTGATGAAGAGATTGAGTAGATGGAACAATATTGGAGGAGACGACAATGTAGAGGAAGAAAGGATCTGCAAAACTTTGCTGCTCTGATAGCCATGTTGTACTTCTAGAGTGTAAGACATCAACATTTGCAAGATATTGGCAGCATCTGGATTACGAAAGGAAACCTGAAGAATTTGATCATTGCAACAATGTTAACATAAGGTAGCTGGAGAATCGATGACATGGTCAGCTTTTCACATACTGAAGAAGAAACCTAAATACATAGAAGTGTTAACATCTGGATTACAAAATGAAACCTAAAGCTGGGAACCAAATAACTTGGATAACCTTTCACAGATTTGAAGATTACCAAATATATCGAAAAGAGAGCATTGGTATATAAAATTGATGAACGAATTTGAAGATTTTGGGTCCAATTTAAGATATAAAAGTTATTTGTAAATCATCATCTTACTCTGTTAAGTACATGAATCTCAGAAAGTTTTGCTCACTAGTAATCGAAATACTATTGGCATAGGCAATTCCCCTAATCTACAAGCACGTTTTACCTCTTATTTCAATCATGGGCCATGGCTAACTACAATATAAGCTAAAACCACTGTAAATTCCATTGCTACTTTCAAAATGACCTACACACTCACATTAACTTATTTCAAGATAATATATATGTCATTAACATAACCTGCTCTTCACACTCCTTGTCCTTTCAAATACCTCCATCCAAACGGAGCCTAAGAAAATTTATTACACAAAGATTAACAAAAAGAAGAGAACAAAAAATAAAAAAGAAGCCCATTTCTCTCATAGGAATATTGTCAAACAGGAAACGTGCATTCAATGAATAATAACATTCAGTGACAAATAGCAGAGCATACCAGCATCACCAAGCCTGGAAATGGGTTACAGAGAACTTGCCGGTCTTCTTACTTCATGATTTCTAATGCTGCTAGAATGCGCACAATGTTCATTTCTGATTAAGATCTTCATGCTTTTAGTAATGCTGGCGAAGATTTCGGTATGGAGACAGGTTGAAGTTTGACCCCAAACCGGGTCGAATTAGGGCTGGCCCATTCTAAATGGGTTCGAAATCCGTGGCTAGTGGACTCTGGGTGCAGTCCAACAAATTTGTTTCGTGTTTTTTTTTGTTTTTTTAAATAAAAAAATTTATTTTATCTATATCTATATATATAAAGCAAGAGGCAGAGAATGATAAAACATTCAAAATACCAGAAAATGCCATTGATTAATCCAAACATTAAGAATTAAAATTATTAATTAAATGAGGATAATATGGTAAATTCACACTTTTTCATATTTAAAAAAATTAAAATTAAAAGAAAATTCAGATATGAATTCTATTTTTATAGAACACTACTACCCATTATCTCTTTTTAATTCTAAAATAAAATTTAAATTTTTTAAAAAAAGCCTCTTGAAGGCGCAAAAGCGCGTGCGGAGAGGCTAGTATATATTTACGAACTACAAGATGTTTAGAAAACTATGCCACCGTAATGAGTTAGTGATTGAGCTCATCAAAAATATGTATTATTCTCAAATTTATAGGAGTTGAATTGAGAATTCATAACTAAGTGAAAACAATTACTATTGGACCAAAGTTACTGGTTGATTTTAAGAGTACGAAAATGAACTCCAGATAATTAACAGAAAGAGAATGAAAGGACTTCTTTTCTTTTTTTTTTTTTTTTTTTTTTTTTCCTTTTTTTTTTAATTGATCAGTAGGGTTGGGAGTTTCAAACTTGGAACCTTTTCCAACATTGGGAAAAAAAGTACGTACCACTAGACCAAGAGCTAGTTGGTAAAACAACACTATCCTTTATATATGATTCAAACAAAGTGAGGTATGAATTGCCACAAATTATATTCAGAAAGTTATTAGTATATATGTAATTTGCTCAAATAAATCCTGAGCTTATTGTATAGGTTGTTGTTTTTCTAAAACAATTTCTCTATTAAACCCCCTCAACATGCAGTCAACATTTGCTCTGTATTCTTAGAACCACTTTTGATCCTTCCTCACTGCAAAAGCTTTGACACATACTTAGAAAAGTTGATGCTAATTTTCTCTACAGCCAAGCTTCCTGAAAGGTGGGAAACTACGAATTCTTCTTCATTCTTAATAACACCAGGACTCATTCCTTCTTTAGGACAAAAACGAAAACGAAGGACCTGTTGCAAGTTATGTATAGATCATTACAAAACTTTCCATATCTTTATCCACAGAGCATTATGTGTAAATCATGCCTAAATAGAACATCTTTCAAGGTTCAAGGCAAACAAGAAGAGTTGCCCCTAAGAATAGATTTTGAATTAGGAATATTTCTATTTTACAGGTTCAGATACGACCTCGAGCATACTTTTATTTATGCCAAGTGGATCATCGATGACTGGAACCCCTACGGCATCTTGTATACTGTGTGTTAAGCTTCATGTCCATTAGTGTGCATTTGCCGGATGAAAAAGTACATGCACAGTTGTAAACTCTTGCTATAGAACTTTTGGATCAGTGTGAAGCTTCCCAAAACTTTGTAAATCTGAGGCTCTTTTAAGGAACAATAAACCCTCCTAGGCAAGTCAACTTCATGTATTGAAATCCTTAGACATACTTGGAGGAACCCATGAGAAAATCAGCCATCAAGCTAGTATAAAACCTGAGAAAATATTACAAAATCCCATTTTTGTAAGGTATTGATGAAAGAATAACTGGAGAAGTCGTGGATAGTATTACCAAAAGCAGAATAACAAATGTTGAATTACTTTGTGGTAACGCCTTCTTTTAGATCTGGCACGACGACGGAGTATCCGGAAAACCACGACAATAATAGTAATAACTACTTGTATGATTATTAATATCTTCAAACCTGGAAACACAGAAGCGTCAACTAATGTTTACATATAATTTCAGCTATACAAAAACGTAGTCAGAAACAAGGGAATACCTTTAAGCTTCTGAATCAAGTCATCCAAACTAACTCCACTTTTGGCTTGTTTTGCACCGACATGCCCTAGATCCCCAGCTCTTGAGAAGCGATGGTCAGTTTTGTACTCAATATTCCCGCCCATTATGCATGTGTTTGGACAATTGACACTACCATCATACTCGTCGCTTCCATCACAGCAATCTACAAAGATGGTGAATAACAACAGATATTGGAAGTGGACAACACAAGAAAACACTTAAGCATCATATATCAAAATACAAAGTAGGACTATATACAGAAAGCGTACACATGATGAGACCAGAATAATTAGAGATAAATTGGATTATTGCCATGGATTTTCTGGTCGTATTAGTGCAAAAATTTGTCTATTAGGCCAGCAAGACTTCTTGAATGGAGACCAAGGACCTGATATTAATAAGGAAGCAATAGGACTGAAGAATGCGGCCATGCCATACCAAGGAGCCATTTCATAAGAAGTTCCATCATCCATTTCTGATTTGGTCCTCCATTGAACTGGCTTGCACAATGGATGTTATTCAAGTAAACACACCATCTTAGTCATCCAAAAACAATTGTAAAAAATTCTAATAATACCATTCACAGACCCACCAAGCAAGGCATCAACTCAATCCTATTTAAGGGAACATTCCCAGTATAAATTAAGCTGTTAACTCCATGAGCCATGTATAGCATACAATTAATTAAGAAAAGCCTAACTAGTTATGTGAACAAGCATTGAAGGAAAGAGGTAATCATACAGATGATACTTACCACAAAAATGGTCGTTAACTCGAGATGAAAATAGGAATTGTGGTGTACTTCCTATATTTCTACAATAAAATTTGCCTGCAGGACAGGCGGAAGTTCCTGAAAATACAAAGAAGCCCAATTGAATCACCAAGACACAAACAGGGGGATCTGAAAAACTTAAACATCCAGGGTAAAACCTCAGCAAATGCAAACACAGAATGTATGAAAACCCAAGTAAAGTAGAAGTTTAGCATTATCACTAATCACTCAAGGTTGGACTCGACTCGCTTACTGTCAAAATGGAAGCTGGATGCATCTGCTTCTACCCAAATAAATCATATGAATTTTATGATTTTATGATTCACATTTTAAAAAACAAAACAAAGAAAGACAATTCAGAAACTCATATGCAAATGGTTCCAAGAAAACATGAAATCAAATTCAATGGCTAACAACTAATCCAAGTGACGTGAGTTCAGGACATTCAAAGCGACCCAATAGGCAGTAAGTAATATGACATTAAAAACCTAAACAAAAATTGAAACATGTGCAAGAGATATTATGAAAAGAAAGAAAATAAATAAACTCAAAAACTTGTACATCAGAAGAACCGAAAGTAATATATTAATGGCTGCACAGATTAAAACACGAAAAGAGTAACCATACCAGGCTCGTCGGTTCCGTCAACACAATCACAGAAATTGTCATTGAGGCGATCTCTGCTGAAGGACTTGGAGTTGTCCTTGCACTTGATCACCTCTGAAGCAAAGTACTGCTCATCTGCATCCACAGAAACCATTTCAATTCAATAATTTAAGAAGAAAATGATAAACGAGCATCTGGGTATGTCTCAAATGGCTCTCCAGACCCACTTACTATTGGGATTAAGAGACCCATCTCAAATTTTCTGCTTGTTTTGTGCACAGAGTAACAGAGAGAGAGAGAGAGAGAGAGAGAGAGAGAGAGAGAGAGAGAGAATTACCGAGTGGGTGAACTCCAAGAAGAGGTGGTTTGGAGAGAGAGTGAACAATGGTGAAGGACGAGGCCAGAAGGAAACAGGCTATGAGTAGAGGTATGAAACTCGCATCCATGAGTTGGGGTCTCCTTCACTTGAGGAAGGATGGAAAAGGAAGAAAACCTTGTTATTGTACTAAAACTGAAACATTGACTTCCAAAATGAAAGTTCCTTCCACTGTGGAAGTCAAGGTCAATGAAACGCAGTCCCTAATTTTATACGAGAGCATTTTTTGGGTTAAAGTGTCCATAATTTTATACGAGAGCATTTTATACGAAAGCATTTTTAGGAGTTCTTCTCATCATCTTTTTTAACACTTCACACATATTCATATATATATAATCATAGTTTTATAAATAAAAAATAAAAAATAAAAAATAGTTATATATATGGACATGTGTTAAGTATTAAGAATGGTGGTGATGATAGGTTAAAATAGTGAACAAAAATATTTTCAATTTTATACACACTATGTGTTTACCCCGAAATTTTCATCCACACGGCCCGAAATTGGCCGCAGGATTGTTTGCGTGTTGTTGTTTGCTTAGGCGTGCCATGTAATGTAAAATCCGCACTAATATTGAGTTGATTAAATTGGCCGGAGAACTAGCCAAATATATGTTCTTCTCTATGCCTAATGAAGAGGACTTTAATATTTTGCTAGCGTGAAGGATAGGAACCAGTAGAAAATAAAAAACAGAAATGAAAATTATAGATATTTATATGAAGATTTCATATAACATTAAACCAAGAGCAATACATGAACATTAAATAAAGTCTGGAGATTTCTCTATTCAGACAACTTGAAATAAATACCAAGAAAAGAAGAAGGCAGAGCAATAAAAATAAAGAAATTCCTGAGGAGTTGTCAATTAGAAATTTCAAAGAGAAAGCAAAGTATTTCGGTCTTGAGATATTCAAGTTGTTGAAGACATTGAGTCTCTTGAGAGAGTTTAGTTGTTGATTATGACTAGAGGTATCAAACGGACTAGGTTGGCGTGCCACTATGTTATTGGGGTCGTACCAGGGCGACCCATTTAATTAATTGGGCAGTATCATGCTAGCCAATTTATCGAAACCATTGATCCTGGCCTAACTCAAAGCCCATGTCCACATTGAACTAGGCCGTGCTTGGGTTGGGCCCATGCAAAGGTAAGGATTAAAGGAGATGAAACTCAGTTGGGAAGGTACATACATGGTTAGCCGTTCTGGAAGCAGAGGGAGCTATACACTTGACACCCAAATTGTCTCCACTGCAGTTGAATGAAAGCAACTTCTGGTTTTTTTTTCTTCTGTTCATCCATTTATTTTCATTCAATAAAGCGTTGTAATCACAACAAACAACAATACAAGTTCGAGTCTTTCATTCAACGAAGTGTTCGAGACAAAACTATATTGAAGCGTCCTAAAGGAGACGAAGGCCAAGCATGCCACTGTCCTCAAGTGTCCTAAGGGAGACGCAGGGCAACTACATTGAAGCGTCCTAAGGGAGACGCATGCCAAGCAGGCCACTATCCAAAAGCGTCCTAAGGAAGATGCAGATAAACATTCAAGAATTCAAAGGGACAACTCTCGCAGTTGCCCAGCCAAGGCGTCATCAAGTCATTCAAGCAGTTCACAAAACTCAATGCAAATTGAAGTTAAAGAAATAACTAAAGTTATTCATAGCAAAGTGACCGACTGGCTAAAGTTTAACAAAAGAATATGGTCAAACGAGACCAATTATTACAACAACAAAAGTCATTGCCGTCAGCAGCTAGCAACTACCGAGATGACAGCCACCTCGCCGCCTGGCTGGTCCTGTTGTTGGTTGCACCTACACCAGCTTGTCGGCCCACACGGCCCAAGCCGCAACACAGCTAGACCCACACCATCCTAGCAAGCCACCCATCTTGGGCTGCGATGCAACCATAGTTAAAGAAAAAAATATTGAAAAAAGGACGCGACTAAAACCGCCAGCAACTGTTGCATGTGATTTGTCGCTCCAGCAGCTCCAGAAGCAGTGTCACGATGACAACCTGCCAACTGAGGTCAGCCGGTCCTAGCCCAGAAGAGCAAAAAAATAATCACGGCAATAACCTTCGCTTGTCACCAATGACTGCTGTAGGCGTCATAGATGGTCATGCCAGCCATTCCACGCGGTCACGATGACAACCATCATGGCCCACGCTAGCTGGTCTTCACCATAAGAAAAAATTGAAGAAAAATAAAAACCCAAGCGTGACCTATCTTGGTGTGCACGGCGACTCCTCTCCTTGACAAAGAAGTACACTCCAAGATCTCTCTCGCAAGCTAGAAATTAGAGGGAAACAAGTTTTTAATTTGAAGATGAGTGAAGAGAAGCCTTGTATTTATAAAGGTTGGGCATCCTAGGTCAAGTAGGAATCACATGTTTACTCCAATTAGGAGTCGAACTCCAAGAAGAAGTCAAAAGTCTACTCCAATTAGGAGTCCAACTCATAAAAGATGCTCAACTCATAGAAGGAAGCCCAGATACAGTTGGAAAGCTCGATAAATATTTCTCATCTCCTCCATGCCTCATAATTGCCATGTAGAAGTTGGGGAGCATTTGTGGGAACACATATTTCGGCAACCAATACAAAGATGACACGTGGAAAAAGGAATATTCATGTGGGGGTCTTTTTATTCCAGCAACCTGACGAATGGGCTTGGGCTGCAGAAAAAGAGAAACAGGTGAAGCTGCCCCTGTGTCTGAGTTCAAGGATCAGGCCCCAAGAGTGTTTCGAAAGGGTAGCTAAGCCTTAGAAAACACTTTGGTCTTCTTCACCAATGAAACCAACAGTCGCTTACAGATAAATTCTTAGCTTGGCATGAGAAACTTGTGGTATGGGAATTGAGCATTCATGAGTTTAGCATGAGAGAGAGAAAGAGCTGCGATTTCCAGAAGAAAAGATGGGAGGAGATGGAGGAATATGACTCGAAATTGCAGGGGTTTCAGGGATGAGAGATGATGATTGCTCTCTAGATGTGTGTTTATGGAAATAGAGGAAGAAGATGGAAGCATGAGTGGCTTTAGCATATTTCTAGCAGCTTGACGAAAGCTTCATCAAGCTTCTGGGTGATTTGACAGAAGAGAAAATGGGAAGCAATGGAAGAATAAGGCTTGAAATCCAAGGGTTCCAGAGATGAGAGATGATACTTGCTCTCTCTAGATGTGGGTTTTGAAAGAGAGAAAGGAGGAAGATGGAAGAACAAAGCATGAAATTGAAGAGTTCCAGAGGGGATGCTTGCCTTCAATGAATTCTCATGGTTGCTGGGAGGCTTGCAGCAACCAAGGTGAGTTGTTTTTGCTGGGCAGAAAGTGACTCCTTTTATAGGCACTAAAAACCTTAATTTTATCACGCCACCCTCTCCCATTTTCCTTCACTTTCTTCAATTTTATCTTATTTGGTGAAACTTCCCTAGCCTGAGCATGTAGGCATGAAGCTTTTTAGAGTTCCAAGGTCCTCAGGCAGTTGGACTTCTCCATGTGGGTGAGGAGCCACCTACTTTTGCTTCTTGTTTTCTCACCTAAGCTTGAAGAGGAAAGAATGGGTATGGGTGCTAGTCAAAAGTTGATCATCACATGGGTTTGTTTGGTTTTGCTGGTTTTGACAAATATGCTGGATATTTTCCACGATGTTGGGCTGACCTATTGGTATCTTGTTTCCAGCCGCCTATGAGTTTGCTCAAGTTGCTGGAAATAACCTATTTGATCAAGGTGCTGGATATTTTGGCTTATGTGGGATTTTTACAAGTGTTTGCAAGCCACTGGATATTTTCCTAAGCTATTGGGCCACTCATTCTCTCTCATGCTTACCCATATATTTGGGCTCAAGAAATGGGCTCGAGTTTTGGTGCTCCCAAGTAGCCCAAAACTTCTACTTCTTGGTCCATCAATGGGCCTCGTGAATGCTCGTAGCCATTCATACCACAACTCGCTCAGCAAGCCCCAGGCATTCGCATGGCTTGGGCCCACTTAAGCTTGTAGCGTGGCATGTTGCTTAAATAAGGATTTTTTGCTTGGTGTTGTACTAGGCCGAAAATATATTTGGGCCCAGCCTTGGATTTTTTGGGCCTCAACAATTCCTTAGGTCAAATAATTACCATAATTAAATCCAATTTAATGAGGAAATTATCCTTGATTTAATATATGAATATCTCCCTTAATCAAGGAGTCAATTTCCAGCAAATCTCATTGATTAATTCCTATCATCTTTTTGGGGAAGAATAATCCTAATTAAAATAGGGATTATTCTTCAAACCCTAACCTACAAGGAGCTGTATAAATACATGGCTACACAACACAATTGAGGTAAGATTCTGTTTCCCTCTTTTCGGCCGAGGCAGCCAACGGAAGGAACTTTTGGTCATTCTTCTTTTTTGAGTGCAGGGCGTGCCACCACCAAGCCCCGAATTTGTGCTTGAATGGAATGTTAGTAGATGGATGTGTTGCGTTCGAGATCTAACTTTAATCAAACGATTGTTCGGCCGAGCAAGGACCCTCCTCACGGCCTAGGTTCTTTCACTACCTCGGGGTCAAGGCTTTATGTGAGCGACCAAATGATGTGGAGTGGGTGAAGATGTAGATGAAGGTGAAATGTAATGAAACGGAAAACAAGTGCATAAAGTAAAGGTGCTTAAACTTAAATATAATTTAAAGACAAATGCGTAAAGTAAAGTGCGAAAGATAAATAACGTAAAGACAAGAATTAAAGTACTATAAAATGAATCAAAGCGATAAATAAAGCAAGAACGAAATGAAAGCGATAAGAACGATAAAGTAAAATGAACTTGAAATTAAACTTAATTGAAGTGCGATAACAATGAAAAGTAAAGCAATTGAAATAAACTTGAATTTAAATGACAAGAAAATATAAATTGAACAAGAATTTAAATTTACACTAAGAAAAGGAAGAACTGGCTACACTAAGTACATGAAAAGTAAAATCCTAAGTCCAGGAAAAGAAAAGTGCGAGACGAAAAATAGGTTTGTCTGTCTGATGTTGTGTGTCTTTTGTCTTCGTCTAGTGAGGTTTATATAGGGTGTTGACGCAGAAAAATGGTTCTGCACTTTCCCGCGCAACTTAGTGATTAAGTTTCTTCGGTATCTGATGTCCTCGGTAGGGTGTGCGATCTGTAAGATAGCAAACACACGGTAAATCCTAGGGCACCGGTGTGGTACCGGCCGAAGGCTCTCCGATGCTTAAGTAAGTACGGATTTAGTAAGTTTTAACTGCAGATCAATAGGCAGTATGCCGTAAGTTCTGATTGATTACCTTCAGGCTGGGATGGGTGTCCTCTTTTATAGGCCTTGGGAGGTGTGCAATTTGTTAAGAGTTTCGATGTGGGACTCTGGGCGTCAATCGTGGGGCTGCCACGTGCCAGAGTGGGCAAGGTTGCCCTAGTGTTGTGATCGGTAGGTCCGGTACCGAAGGTGAGTGCCGAAGGCACACGTAGCCTTGGGATAGTCCACGTGGTTGGCGTTCATTGGGTGTTCATTTTGGTATAAACAGGAGTCCCCCAAGTCCCCTTGCGAGAGTCTTCGGAAGGGGATTTGAATTCGTCCTCGGGAGGAAACACGGCCTTACCGTTCGGTAGCCCCACTGGGGGAAGGGCGAAACTTTGTTCCTTCCAGCACGACCGGTTCAGAGGCTGATGTTGGCGAAGTCAGAAGGTCGCGTCGATCTGACGGGTGAAGGGACGTCTGAGCGCTTCGACTTCCGCGCCTCGCGTGCCGTCAGTTCTCCCATTGGGTGAGCGACACGTGGCGGAAATAATGATGGCGCGCGGCGCATTAATGCGCCGTTTGGTTTTTCGAGGGATACCGTTGTCGAACTCCCCACTATAAATAGGGATGACCCCGGTGGCGAATTCACTTTGCATCTTGTGAGAAGTGAGAGCTCTGTCCGAGGCGATTTCCGACGAGTACCAACGGTAGGAAAAGCGATTCCGACGAGAGCTAACGGTAACCAGGCGATTTCCGGTGAGTGCTACCGGTAGGAGTGGCGATTTGCGTCCAGACGATCTGAAGCAGCCCGCGTTCACTTCCAGAAACCAAACAAAGGTACCGTTCGGTAGCCCTACCTTTTCTCTCTTTACGTACCTTAAGAGTTTACGTCCTTCCTTGGTTTGAACTAGACTGGCCATAGGGTTCCATTCGGTAGTCTAGTCGCCATAGGTGGTGATGTAGGGATCGGTAGGATAGCATCCGGCATGAGCCTTAGTTTCCCATTTTTCCCTTGTTTTTGTAGATGTCTGATAGCGAGTCATTCTCCGAGCGCGAGCCCAACGCGTTCGACGAGGAGTCATCGGACGGTCTCTTTTGACTCCGATGTTGAAGCGGTAGGGCCTGATGCCGAGGAGGGGAGCGATACCGACGTCGAGATACTCGGCGAAAGGCCTAGCCCAGTTCCCACACATGGCATCGGGAAGGGGCTTATGACCGCTCCGGTACCGTTGTCTATAGTGTATAGCGACGGTCGCCACGTGGGGCTTGGCGCTCCAGGGGAGGCAAGCGGTAGCCACCAGCCAGAGGCTTCTACTTCCGGCCGTGGTGAGGCGGCTACCGAACCTTCCATCCGGCCGAGGGTATCTGTAGTCTACCCCGGCAATCCTAGGGTGCCGATGGGGGTTCCGAAGGAGCTCGTCTTCGGGGTGGATTATCTGGAGCCCAACAGGATCACCGAAAGGGAGATTGCGAAGTTCCGGGCGGAGTATTTCATTCCAGATTCGGTAGGTATGAGGATCCCACTTCCTACCGAATCTCTAAGCAGTCCGAAAGACGGCGAGGTCGTCTTTTTCACGGACGTGCTTCTGCAGGGGGTGAGGCTTCCTCTGCAGCCTGCCGTTCAGAGGATCCTGGCGCAGATCGGCTACGCTCCCGGCCAGTTCAACCCCAACTTCTGGGTGGCGCTGATGGGGGTAGTCACAGCCTTCGGCATGGCTGGGGAGGGAGAACCTTCGTACGAGCAGTTCTCCCACCTTTACAGCATCACGAAATCAAAGTGTGCCGATCACGGAGGCTGGGTCCAGGCCAATTGTCTGAAGGCTGCCGAGCGTGGTCACTTCGTCAATGCCGTTCCGACCTCCCAGAAGACCTGGAGGAAACGGCGGGTGCTTTTGTCCGGTGACTGGGAGTCGCCCTCGGGACATCCCGTCCGTTTCCATATCCCAACCACATTCCAAATCGCCGGTAGGCTATCCTGCCGTTCGGTAGGGCTTGTAGGTATTGCTTCTATCGTTTTAAAGCTGATACCGTTTGGTTTTGTGCAGGCAAGTTGAAGCAGCCGAGTGCCACACAAGCGGAGATCCGGCAGATCGAAAGGGTCAGGCTGAAGGTTCCTGCCGTTGAGAGGGTCTACCCGAAGTTTCTCTTCACTGCCAATCTCATTAAAGCCCGGCTCGTCAACCCTGCCGAGAGTAAGTATACTTCCCCATTTTGATAGTTCAGAATATGTATCGTTGAACCTAACCGACTCCTTGCAGTGACCGAAGAGAGGAAAGCCGCCGAGGTGAAGAGGATGAACGAGTCCTCGAAGAGACGCCTCATGCTCGGCATGCAGGGGAAAAAGAAAAGTCGGCAGGCCTCAACGGCACCGGCGCCTTCGGGAGGCGTGGATCCTGACGATCTGACACTCAACGAGCGTCGTCGCCAGATGCAGGCTGAGTCGGCGCGTGCCGAAGCTACTGAGGCTGGTCCATCCCCTGGCCGAGTTCCGCCTACCGAGGGCACCTCCTCCAGAGCGGCAGGCAAGAGGCCGTTTACCGTGGACGTTGATGCCGACCCCGCTCCAAAACGCGGGCGACAAACAGAGCCTGCACGGGCCGTTTTCTCTGCCGAGGACGACGAGGCCCCTTCCGAGCTGTGACACTGGCCTGTCCTTCGAAGACGGTCCAGTTTGTGAACCATATGATCCTTGGTTCACAGATGGAGCTGTCGGAGATCGAGGACCTGCCGAAGAAGCTGCTTCGGGAGGAGGCTGGTCGCGCCTTCCGTCTCCAAGCCTCGGTAAGTGCCTTTTGTTTTCAGGGTTTCCTTGTCATCCAGTTCTCTTTTCATCTGACATCTTCTTTTGTTGTGCAGGCTTCAATGGACATGTGGCTCTGCGTTAAGCGGGCCATCAATGCCGCCGAGAAGGCGAAGAAATTATACGAAGACGGCAGGGCGAAGGTTGCCGAAGCTGGCAAGGCCATCCAAGCCCAGGCAAACTTGGCCAAGGACATGCAGGCTGCCGAACGGCAGGTGAAGGTTTATCAGGCCAAACTTGGCGAGATGTCTGCGGCATTGGAGGCGGCTCAGCTGACGGCAAAGGAGGCTCTGGAGTCGAAGGAGGCGATCCAGGTGGCCTTCGAGGAGTCCGAGCGGGCCAGGGCTTCCGAGATGGGGCTGCCGTTCAGAGGCGATCAGGGCTACCGTCGGTCTACCGAGTTCTCACCTTGCTGGACAAGGAGGTAGGATCGGAAATGGCGGATCTGCTCTACCGTTTCAAGCGGTACAACCCCTGGGAAAAAGCTCAACCTCAACTTCATTGCTGACCCACCCCCCCTTCCTGAGGGCATAACCGAAGAGATGATCGAGGAGTACGAGGGGGAGGATGTGACAGAGGAGGTCCCAGCTGAACCCGAAGGGGATAACTGCCGAAGCCGATGGTGCTGCCCCTGATGCCGACGAGGCTGCCGCCTGATGCAGGGTCCTGTCTATAGCTGCCTTTGTTTCCAAATTTTGTTCTGACCTTTTTTGTATTTTGTTTAAATTTGATGCCGTAGGCATCTCTGTAATTCTGTTGCAACTTTAATGCCGTTGGTATTTTTAGATAATTAATTATGTTTTTGTTTGAAGTTATTCGCAACTTACTTTTAAATCGGTAGCGTTCTTAGGAAATCGTTCTGTTGAATGCCGAAGGATTTTAAACAAAGGTCATTGGCCGTTGGCCAGTGACGTTTCCTTTTACGCAGGGAGTTATGGAATTGAAAACCAATGCGCGTGCTTGCCCAATAAAGTTTACAAAGTTGTCTTTTAATCGGTAGGATAATGGCGATGCCAAAATGCGTAGTTTGCTGCGACCGATGGTCCCTACCGTACCCCTTTTTTTTTGAACAAAAAATGGAGAGATTTGAAAGGTACAACAAAGGTGCCAAATATGTGTGCCGAAGGCCCTTTTATTGATAAACTGCCGAAGGCGAGATTACAATTATGAGCGCGTTTTACAATATAGAACCCGCCGTTGGCTTGGTAACGCTATAATGCCGAAGCGGCTTGTAGATGCGAGGCTTTTGTGACTCTCCGTGACCCTGCCGTAGGCAAGGTGACTTCATTTGAAATAGTACTTCAAATGCTCTACGTTCCAAGGGTGACCGAGGGTCTTTCCGTTGGAGTCTCTGAGTCGGTAAGTCCCAGATCGCTGGATACCGATGATCTCGTAGGGTCCCTCCCAGGAAGGTCCGAGGGTTCCTTCCGTGGGATTCTTGGTTGCCAGGAGACTTTCCGCATAACCCAATCTCCGACTCGGAAAGAGCGGGATTGACCCTGGAGTCATAGTACCGAGAGACGCGTTGCTTGTAAGCTTCGTTCCGAAGGTTGGCTTGTGCTCGGCGCTCTTCGAGTAAGTCGAGGCTCAAGCCAGTGCTTCCTCATTTGCCTTCGGTGCGAAGGTTTCCGTTCGGTAGGAGGGCTCTCCGATCTCTACTGGGACTACTGCCTCTGAACCGAAAGCCATGGAGAATGGTGTTTCCCCGGTTGCCGTTCGGTAAGATGTCCGTATGGCCCATAGCGCCTCCGGAAGCTTTTCTGGCCATGCCCCTTTGGCTTTGTCAAGCTGCCGTTTCAACAGCTTCTTGACAATTTTGTTCATGGCTTCGACCTGTCCGTTCGATTGGGGGTGTGCTGGCGAAGCAAAGAACAGGTTGATCTTGAGTCGTTTGCAGAATTGCCGGAAGACTTCCGAATCAAACTGCCTGCCGTTATCCGTGACGATGGCGTAGGGGATGCCGAATCGGCAGCAAATGTTTGTCCAAACGAAATCCTCGATTCTGGGCTGCCGTTATCGTCGCTAGTTCTTTGGCTTCTACCCATTTGGTGAAGTAGTCTACGGCAACAACAGCGTATTTTACCTGACCCCTTGCCCTCTGGCATCGGACCGATTAGATCCAGTCCCCATTGGGCGAACGGCCATGGGCTCACGATCGGTGACAGTGGCTCGGCGGGAATGTGAGGGACACTACCGAACCGTTGGCATTTGTCGCACCTCTTGACTAGTGTGTTTGCATCCTGATGCAGAGTCGGCCAGAAATAACCCTGCCGGAAGACCTTGTGTGCGAGCGATCGGGAACCAGAATGGTCCCCGCAGATTCCGCTGTGGACCTCCCGAAGGATGTAGTCCCCTTGCTCTTTGGTCAGGCATTTTAAGTACGGCGTCGTGTAGCCCCGTTTGTACAGAACATCGTTGATGACTGTGTATCTTGCCGATCGGTAGCGGAGTTTCCGAGCTTGGGATTTGTCGGTAGGAAGGGTTCCGGCTTTCAGATAGGCATAGATTGGGGACATCCATGTATCCTCGTACCGAACGGTACATACCTCAGCGGCGGTTGTACTTGGTTGGGATAATATCTCCACCGGTACCTTCCTTCCGATCTTGTCATTTATTGCCGAAGCCAATCGCGAGAGTGCGTCGGCATGGCTATTTTCCGACCTGGGGATCTGCCGTATCTCATAGGCTTGGAATTTCTGTAGTAGCTGGTGGGCTGCCGATAGGTAGGCTGACATGGAGGCATCCTTTGCTGCGAAGTCTGCCGTTATCTGGTTTACTATGAGCTGGGAGTCGCTGTGAATGCTGATCTGCCTCGCGCTCATGCTCTGGGCTAGCCGAAGGCCAGCCAGGAGGGCCTCATATTCTGCCTCGTTATTGGAGGTTCGGAAGTTGAATCGGAGGGCGTACTCGATTTTGCTACCGTCCGGAGTGGTTAACACTAAGCCGGCACCACAGCCTTGCTGGTTTGCCGAGCCGTCCACGTGCAGGATCCAGAGAGGAGTGGACGCGTCGAAACGTTCGGTATCCATTTTTTCTGGTTCGGTAGTTACAGCGCTCGGCGATGACGGTTCCGATAAAGCAGGGGTGTGAGTTCGGAGATGAAATCGGCAACGGCCTGGCCCTTTCTCTGCGGGCCTTGGCTTGAACTGTATATCAAACTCTCCCAACTCGATCGCCCATTTGACCAGTCGGCCGGATGTTTCCGGCTTTTGGAGCACCTGCCGAAGAGGTTGGTTCGTCAGAACTGTGATTTCGTGAGCCTGGAAGTAGGGGCGAAGTCTTCGTGCCGAGACGACCAGGGCCAGCGCTAGTTGTTCCAAGGGTGGGTACCGAAGTTCTGCGCTCTGGAGCGCCTTGCTGACATAGAAGATCGGTAGCTCTGCCTTCTCTGGCCTCCTTATCAACACTGAGCTGACGGCAGTGCTGGATACCGAAAGGTACAGGAGTAGTACCTCGCCTGGCAGTGGTTTTGATAACAATGGTGCTTGGCTCATGTAGTTCTTCAAGTTTTGAAATGCTTGGTCGCATTCGGGAGTCCATGTTATATGATGTTTGCCCCCTTTCAAAGCTTTGAAGAACGGTACGCATTTATCGGTAGCCTTGGAGATGAAGCGTGTCAGGGCAGCGACACGTCCGGTAAGGCTCTGAATGTCCTTCTGCGTCTTTGGGGTCTCCATGTCGATTATGGCTTTTATTTTCTCGGGATTGGCCTCGATTCCCCTTTGACTGATCATGAACCCGAGAAATTTTCCGGAAGATACACCGAATGCGCATTTCGCCGGATTCAGTCGCATTCGGTAGTCCTTTAGAATACCGAACATGAGGGCCAAGTTTTCAAGGTGATCCCCCCGCCGTTCGGCTCTTTACCAACATGTCGTCAACGTAAACCTCCATGATGCCGCCGATGTATTTAGCAAAGATCCGGTTGACGAGCCGTTGGTAAGTTGCCCCCGCGTTCTTCAGGCCGAAGGGCATGACGTTGTAACAGTACAAACCGCGATCTGTGATGAATGCCGTATGCTCTCTATCGGCAGGGTCCATGAAGATCTGGTTGTATCCTGAATACGCGTCCATGAAGCTGAGCAGCTCATGCCCGGCGGTGGCATCGACGAGCTGGTCGATCCTCGGTAGGGGGAAACTGTCCTTCGGACAAGCCTTATTCAGGTCGGTATAATCCTGACACATTCGCCATCCTCCCCTGGCCTTCCGAACCATGACTGAGTTGGCAAGCCACACAGGGTACGTAGCTTCCCTGATAAAGCCGATGGCTTTGAGCTTGTCAACTTCGGCACGCATCGCCTCATACCGTTCGGCATCGTACGATCGGCGCTTTTGCCTGACTGGTTTGTGGGGGGGGAGATGCTGAGCTTGTGGCTGATGACGTCGGGTGATATGCCGGGCATGTCGTCATAAGACCAGGCGAAGACCTCCGCATGCTGCCGTAAGAAGTCGATGAACTGCCCTCGGAGGTCGGGTTCCAGATTGGTGCCGATCTTCACCCACCGATCGGGGAAGTCCTTGTTCAGGATTATGGTCTCCAGCTCCTCGGCGGGCTGTGCCACTGGCGTTGGGTTTTCCTCCCGGGGGTCGTCAATGGGTTCGTTACCGTTCGGTAGTCCCTGCAAGGTCATGGCCTCCATTGGCGGTTTGCTGGCTACCGACTTAAGGGCCGTGGCATAGCACGTCCGTGCGCTGAGCTGATCGCCCCGGATGGCTCCGGTACCGTTGCGGGTCGGGAACTTCATCAGCAACATGTGTGTGGGATAGGTGGGCTTGATCCTGGTGAGTGCCGTTTCGCCCTATGATGACGTTGTATGCCGTTGGGCAGTCAACAATGAGGAATTGGTCATAGGTCATGGTCTTCCGGGGGGCCATGCCGAAGGCGATGGGCAAACTGATGCTACCGACCGGTTGTACCAGTCTCCCAGAGAAACTGAGGAGAGGTGTGATTTGCCGATTGACCATGCTGTCCGCAATCCCCAGTCCCTTGAACGCATCGGCAAAGATCACGTTTCACCGAGCTTCCGGTGTCAATCAGCACCCGACCCACGTCGTACTCGGCGATCTCGGCCCGAATGATCATTGGGTCGTCGTGGGGGTAGATGATCCCCTCCTCTCTTCTTCACTGAACGTGATGGGCTCCCATCCCACCTTCGACATCTTTCGGCACCGATCCTCTGCTATGCCGAAGACCTGAGGGCAGTGGGCGGCGCGCACATACTGCTTCGCCGATCGGTTAGAGGGTCCCGCCAGGGTGGGGCCACCGCTGATCGTGTTGATCATGTTGATCTGCCGATTTGCATTCGGTGCCGGGGCCTGCGGCGGCCTGGCAAGGTACTGATCCAACTTCCCTTCCCGAATCAGGCGCTCGACAATTTTCCTTAGACTGATGCAGTCTTCGGTATTGTGGCTGTTCTGTTGGTGGTATCGGCAGAATTTGCCAGTATCCCGATTATCCTGCCGATTGGGCTTCCGGTTGGTCGGCTTCGGGATCTGGTCGTGTTCGTTCATTAGAACGGTCTCGTATGTCGTGTTCAGCAGGGTGAAGACTTCCTGAGCACGATCGTGATTCGGTAGGGGTGCCCGGTGGTCTTTACGACCGTACTTGGAACGTCCTCGGAACAGAAGTCCTCGGTAGCTTTCCTCGGACTTGGTGATCTTGCCTTCGAATACTCCGGGGGAGCTTCCGAACGGTAGCTCGATTCGGTGTCCCTGGTGGGGATGTACTCATCGTCGGATTCCTGCGCCGATTCCAAACCCTGAGCCCTCCGAAGGGGCGACTTGTCCCCCAAGACCCTCATCCGGGAGTCTCTCAAGTTGGCGTTTAGTCTGATTGGGGACCTATGCCGTTCGGCATCCCTTCTTGTCGTTGATCCGATGACGACAATCGGTGTATACCTTCTTCGGTACGTGCGGTTGGTCCGGGGGTGCCGGGACTACCAGCTGTTTGGAGGGCGCAGGCGTTGCCTTTGCCCCCTGTTTTCCCTTCCTCTGCCGACCGGGGGTCTGCTGACTCTGGGAAGATTCGGTCGTCCGAACGTTTTGCGTTTCCTGCTGATTAAGCAACCGTTGGGTTTCGTCCACTTTGGACGAGAGGAGATTGTTACGTTCTTGGAGTTTAGCCATCTCCTTTCGGAGGGAGGTCATCTGAGCCAAAAGCTCTGCTTCGACCGTGGTCTGAAGCGCAGGGTGGATTACCGAAGGGAGTGCTAGGGTGCAGCGCGGGGCTTGCTCCACTTGGCATACCGTACGGTAATCCATCCTCTGATAGGAACTGTTGTCCTGAAGTGGTTCCCATTTGTTTTGTTTAGGAATTGTAGGTCGATTATATCGATTCCCACAGACGGCGCCAAACTGTTGACGCAGAAAAATGGTTCTGCACTTTCCCGCGCAACTTAGTGATTAAGTCTCTTCGGTATCTGATGTCCTCGGTAGGGGTGTGCGATCTGTAAGATAGCAAACACACGGTAAATCCTAGGGCACCGGTGTGGTACCGGCCGAAGGCTCTCCGATGCTTAAGTAAGTACGGATTTAGTAAGTTTTAACTGCAGATCAATAGGCAGTATGCCGTAAGTTCTGATTGATTACCTTCAGGCTGGGATGGGTGTCCTCTTTTATAGGCCTTGGGAGGTGTGCAATTTGTTTAGAGTTTCGATGTGGGACTCTGGGCGTCAATCGTGGGGCTGCCACGTGCCAGAGTGGGCAAGGTTGCCCTAGTGTTGTGATCGGTAGGTCCGGTACCGAAGGTGAGTTCCGAAGGCACACGTAGCCTTGGGATAGTCCACGTGGTTGGCGTTCATTGGGTGTTCATTTTGGTATAAACATAGGGCATTCGTCAGCCTATGGGCTGGCCATTGAATGGCCAAATGTCAACCCTTTTAAAAATCTTTCCTTTTGAGGTCCCTTGAATTCGTGGGACTACATTGGTTGAAATATTCTGATTTCTTGATTCTCTCTTGTTTTGGAGTATGCTGAACTATCATCAATCTCCTTGATTTGTTTCCTTATGAGGCCTCCATCACATGCACATTGACCTCCGAAAATCTTGGGCGTGAATCTGTGGCTTGGGCCTTGACCTCCGAGATTTCATATTGACATATGGTGGAACCTTGTGCCCCTTGAGTTTTTAGAATTCTAGAGTTGGCTTTCCATCCGTCGACCATCTGCCAAGATGGGTGGTATAGGAACTCCAAATATTTGGATGTTGGGTTTGGCCCTACATTGGACTATATTTTAGTTCTTAAATATTCGAATATTGGGAATTCGGAGGACATACCTCCCGCCGAACTTCAACTCCCTTGGCCCGACTTTGCTTGCCCAAGTGTTGAGAGGACTGCGCCAAGGTGAGCAAGGAGAAAATTAGCCCTAGCCTAACTTTTTGTAAGAGGGGTGGCCAACCAAGGTATTCAAGGAGTGCCCCGCCCAACTTTTTGAGAATGAAGCATTCGGCCATTTTGTAAGGATATGCCCGGCTACTTTTGCAAGAATATGCCCGACCACTTTTGTAAAGGGAAACGCCCAATCATATTTTTGAGAAGGCACCACGGCCTTTGAAGAAAACACCTCGACCGCATTTTTTAGAAGGCACCATGGCCTTTGAAGAAAACACCTCGGGCGAATTTTTGAAGATGCACCATGGCCTTTGAAGAAAAGACCTCAGCCAACTTTTTGAGAAAGCACTTCGGCCGCTAGGAATTCTTCAGTCGTTATGAATTCTTCAGCCGTTAGGAATTCTCGGCCGCTAGTAATTCTTTGGCCGCTAGGAATTCTTCGGCCGCTAGTAATCCTCGCCCTTTAGGAATTCTCCGGCCGCTAGGAATTCTCCCTTGGCAAATTGGGTGAATTTTGACCACCCCCAAATAGATTCTGAAACCTAGCAAAACCTCTCTCTCCCTCAAGCCACTTTCTCTATTTCTCCTTCACGGTTACATGCCAAAACACACACGGCTTTGGCCACCCGGCTCTCTCCGTAGGAGAAAACCTTCATCCTTTCCGTTACTTTGTCGTATCTTTCTTAAGATCCAATTAATTGACCTAGACATCGAAGGACCTTTGGCCAACACCCCCGATGCGGTCTATTTACTCCTGTCTTTTTTGTAGGAATTGAGGGGGGAGAGAGAAGGAATCAACATATGAATATTCCCCATGTGAAATTTTGCTCAAAAATTACCTTCCATTAACTCATTCTTAAAGCATTTAGTAACAAGACATTGATGAAGGCCTTATAATAGAGTAAGCACCTCTGCTACCAGAACTAAACACATACCAATTTGATGAGCCCTTGCATAGAAAGGTCTTTGAAAGACACCACATTGGTGTCCCTTCACCTTTGTTAGGTTTTCTCTTTTTTAAAATTTCTTTGTTTAGATTTCTTTTTATTTATTAATTGTTTACATGCTGGAGGTAGGCTCTACTTTACCACATCACCTACTTATATTAGTAGGTAAAGGGCCTATGTGTATGAAATCACACAAATACCTCTGCCATTTCAGAAATTTTAATAAATTTTTAAATGGTGTTACGATAGGGGCAAAGTGAAACGTAAAATATATGTCAAGGTGGCAATGTGGATCACTTTAACTTCCGAGGGGCAATGTTAGATTTGACCATATTGTCAGGAGGCACTGCTGTAAATAAGCTTGTATATAAATAGTCAGTTGAGGGATCCCTTAAATAAGCAATACACATTTGTAGAGCCTACTCACATCGTATTTCAATAATCCAAACCATCCATCTTTTAGGCATTCCTTTAAAGATCATCTCTCCAAGAAAAAAAATTCACTTGAATCTAAATTCATTTGACAATGAAAATAATAGTTGTTATTTTAGTGTTTTCTTAAAGCACCATATTCGTGTATTTTGTTGATCACAATTAGATGCCTTAATAACGTTCAATTTGTCTAATTTTATGTAAAAATGATCTATGAATGAAAACTAGAAAAACAAACCATTCAAATTGTTGAAATACAATTTGTAATAGGCTCAAAGGATATCCCTGAAATAAGAATCCTTCAATAATAAAAGGGGATGTTTTTGGTTCAATACTTCTGGCCCACAGTCCTCTCTTGCTCTCCATGTTCGAGTATCATGTGATGAGAGATGCGCATGCACAAGGTTTATCTTTTGAACGTTGATCCAACATGAGGATATAGTTGAATGCTCACTCCGAGTTATTTTCCCTAATCCAAACGGAGGGCAGTGGATTTCCTTTTTACAACAAGATCAACCAGCGAATATACTAGGCTACGATTCAGCAATATTTTAGTGCTTAATTCTTTTTAAATGAACTTTTAGTGCCTAATTCTGATTACTTATTATTAAGATGAATTTGATTGTTGATTGGCTGCTCTGTTCTCCAATCCCATTTTATATTTCAAACAACCACCATTCAAATGTCAATTTATCTATAAAAATAAGGAAGATCAAGTGAATTAAACCTTATTTGATTAGACAAAGATGATATCCAATTTGCTGTTATGAAGCATAATTTCAAGTCTCTTCATGGGTGAGCATTAGCAAAAAGGGGAGTTTATTATGTTTTGTGAAAAAAATTCTTGCTGCAGGAGAGCTCCTCTTCTAACAACTCGGTATATAATCTACTCAGTGTGGGAAGGCAGGCACATGTGCAGGCACACACACTGCATTTGACGACTTAGGAAACATTACTATAGAGACACAGGTAAACTTTCACCATGCGTGATTAAATGAGGTGAATTTTCATGAGTGATCAAATAAGGTGTATTTTCATTCTAATTGCTCAAGTTAAAGTGTTTCTCATCACAAGAGTTCCTTCACTACAACCCCTACAACCCCTCAAAAAATTTCAAAAAAGGCCAATGATTTCCAAACGCGTCACATATCTTGATGCGTTCGTGCCTAATACTTCTCAAAGCAAGTCGTCATTAGCCTACATTAAAAACTAAACTAAATATCTGTAATACAAGATTTATGCATCTTAGAAAGTTCAAAACATAAAAATAAAACAAAATAGCAGGTTGGACATCAACATCCAAGTTTATCATCAATTTCCTATATTATACAGAATAAGATTTTGCAAAAACAGACACAAGGGAAAGAACTACGAATGTCATGTCCATGATCAACTCAGTACCTTGGTAAATTGTAGCAAATGCAAGCTCAAATTGATTCAGTTAATCAACACTAAACATACTTGATACTAAATACTTAAGGTAATAAATGCATGTATGAAAAGATAGTCACAGTTGAAACAACTAATAAGCAACTTACACAGCTTCATCCAACAACAAACACTTTCAGAAACTTGACATGGGAAAAATTTATACGAACCTCGAATATTTTATGACGAGTAACATCTAAGTGCGACTTTTATTGCTATCCGAACTCATAAAATAGCTAAACTCCACAGCAGTGTCAAAGCAAAGAGAATGATAGAACACTATTTTCTACGCTTGTTGGGACCAGTCTTGTACCCACCCTTTGTAGGCTTGCCCCAAGGTGTTCGAGAACCTTTTCCATGAGAACCACTACTCTTGCTCTTACCCTCGCCTCCACCATGAGGATGATCTACTGGATTCATTGCCACTCCTCGAACTGTCGGTCTGCGGCCTAACCACCGGTTTTGCCCAGCCTTGTAGAGCTTCTTCGGCTTATTTCCTTCACTGGGGACCGTACCAATCGTGGCCCGGCACTTAGAATCAATCCATTTTTCAACACCTGAAGGCAGTCTCACTAGACACCTTGAAGTGGGTTCTTTCAAAATCTTTGCATAAGTGCCTGGTGCTCGAACTAACTTGCCACCTTGACCTGGGTGCATCTCGATGCTGTGTATTTTGGCTTGAATGTGCATATCGGCAAGCGGCATGCACCTTCCAAATTGTGAATTGACATCATAGTGAAACAACTGATTACTTGCCCCACCTACATATGTGGAAAGTGTAACAATATCAGTAAGATTCATTTTGGCAGCAACAAGGTCATGAAAATACAGCTTAGTTCAAGAATTCATTTATAATCTCCTCTTGGTCAAATTAACTCAAGTCAGCAGACATATCCACTTTGTAGAAAAGCAAGCAACAGCAACACTTTCAAATTGGGTGCTCCCATATTCATTCAGGCATAAAAACCATCTTTGGGTAAGCTTAATACAGCAGCAATGGATAAAAGAATTAGAGTTTTAGCCCCCTCATATTTCCCCAAAAAAGAAATAGTGAAAATTAAAATCCTCATTTTTATTTGCTCCTACATTTCAGAGCAATCAAACGGCACTTTGGCTTAAATCTTGTCCTCAATGTGTTCAAAGCAAAAGCAACATTATATACTGACGAATTCTAACAGCTCCGATCAGCTAATTTAAATTCAGCTGCATATGATTTTCCAACTGTACGATAAACAAAAAGAACACAAGGAGTTGTTTTTCTGGTTAAGGAAGATGTAATGAGGAAATATGACGAAATACCGGTGGAGAGAGTGCGACAGGCAGTGGTGGTGCTGCTGATGGCGTTGAAGTGGCCGCCGAGGAGCCTATTAAACAAGGTCGAAGAAACCGCTCGAGCTCTCCACAGAGCCATTCGATCCGCTTATTCTAGCCTTTATGAAAATTTTCCGGCGGTTGTATGGGCTGGAGATGGGATGGTTAGGAGGAGGAGGAGAAGAATTTCCGGCAAAAGCCGTCTGATATGGTGGCCGGACGGCGGCAATTTCTAGCCGGGAAGTGGAAATGTCGTGGCTGCACAGAGAGAGAGAGAGAGAGAGGGAGAGAGAGAGGATCGGGGCCAACGAGAGGGAAGGAGAGAGAAAATGAAGGGGTTTTATTTAAAGTTATTTAAACAACATTGATCAAAATGCCGAAAATACCCTTGGCATAAAAGGGCTTTTAAGTTACAACACCGATTCCGATTTGTGCACCGTTGGCTTTAGCAAGACTGTGAAATGAAAATGATGAGTTCCAAGGGCTCCGGCCCTGCTGCAATCTGGGAAGAAGAAATTGAGGGTTCTGAGAGGTTAATTATGCTTTAATTTCATGCAACTGTATCATCTACCTTTCTGTCTCCAATTTGTTTTGTTTCCTGTGATTATATCCAGCTACCTTGTTTCCTCATTGTATGAGGAATCAGCCTCATCAGCCTCCTCCATTTTGAAGTGGCTTTCTAAGCATAGTGAGGACCTTGAAGCCGGAGACCCTTTCGAATTGTATGACATGTTGGAATCTGCTGGTATGGTGCTTGTCCAATCCTTCAAACAACTTGGAAGGTATGTTTATATATTCTTGAAATTGCAGCTTCAATTTTTGTGGGATTTATGTGAATTACTGTGCTTGAGATTTTTATAAATTTCCATGAAAGTTAATGATTTAGTAGGCTTCATGTGTGGTTCAAAAGTAATGTGTTCATTGGAATACATACATTCATCCAGCTGTTTTGCCCAACTCTAGATTCTTTGTCATTTTATTTATCATGGATGTGACTTTATTTGGGTTAATGCAGCACATCAGAAATTCTGCACGAGCTCAAACTATTATTTGTCTCTGTTCCTACTATCCCTGTTCAACTTCTTCTCACTGGGTACTTTTATCTCCGGCTCAAGTTATCCTTGTTCGGATTCTTTGCTTGATAAGTATTTAATATGCCTATTTGGAAGGTTTGTCCATTTCATATTATTTGATTCTGAACTCCCAACTATTCATGTCAATTGTCAAATTCTACTTGAGTTAAAATAATCTTCGCTGGACTTGGACTGCCCGTGTTTAGGGAAATGTTTAGACTGCCCGAAAGTGTTTATTGGTTCTTAAAGTCCTTGAAGTCCTCACATGACATATTTCTAATTGAAAGGGAGGCCAACAAAACTTTAAGAAACTAATCTGAAAAGTTCTCCATTCTTTTACAGAATGAGGTTTCCATTGTTTTCTATTGAATATCTAAGTACAAAAAATCTAGTAGATTGACGAGGTCCGTTGGTTGGCTTATGTACTCATCCTATAAAAGAACACATAAAAGTGCGAGAGTTAATTGGTTGAAAAGTCTTCTTGTTTTCATGCAGCCTAAAAGATCACCAAATTTGTAGATATCTGCTAAAAAATCAGCTTTAAGTTTGAGCCACCAAAAATAAAAAAAAATAAAAAATCCCTTATTCACATTATTGTTGTATTGCTTTCACGCACAAAAGAATATGGTAAAAGCATCATTGGAAATTGTGGTTTTCAAAATTTCTGTCTGAATTTGCTTTTCAGGGCATGCTTTTATATATCAGAAGGGCATTCTCACGGTATTCAAGAATTTCTGGAAGAGTTCCTTAGCAGGTGGAGTTTTGTCAATGAACAATATGTTCTTGTTGGTACAGGAGAAAATGCAGATGATGCAGAAAAATGTGATGGGCCTTTTCTTTTGGGGGTTGATAGGTATCTAGAAGTTGTTGAGGTCTATGTTTTGAAACTTCTGGCCACCAATTTGAATGATGTTGACCTTGCATCCTTTTGGGTCGAGAATGCTAAATTACCTGAGGACAGAAGACAGGTAAGTAATCTATGCATCATATGTTTGATTCTGTACCGCGAGTAGATTGAAGTGGTAATATTGATTAAGTTCACTCTATGTCTATACAAATTTCAACTTTTTTTGCTTTCTGTTTTGTTTTTTCTAAAAGACCTTTCTTTGTGAAATTGGATGGAAAAAACTTGCTGTGGGGTTTAGATTATCTTTCTGACGTGTAAGTGAGGTTTACTATATGGTATGGTACTACAAATAGCAGTCTCGTGCTAGCAAAACTCTGTTGTCTACATCTGATGTGACTGTGATTCAGAAGATAATATCTCTACAATGTTAGAAGGGCAACTCCTTTTCTGCCCGCTGAAAGGGTCTTTAAACGCAAGTATACAAGACATTTTCTGGTTGAACTTAATGCCTATATAACAAGTTGAAATCATGTTACATATCCTATTCTTGTTTGATTGTTAAGTAGTGACGCCGCTGGATGTCGCAATACATTCAGTGGTCCAAACCTAAGCTGTTATCGATTTGAATCTCTTAACACATATCCTGGTGGTAATCATATGCAGTGAGAATTGTTTTTTTTTTTTTTTTTTTTTTTTTTGTAAAAGTTTTAAATTTTTTGAGAACTGGAAACTGTCCAAATAATGCAAGACCTTTCACTTTTTATATTAGCCTATTATGGGAGTTAATATGTTTGTGCCTTTTGCATGGTGAGTAGTACTCCTTATTGACTACAATAATTATGGCTTACTCACTTATTGAAGAAATTTTCTTCCCATGTGATATGAGACTGTCCTTTAACTTCTTTCTTTTTCTAATTATTGACATAATGCTGAGTTGTTTGAATTTAACTTAGTTTAAAATGGTATATTCAGTTGATTGAATTCGTAAGTTAAAAGAAATCATTTCACTTCAGTTTCTTCCATGTCTTTTCCTAGGTACTTCTTAGAAGATTACACTCACTGCATTCTGTTAAAGCCACTACCTCATCACAAGGATCCTTCTCATCTTTGCTGGCGGATGAAGCTCATTCAACATGTTTGAAGGAGATAGCTGTGCCGGACGGATATCCAAAAATAAGTACCCTCCAAATGGAGAGACTGCTAAGAACCCAGCAGTTTTAAATTTATCTAAAAGATTGGAACCATGTGTCTGATGGTTCCATTCCATACCATCCCTCTGAAATTTAGTAGTGCTCGGGTGGTAATATCAAATGGAAAGATTCTCCTGGGCTTCTTGATTCTGCTCATATATTATGTTTTCCGGAGAAAAGAAGCTACCTTGAAGAGGTGAGATATTCTCTCTTCATAGTCAACATGCATGCGTTCAATGTCCATGGACGTGATATTTGCTCCATTAACTCACATTCATCATTTAAAATAGTTGTCATCTGGAGATGGATGGTGTGAAACACTTGCTTGCATTAAATTAATCAATAGCCTTATTTTGGTAAATGGACCTGTTGTATGAAATTAATCAATAGCCTCTTCTGGTAAAATGGATCTGTTGCATGAACTTAATCAATAGCCTTATTTAAACCAATAGGATAATACTGAAAATGTGTTAATATATCTGATTCGCAGGACCTCTTTGAATTTGATTTCTCCTAAGGACACTTGTTTACTAGATATATATGTTGCATCTCCATCTTTGTTTTTCAATTTACCTAAATGGAGAATGCACTCATAGACTATACAGATTTTTTGATCAAATTATGTTTCATTTAATAATAGGTGTGATAATTTGTGTTTTTTCTTTCCCCTGAGCATTTTTCATTAACACAGAAATTTTGTACAAATGTATTTCTTTGAAGCAGAATTGTTCAGAGACGAGCTTTATCAATGAAGAATGCTCTGGTAGACTTATGGCAGCTTGCATTTTCATACCAGGTGAATCCTTTAGCTGCTGTTCAACCTCTTGCAGCTACAACGAGGGCGGGCCAGTGATAAATTTTTAAACATTTTCCTTTGAGGATTCTTTGCTGTAAAAACCAAGTGCCGACAGTAGAACATTCTCTTATGTGAAAGTGCAATTATAGTATGAACAAATCCTGGTACGAGTGATTGCGCTCCTTTACCAGTGCAATGTAGCTTCAGACGTTTGGATTAATAAACCATGTTGTTTTTGCTTTGGTTGGTTTTTTTAGGTCACAGGTAGATGAAAATGATCTCTTGTTCATACGTTTCAAAGCAACTCCACCCATTTGTCCTTAGCCATGGCAAAGGGGGAGCTAAGGCAGTCATTATTCACGTGAATAGTAGTTGCCCTTGCAAATAGTATTTTCCGTTTTCACCCGTTGCCATGGCAAATGGCAATTACTATTCATTTTTTAATTTTTTTCACAACTTTTTTTACCTCAATAATTAATTTGGATAATATTTTCGGATAAGATTTTCGGGTTCTTACGTGTCAATACTATTCATATCTCATAATCGGATAAAATTTCAATTTCAAATTTCAAATAGAAAGATAAAAAAAAAAAAAAAAAAAAAAAAAAAAAAAAAAAAATTAGTATTTATAGAAAAAAATTCATTAATTTTTGAGTCTTTTTTAAAAAAAATTTCAGAATTTTTTCCAGTATTTTATTGCAAAAAAATGGGCTGCCGTTGGATTGGAGGAAAAAATCAAATCGGAGAGCCTAGACGACACCACGTGGCAATATGAAAATAAATCAGTGTAGTACTGTAGCGGTACTGTAGCGATGACGTCAGCACATCACTCGTTTTGGACCTCGGGCCAGACCGAGTTCGTGGGATCCACCCACCCCCCCTTGGGGCCTGGGCTCACCGTTGGAAACAGCTTTTTGTATTTTTTTCCCCCCCAACCTTGGGCTCAGCTCATTGCTGGAACTGCTCTCAGAGATGAACAATTTTAAATTAACGAAACATTATACAGAAAGGCCGCAACATAAAGAAAGAAAGAACATCCATGGCTTTTGTAGTGGTAATTCTATTGCATCATACGAATTTCCTGAAACACACGAAAATGGGGTAATTCTATTGCATCATACATTTAACCAGCTTCATTTAGCTTCATTTAACCGGTCCATTATCATTTGTTTGCCAAGTTTTCTGCAGCGCTTCATCTGTTATATAAATTTTCAGTGAGCAATTCCCAAATTATATCTCTCTTTTCAATTCTTTTTCTAGATTTGCAAAGTGACCATAATGCCTTGAACAAGAGCATCTCACTTGTGTAGCCGATAAGGAGGGAGAGGGAGAGAGCGAGTGGCGGCGGATAAAAGCCCAACATCTGGTGCGGGGAAGGAGTATGATAAGTTTTAAGTATTACCAATAGGCTTAAAACGAGATAAAACAAGATAAGGAAACTATAGAAGAGAACTTTGGGCAGCATTTATCAGGATTCATCATTGGACTGATTCCAATTTCTGTTTTTCTTGTGTTTACTAAAATATATTGGTATTTTGAGTTATTCCAAAACCTGACTTCCCTTGCATTTACTAACACATAAGGAAACTATAAAACTTTAAATAGAGAACTTTGGGCACCTTTTATCAATGACCATTGGAGTGATTCCAATTCCTATTTCTCTTGTGTTTACTAAAATATGGGTATTGGAGTTATTCCAAAACCTGACTTCCATTAAATTTACTAACACATGAGGAATCAAAAAATTATGTAGATTCTATGTTAAATCTGTAATCAAATATCCTAAAAAATATGAATGGGATTAACAAGGGGGAGTAGTTAATCCAATTCCAATTCCCTTATTTCCCTATCTAAGTTCCCTGATTTATGGCTTCTCTTCTTAATTCCTGATAAGTAAATATATTGTTCGGGCCCACTTATTTAGCGGAGGCTTTCTTTTGGGGTAACTTGTTTTTTATTTCCTTGTTAAAAATTGGTTATATCAATCTTAGTAAGATTTGGTTTTCTTTTACCAATAGGATTTGGATGACTTGTTTTAGTATACTTTTTGGGAGCCTATAAATTCAGAGATTTAAGTTTGGGTGTTTTAGAACACAGAAGAGAGACAGTGAGAGCCAAAAGGTTTGAGAGTGATCTTCACGGGTTTAAGATACAGTGTACGAGCTCAGGTATGGGACTAAAATATTAAGTGGCTATTCTTGTTCTTATTTTGTTTTCTCATACATAGTCTCTCAATGATCTGAACCATTTATTTATTTTTGTGTCCTCATTGAATGATCAATGACAGCACAAAATTCATTTAAATCGACAATCCTTGGATAATCAAACTATTTTGCCAAATTTAGGAAGACAAGGGGGAACATAGTATTAATAAGCATATGGCAAACGTTGATTGGGCCAGTTGGCCATAACAGTGAACTTGCCGTCTTACACCCAAATTCGAGCCCCCTTCCACGGAGATTAGATTAATTTAGAGTAGTTTACTGTTTGTGTCAAAAAGTATTAATGCGAATATATATATATATATATATTCAAATTAACATGGTGACATATACATATGAATAAGAGCGTTGAAGTGTTAACCAGTTAGTTGTTAATATAACTACTAAATTAGTACTCATTCATGTTCAATCCATTATGTTATATCTCATGATCTACACTGTTCAATTTTTAGGTCTTCATTCGATGACGATACTTGCACAAATCAACCAAATCAGAAATCAGAATGCGTTCAAGTAAGTTAATATACTCTCTCTCGTTGATCATCGTTCATTCAAAACAGTTATAATTGTATAATCAATAGAAATTTCATGCCTCAAATCAATAACTACCGAGTAAAAAATTTATATCATCTAAATGACTTCATATAACTTTATGGTACACAGGTTGGAGATGGCGCATTGCCACCAAAGAAATAAAAGGAGAACAGAACCTCTCCATTGCTACCTGTTGACCTACCAAAGAAATAAGAGGAGGAGAGTGAACCCCGTAAAAGCATCAGAGCTTCCCTTTGATGTCATCACTGAGATTTTAAGCTGCTTGCCTGTGGACTCTTTGCTAAGGTTCAGGTGCGTCTGCAAGCAGTGGTTTTCGTTGTTTCAAGACCTCCAGTTCATTGCAAAACACATGGATCGAGTCCGTCCTCTGCAATTCTCCTATGCATTAATCAAACAAGAAACTAAAAAATTAGAAGCTGTGGTTGATGAAAATTTCAAGGTCCTTGAGGTTTGTTCTGGCTTGTTTTTGGAGAAGAGTCTTAATTCTCAAGTTTGCCGGATCAGAAATCCCGCAACTCATCAAGTACTTTACTTGCCTAATGCACATGACAGAGCAGAAATAAAGGACTTTGTTTTTAATCCATCGACTCATGAGTGTAAAGTGGTATGTGTTGGAGAAGCTGGTTTTCAAGTCATAACTGTTGGAAAGGATGAGCAATGGAGACCTCTGAAGCGCCCTAACCAAGATGTGCCTCAACAACATAGCAAGAAAGCACTAAACGTAAAATATCTGAAAGCAACTAACAAGGCAGAAGGGATTGGTCATTTGGTTATATTTATCGTCGACGGGAACAATTTGTGCCTGGAAATTCAATCTCTTGATATCTGGAACGAATGTTTCACTACTACTGCGGTGCCCCGGGGATTTTTAGTAGATTTGCGTAAAGTTTTGATTAGCTATTGGAATCAATGTGTAGCTTTTGCAGAAATCGCAGAGGGAAAGTTTAACATGTTGGTGTTAGAGGACGTGAAGGAGCACAAATGGAGTAGAAAGCAGATCACTGTTCCGTCGGAATTTTTAAAGGATCAGAATCTTCCGAATAGGAAAGCTAGTAAATTTATTGTGTGTGACATGAAGAGGGGGATAATTAAGGAGGTCATGTATTTAGAGAATGGGAAGAAATATTTAACTTCAACGCAGTACAAGCCAAGCCTGATAGCTCTTAAGGGAATGCAATCAGAAAGGGCTGGAGTGGAATTGGAACTATGATCATGTATATAGGCATATTAGCAACTTGGTGGCGTAGCAGGAATGAAAACTGAGACAGCCCATCTCCAATTCCATTATGCATGATGAGACGGCCACAAGCCTGGAGATTAGGTGGCTGGGAATATGGTGGTGCTCTGGTGGTTTGATAACACAATCAATTTTGGGGTTTTTAGGTTACACTCATAATTATTATTTAGGGCTTCTTAAATCTAGGTCCAAAATGATTAGCTGTTATTGGGTTTAGTCCATGCATTTTTTGTTTTAGATGTAGGTCCTTAGACATTTATTACTTTTTTTGTTATTTCGATTTTACCCTTCGAGTTAAATAAAGAAAACACATTGAAAATTTGAATTTGATGCATTATTTCGTTGTAATTGAATTTCAAAATTTAAATTTTGAAATCTTTCCTTTATAATATTGACCTAATATATGGATAAAATATAATTTAATCAATGAAAAGCAAAGACCCACATATTATACCAATCGATTTAATAAGCACCCACATGAAATTATGTACTTGCCATATATGCAAATAGTGTTATTATTAGCAACGAAAAAAACATAGTGATAAATCGTATTACCCATAAGTCAGGAACATAAATTAGAAGACTACCTATAAGTTGGGAACATAAGTTAGAAGACTACTTATAAGTCAGATACAAAAATAGACAAATAAAATTATATGTTACCTATAAAAAATAAAATTAAATAAAAATAAAGCTTAATTACTGTTTCACCCCATGGAACTAGGGCTAGCAATGGATCATGTCGTGTCGAGTTTGTGTCGTGTCAGGATTATATACATGTTAGGAATGCTCAACTCAAACCCAACCCGTTTAATAAACATGTCGTGCACAGGTTGACCCGTTAAGTTCTCGTGCGGGTTTCGGGTAGTGTCGTGTTGACTCGCTAAGTGGTCGCAACTAGAAGACATTAAAAAAAATAGAAAAATGAAGAATAAACAAATAAACGGGTTAGTGGGTTGGCGGGTTACATAGGTATTTAAGCGGGTTAATAAGCATTTTAACGGGTTGGTGGGTTGACCTGTATGACTCATTTTGTTAAATGGGTTACATAGGTATTTTAGTGGGTTAACCGGTTGACCGAAAACTCACCGTTTATTAAACGAGTCATGGCGAGTTGACCCGAAAATTACCCGAATTTTAATTGTGTGGGTTGAACCCTCTAAATTCTCATCCGAGTTTCGAGTCGTGTAACGGGTTGTGCCAGAAATTCCCACCCCTACCTGGAATGGACGCTCGGTCTCACTTTACCACTTGAAACTGAAATTTTCTCAATTAACCCCCTGAATCTCTAAAAATTGCTGAAATTTTCTCACTTTACCACTTCCTTCCACAAAATTGTAAAGTGTGCTGACGTGACATGGAATTTTAGTAATTTTACCTCATCTATCGTTTCTCTTTGCCTCTTTCTCACTCACACTCCCACCACCTCTCTCGTATCTCATCTCCCCTCCACTCCTCGACCCTACCCCCATTGCACCCCACCCCCTCCCTCTCGTCTCTCTCCTCTTCTTTCTTCTATCTACCTCTATCCCCTCCCCTCACTAAACCCAGCCTCCACCCCAAACCTAACCCCCACCCCAGACCTAACCTTCCTTGGAATTATTCAACAAACCCAAACCACCATCACCCACCACCTTAGCTACCACCACGCACCATGTCTTCTCAAGAGACACCACCTCGTGACGTAGGGCTCGTCAATGGGCTTGGGCTGGGCCTGGCCGAGCCAGGTTTTTTTAGAAAATTCAAAGCCCAAGCCCGACCCATGGGCCAGGCTTGAGAAAGCCCATCGGGCCGGGCCGGGCTAAGCCCAACGGGCCTACTTCATTAAAAAAAAATCATAAACTTAATCATAAGGGCATTTTAGTCCAAATTTGAGATTAAACTCACTTAATTCCAATATTTTCACATCAAACCAAATTCATAAAACACCCAATAAAGTCACACAACTTAATAAGATTTTCCACACAAATAATAAAACCAAGTATTATTTTTGAGGTTCTTACATAATTAGACCGTAATACATTTTAAAAAATAATAAGTATAAAAAATAAAAAAAATAAAAAAATTTAAGGATGGTATGAATAAATATGCAAATATTTGGTGATGTGTTCAAGAAAAGCATGATTATATTTGATGGTATGATTATGTTTCGTGATATGATTATATTTGGTGATGTGATATGTTGTTCATCTTATTTATATATATATATATATATATAATTGTTGAATTAATAATTGACACAAATTAATGTGCTAATCATCCAATTATAAACTAGAAATGAGTAAAGAAAAGTAAATGAAATGAAACAAATTATATATGTGATTTAAGTGATATAATCATAAACCTAAACTCTTATATATACATAATTGTATATGTATGCGGGCCTAATGGGCCGAGCTTTTGTGGGTGGGCCAGGCTGGGCTTTCTTGGGCTTAATCAGGCGGGGCCTATGGGTTGGGCTTAATCAGGCCGGGCCTATGGGTTGGGCTGGGCTTTAGACACTCAAGCCCAAGCCTAGGGTGGGTCGGGCCATCTCAAAGCCCATAACGGGCCGGGCCGGGTTTTTTTTCAATGGGCCGGGCGGGCCCTCATCAGCCCATGAGCCCGTGGCCCAAATGATGAGGCATATCGTGAGGCAGAGACATAGAGACGGTGCTTGCTTAGATTAGGGCCATGCCGAGAATAGAGCTGAAGACTATGGTTGCCCAAATTCTAACTTGTACAGGCATGAAGTTATTGGTCTCATCTCACATGCCCAAATTTCGCATTGGATTCCATTTTTGCAAGCTAGGAAACTCCACTACGATTTGCAAGCTTTCTAATGCTTCCAATTTTGGGCCTTTGGGGCTGGTTGGATAAGGAGGGAAAGTTTGTCATTGTGGAAGGGCGGGTATAGGGCAAAGTTTGCTGAAGAGAATATGGGGAGCAGCTGTCGATGAGATTTTTTTTTAATTTTGAGTTTAAAGATTTTTTTAATATATCTCATTTTCAATTACTCATCACACACAAGGAGATAAAATTACTAAAATGTCCATGCCACGTTAGCACACTTAACGGTTTTGTGGACCGAAATGGACGGAAGTTGTAAAGTGAGAAAATTTCAGCAATTTTAAGTGATTCATGGGGTTAAGTGAGAAAATTTCAATTTCCGTTTTAGGAGGTAAAGTGAGACCGAGCGTCCGTTCCAGGGAGTGAAACAATAATTAAGCCTAAAAAATAGGTATATAAAATACTATTACACATTGTCAAAAGAAAAAAAAAAAAAAAAAAAAAAAAAAAAAAAAAAAAACATATACCTATGTGCAATAGGACAATATACCAACACCATAGAATATGGATATGTTAACATAGAAAAAAATAGATGAAGAAAATAAGAAGATGGAGAACGGAGAAGAAGGGAATAAGAAATGGAGAACAAAGAACAAGAAAGCAAAAGATGGAGACAAAGAACAAGAAAGAAAAACGTGCAGATGGTTATAAGTTAAATTCAAGGAGAAGTTGCATCTCAAAAATAATAAATTGTCCTAAAATTATGGGATTTATTAGCCTATGTATATCCCTATATTAAAATCATAATAAAATCTCATAATTATTGTCCTATAAATTAATTTTTATAAGATTTATCCTTCAAGGGCATAATAGGAACAACTACATAATCTAAAAATAATAGGGTTAAATAATTTTTTGGTCACTGGGTTTTACACGAAAATTTAATTTGGTCACTAGGAAAAAAATTTAGCCAAATTGGTAGCTGTGTTTCCCAAAATTTACAATTTATAGACATTCCTTTAAGTGCATTTGTTATTTTTATTTTGTTTTAGGAAGCACGTCCAGCCTTCTTCCTATAACTCAATTAGGGTTTATAAATTGGGAGAAATCTTAGGTTAAAATCGAAATTGTGAGGTATAAGGAAAATCGAAAAACCAAACAAAATTAAAATGAAATCAGCAACTTACCAATATATTCTCAAAATTAAAAAAATTAAAATACCTACCAAAATATTTTGGTGCTCTATATAACCTTAATTACGTCTTCTTGCCATACGAGTCACAATGTGGTTCTCACTCAAACAATTCAAGCTTCAATATAGCATCCAATATGTGACCTTGTAACTCACACTTTCGATTTCAACCCAATATTTCCCTCAATTTGTTAAACGCTAATAGTGTTATAAAACTAGATGGAGAAAATGTAGAGAGAAGTGATATGCTAAAGATAAAGTTTCACCATGTTTATTCTTCACTTAATCTTTGGTAGAACAACCTATTTATAGGCTTACAAGATAGGAGATTGAATACCATCATTTACAATATACCTATAGGTTACAAGCACTAATTATAAATACTTAGTGCATAGGTTACATAAAATTCAACGGTGGAATACTAAGAAGTATGGTGGTCATCTACCAACTCAAGCATTTACAACACTCCCCCTTGGACGTCCACCATACAATGACATAATTCCCTCATTAAAAACTTTGCTTGGAAAACCCAGTGGGACAAAACCAAAGCGAAGGGAAAATGAGTGAAACTTTCTTCTGGATCATTGATATGGTGTTGGATACGCTTATGTTGCCTCGTTAAAACCTTGCTAGGAAAAACCTAGTCGAAGGGAAAAAAGTACAACGCGCATATGTCCTGTATGTAGTAGAATTGGGATGCTCCCCTTGATTAATATCTCCCCTTCTCTGATTTGGGCAATACAAGCAACATTGTCTTTATACATGATCGTCTATCACACTATTCGATCTGCTTTTCACTTTTCAAATGATTGAAATCTTTAGGAGCATCAACAACTAATTTAATAGTTAGAATATGTTACAACAATATCAAATTTGAATTCAAAATACTCAAACTCTTAATTAAGAATATTGTGGTACTTTATATCCTTCAAGGGATCACTTCATCCGATATATCTCAAGTATTTTATGAGCTTTGAGGATTTCCGTGTACCATATAGTCTTAATAAATATGCATTTAACACATGCTATAAGTTTCGCGTTAAAATAACAACTGCACTTATAGAAATGTGGATGCATCTACGATGAGATGGGAGACTAAAACCATGTCTCTACCAGGAAACCTTATGTCATATTAGTGATCTTATTTCACTTCACAAACACCAATTCGTAACCTTCATACTTAACATTTGTAATTTGGTGTTTGAGTTATAGATTCAATATCCAACCCTCCTTATTTAGTGATGAATGGAATTGCCTATTTCCATTTTTGGCCAATCACTTAACATGCAACTAACGAGGTTTTAACGAAAAAAAAATATAATAAATGAAGCTGGTTAAACTGTTGGTCCGAAAATCTAAATTCGGTTTGGCTAGATAAAGTAATTACTAAAATATACTATCCAATTTTTCAATAATGTAATAAATAAAAAATTCAAAATTACACACATTGCCAAACCTATTTTAAAACTTTATTTAAAGTCAATCACTCTATGCCACATGTCCGGCGAGCCGCCACCATCGCCCATCGCCAGCGACCAACTCCGGCACCCTTTATTCACCCTAAAGAAAAAGAAAATTTTGTATACTATCCAATTTTCCAATAATGTAATTAAAAAAAATTCAAAATTACACATATTGCCAAACCTATTTTAAAACTTTATTTGAAGTCAATCACTCTATGCCACATGTCCGGCGGGTGGCCACCATCGCCCATCGCCAGCAACCAACTCCGGTACCCTTTATTCACCCTAAAAAAATAGAAAATTTTGTGTACTTGAAGGGACTCGAACCTTGACCCTCAAAAAAGGAAGCCTCAATCACAAACCACTACACCCACCTTTTTTTTTTGGTCAATACACCAACCTTGTTTTTGTGATATTTGTTCAGTTACACAATATTTATATTAAAAATTTATAAATAAACCCAATCCTAGACATGTATTTATAAAAAAACCCAAACACTATTTAAACATAGAAACACACCCAAAATCAACAATTGTATATTTTTTGGGTGTGTTTATCAATGGATTTTGAGTGTGTGTAATGATGGGTTTTGGGTGTGTTTATAAAGTGTTTTGGGTGTTGGGTGTAAGGAATAAACGAAGAAAGTATTTGCTTGATTAGTCGGTTGCTTGGAGGTGAAGAAAGAATCAAATCAAAGGAGATATCTATCATATTCTGTCATGGATTCTAGAGGCGATTAAGGCATGATTTATGTGTTCTTTATGGGCAAGAAACCTAGGTCACTCACCTATAAATACAAGGCTTAGATCCCCAGACTCATATACAACTCAAGCACAAACCCTACCCTAAAGGCCTTTGCTTGTTGCTCATGAGTATGCTAGTTGATCTCCATGGCTTCTCAAAGTTAGTACTTATAGTTTGTATGATTTTATAGTCTTACATGTGGTATCAGAGCCTAGGTCATGCATCTATAGGCCTAAATCGAGATACAACATGAGAAGTATGCATGGAACTCTTGACTGGTTTTTAAGTTTTTGCTTCATGTGTTGCCTTGATATGATTGTCTACTAAACTCAAGATTAGAACTTATATTCTGGGACTGCTAAGCATGTTTTGAAAAATAAACCATGTTATATAGTTTATGTATCTGCAAATCTGCATAGGAGCATGACTAGAGTTAAAACCACTGAAGCATGAATGTATTGAAATTCCACGTCAAGTAAACCCATGAAGGATGTCATGTTATGATACAAGACCATTGTCTGATGTTCAATCCATAGATGAGCATGAGGCAATTGTTTGAAATCATCCCAAGACTTTGATGACAGAATTGCATCACTAGACACATTGATTGAGTTCTTATGCTTACAAGTGAGAGCCTCAATCAATTGTGCCTTATGGTGGAACAAGATGACACATTAATTGCTATAAAGATCAAGATATTTTCAGTCTACATATGGGACGATCTTGATAATAATTTATTATAGACAATCTATGATGTTAGACTTGTGAAAGAAAGTCAAGTATATTTGGTATTTTGTCCACAAATGTTTATCACATATGCATAAAGCCATTTGGGGATAAAGATTAATCATATTGCATGATTTTATGTTTTTAGTTATGAATCCTACTTCTATCAATTCGATTGAACCCTTGACTGGTAGCAACTTTAAGAAGTTAAAGTGTGATTTAACGATCTCTTAGATCACGACATAGCTTTAAGAGAAGAGAAACTAGTGCTCATTGATGAGAGCGTCTTTTTCTGGTTCACCTTGCTTTGAACTCCATTCCTTCATCATATGGAAAACTCAAGGTGATTTACAATGCTCAAAAGGACAAGTGGGATCTCATGAGATCATATCAGTTTGTATTCAAGATGAGGCTCCGATCAAGAAGGAAAAAGAGGTTAACATTGTGCACCTCAACACCAATGCTCCTAAACGTCACTTCTCTAAACTAAGCTCACATACTGATGCTAACAAAGAGAACTCTAAGTGTTACTTCAGTGACAAGGCATGTCATTGTCATATGAAGAGAGACTACACTAGGTACAAGAATTGAGTAGAGAAAAAGGGAACTTTGGGTGAGTCTAATTCTGTCCTAGTTTGTTTTGAGTCTAGCACTGTCATAGTTCTTACTAACACATGGGGGATTGACACTGGATTATCAATCCACATTGCCAATTCCTTGTAGGACTTCGCAAGCCAGAAGAAACCAAGTAGAGACCAAGACCATGTGTTTGTGGGGAATGGGAAGAGAGTACTAGTTCAAGCAATAGGCTCAGTTAGGCTTCAATTAGTTTCAGGCTTTTCTTTAATTTTGAAAGATGTTGCTAATGTACCTTCTATGAGAAGGAGTTTGAGTTTTACTTATATTTAATAAAAGTTTAGTGGGCAATGGCACTTTGATTGATGGATTGTTTTGCTTGAAACTTACTAGTAACAATGTTGCTTTTACCATTGAATCCATAGGCTAAAAACAATCACTAGATAATGAGAAGTTTGTAAAACTATGACACAAAAGATTATGGGCATGTGCCTAAGAAAAGAATGAAAAGACTGATCCAAGAAGAAATTCTTCCTTCCTTGGATTTTTCAGACTTTAGTGAGTGTGTTAAGTGCATTAAGGGAAAAATGACTAACTCAAAGAAACTAGGATCCAAATGTAGTCAACAACTCCTAGAGATAATTCAAACTGACATCTGTGGCCCACTTCCAATTTAAACTCTAGGGACATAGGTACTTCATTACTTTCATTGATGATTTCTCAAGATTTTGCTATCTCTACCTCATCCCAACCAAATCCAGTGCATTTGAAGTCTTGAAAGTGTTTAAAATTGAGGCTGAAAACCAACTTGAGTTAACGATTAAAGTGTTCAGATCTAATAGGGGAGGAGAATACTATGACATATATGATGAGTAAGGTGGACATCCATCACCATTGGCTCGATATCTTTAAGATTGTGGGATAGTTGCACAATACACAAACCCTAGGACTCCTCAAGAAAATGGAGTATCTGAAAGAAGGAATAGAACTTCCAAGGTTTTAATGGGGAGATGCTATCAAGATAACTAACTATATCCTAAATAGGTGTCCAAGTCAGTGCCTAAGACACCTTTTGAGCTATGGAACAAGTGGAAGCCTAGCTTAAATCATATGCATATATGGGGTTGTAAAGATGAGGCCAAGGTTTACAATCTAGACTTGGGCAAATTAGATCCCAAGATTGTGAGCTGCAAGTTTAATGGATATGCAGAGAGGTAAAAAGGATTTTGTTTATGTTGTCCCAATCACACCAATATAATTGTTGAGATAAGGAAGGCTAGATTTCTAGAGCATGATGAGGATAATGAAGGGGCAAACAAGAACTTTGTTTTTGAAGAAGAAGAAGAAATATGAACCAAACCTTGCAATGCAAGTAGTCCAGTTATAACCTATCCATTAACTCAAACGTTGTCACAAACGGAGGCATCAATTGAGCCTAGGAATGAAGAACAAGATGTTGGTGATATACAAGAAAAACTGCATGAAGAACAGATACCTATAGAACCACAACCATATCAACAAGAAGTTAGAATATCCACAAGGGAAATGAGGACCAATACAATGCAAGGTTTTGTCTATTTGAATGGAACAGACATTGAGGATTGTGACTTTAAAGATCCAATGAGTTACAAGCAGGCTATAGCTAGTGAACATATTGAAAAATAGCTTGAGGAAATGCAAAGTGAACTGGAGTCTATTGAAAGCCAGTAATGTGTGAGAGCTAGTTGAGTTGCACCACAGAATGAAGCTTATAAGGTGTAAGTGGTTCATGACCAAAAGAGACTCAAAGGGCTATATTGAGAGGCATAAGGCTAGATTACTAGCTAAGGGTTTCACACAATATGAGGGAATCGATTATAATGAAACTTTCTCACTAGTTTCAAGCAAAGATGCTTTTAGGATCATTATGGTATTTGTGGCACACTTTGATATGTTTTTACATCAAATGGATGTAAAAACTTCTTTTCTAAATGGTGAATTGGGTGAGGAGATCTTTATGCAATAACCATAAGGATTTGTAGAAGAAGACAATGGGCAGTTAGTATGCAAATTGAAGAAATCGATGTATGGTTTGAAACAAGCCTCAAGACAATGGTATTTAAAGTTTGGCAAGATAATTACATCATATGGTTTCATTGAGAACAGGTTGGATGAGTGCATATACTTGAAAATCAGTGGGAGTAGGTTTATCTTTCTTGTTCTCTATGTAAATGAAATTTTACTTTCTAGCAGTGATGAGAACCGCTTACATGAAAGCAAGGTTTTTCTATATATGAATTTTGAGATTTAAGATCTTGGAGAGGCTTCTTATGTCTTAGGGATTGAGATTCATAGAGATGGAGCAAGAGGGTTACTAGGCTTATCACAGAAAGCCTATATGGAGAAGTGTTGAGAAGGTTTAAAGCATTCGAGCATAAGTGCAAATTTCCTAAAAGATTGTGAGGCATGTTTTCTAGTATGGGAGAAATTGGGTTGGGTCTTGGGGTTTAGGGTTTAGGGTTTAGGGTTTAGGGTTTAGGGTTTAGGGTTTAGGGTTTAGGGTTTAGGGTTTAGGGTAAGCAAGTTGTTTATTGTCCGAAGAACTATGATGCTAAATTTCAAAAGATTATGTTACTTAATCATAGGTGGTCTTCTTTGCTAGTTCCTGAGAAGTGGTGGCAAACTCCTCATGTTGGCTTCTTTAAAATTAATGTTGATGGTGTGCTTAATATGTCGTTGGGGACACGTGGTGTTGGTATGGTTGTGCGTGATTCAAAGGATGGTCTCTGTAGGGTTGTAGCGATGCGTGCTCCAAGCTTGTTGCCGTTCTGGCCACTGAGTTGTATACTCTTAAAGCTGGCATCTCCTTTGCGGTCAATGCATCTTTTTTACCTTTACTAACTGAGTCTGACTCCTTGACTGCAACCCAATTGCTTCTCAAGGAGGAGGCATGTTATGTGGTGAAAGGGGTCCTTGTCGAGGAAATCCGATGACTTCTTACCTCAACGTTGTCCTGTTCTGTTTGTTTTGTACTCTTCACTGCTAATGGTGTTGCATATCGCATTGTGCACTTCAGTCTTAGTCAGGAGGACCTATCTTTTTGGTTTGATGATCCACCCCCTTTGTTGAGGGATTGTCTTCTTGAGGACTGTCCTATTAGTTTTGTTGATGTTCGACTCTCTTGTAGTCTGTGGCATATCTGGTACTCTTTCCTACTCTGGGGTTTTGTCCCTCTAGATGTTTCTTAAGAAGTTTTAATGAGGCCACCTATATACATGTTGATGCATCTTGTAACGACTAGATTATCTAATGAAATCTTATCTTCTAAACAAAACAACTTTGAACCATACCTAATTAGAAGGTAAAATTGAAGCTCACATATGACTAGCATTTTACCTAATGAAGAGGTGGACAAATGCGAACTATATATCTATGTTGGTTGGTGGTAGATGATCGAGCGTACAATCAAGATTAATTGATATGAAAGTTAGTCACATAATCCTCCATAGATCCCGTCAAAATAATAATAATAATAATCCTCCATTGATATGATCTTGAGAGACAAGCCTTGCCAAAACCTTTTCTTACCACAAAATAGTTGAAGCAACTAATGCTTTAAAAATTATTGAGGGATATAGGCAATAATAATATCCATAATCAATTACCTTATAAGTAGAATATCACTTTTATAAAAACTAAAAATGCAATTGTAAAAAATAAAAAATAAAAAGCTTTCAGTCCTGCGTAGCACGCCTGAAGGCTTCTCACGCATGCAGAGAGGCTAGTACTTAAAAAGTGTAAGGCAAAACCCAATCTATAGGTTGCACTACTAAAAAAAAGGCAAAAGACGACGGGAATTCACTGTCGTGTATTCGGTTTTCAAATCATCGTGAAATCGACCGACATCTTTTACAAAATCAAACGACTACGGTAAATCCCCGTCGTTGTTAAAAGAAACAACGTCATTAACAACTAATAACTGACGTTTGTGTATTGAAAAATGAGCTAAAAAATAGTCAAGGATAAGAATAGACGACCAATTCTAACAAACAAACGTCGTTTAAAAGGCAACATATGACATATTTTAACAGAACATGGCCGCAAGAGATACATACAACGACGAGAACTAAAACCCACAGCCGTTAAATATACGTTTCACGACACATACAACTATGACGTCTTTAAATACATAATCGACGACGTTATTGATTCCTACTACGTCACCACAGTTTCTACAACCGTCGTGAAATAAATTTTCCACTTCGATTTTTCCATTAATAATGACATGGAAATAGATGTTATGGTCATTACTTACGACACATGTATTTCTACAGACGACGTTGTACTCAATAAACAACGTCATATCCAAATAAATGAGAGCCGTATTACATAATTTATACGTCATCTTTTAAAATATAATCATTGTCTAATGCATCTGAAACGACAACATTTCTCAGTCGATAGCCGTGTAAAACTATTTTAACGACATGATCTGAAAATAAACGACATGGAAAATATGTTAGGGTCATTACTTACAACACATTCATTTATATAGGGGACGTTGTCGTCAATATACAACGTCGTTATCATGTGAAGGACAGCCGTGTTTCAGAATTTATACGTCATCATTACTAAAATTACAATCGTCTAATGTCTATGAGACGACGTAGTTTATCCGATATTCACCGTGTAAAGTCATTTTAACGACATGATCATAAGAAAAGAGACGTGGATACATTCATATAACGTTGTTTTTGTAAAGGAACGACGTCCAAATATACCTTTACGTCGACAAATTTACCAATGGATTTCAAATACCGTCGTGAATTAATCCTTTTCCACTTCGTTTATAAAAGAACAAGCGACATGGTAAAATTAAGACGACGATTTTTGATTTGACACGGACGAGTTCATAATCTAAGACGTTGTCTTTTGTAACGTTCAGGTTAGATATCTTGTCTTTTAGATGTCGGTATTATGGGATTGGAGTCGTGTTATTTGGAATTACATGTCGGCTCTTTATGCTTCTCCGACGTGATATCCTTAATAACTGTTTCACAATAGCGTCGTGGTTCTTCATTGTTACGTTGCTTTAAGACGTCGGTAAATATATTGCGGTCGTTGAATGCTCCAAAATGTCATTTTTTTATGACAATTTTATAAAAACAGACATATGTTTTTCACATTTTTATCAAGACCGTCGTGTTTGTAATCTTGAACTAGTATTTTTTGTACTGATTGTTTTGTGGCCAAAACCTGAATAATGAAAGTGAAGAAATCACATTACAATATATTACAAAATTAATGTCATACACTGCCATTTAGGGCACAAGTAATTTCATAAATTACATAAGCATCATTCAATCCATATATCTTCACACCCATCTCGAATATTTTGACTCCCAAACTCACACACCAGTTCATCAAATGTGTCAACATTTGGCATCCCTCTAGTAAATGGCTCACACTCAATTCTCACATCACCTAAGACATCATCACCAATAACATCATTATATTCTCTATTAGGCATTGATAACACTACCGACCAACCACGATGCATCCGGTCGTTAACAAAAAATACTTAAAATGACGATCATTTTAAAAACAACTTAGAACACCTTTCAGATGACGCTAGGACGACTGACGAACCGTCGTGGTCTATAAATCTAACCACGTAAATAAGAAGCTACCGTAGTCTTATTTAGTTGAAGTAGAATAAACAGAGTTGTGTTCAAAGTTGGAAACTTTCCCTCTTTGTGTGTATATTTTATCAAACTTGGACAGAATTAAAATGATTTTGGCCAGAAAAAAGGTAAAAAGATTTTCAAAACAAAAACCGTATGAGCATGTAAAACAGCAACAAAAATAGTGAGAAATGCTTACCTTTTGTGTGCAATGAAAGCTTTCTCTCGGAGTTTGGTGTTTAAGTTCAGAGACAACGACGAAGACGAGAGGAAGACGATGAGATACACCGACAGTGCTTTGAGAAGGAAAAAAGACGAAAAGTTTTCTCTCGGAGCTTGAAATTTTTTCTCGAGTTTGGAAACAGTGCAAGTGTAAGTCAGGTAGACGAAAGGTTGAATATATTCACATACCGTTTCATAAAATGACACGATTAATAGAAAGCGCCCTAGTATTATATATTAGACGTCGGTATATGTTTCCACCGCCCTAGTAAATTTTTTTAATGACCCTTAGTTTTCATAAAATGTTGTGTTTATATATAATTCCACGACGATATTATCTTCAATGTCGGTTTTTTCATACAGCGTCTTGGTTAATTATGTTTATACGACCTCACTTTATTGTTAACCGACGTCTATGTTTAAGTTATACACTTTGTTGATTTATATTTTCTGATCAGTAGAGATTTGCCTTTCAAATTTTGCTCCTATTAAATATTGATCTGTGGATGTGCAAGAGCTTGAGAACAAGAGGAAGGAGAGGGCCCAGCTTGGCAGTAGTTCTTTATGATAGATATTAAGAAAGATATTACCAAAATAAAAGAAAAATTAATAAATTTTAAAAGGCAATAAAAATAAGACGGCGGTTTACAGAGACGGCAGACGTATAAATAGAAAAAAGATGACGGTAATTTGAACTTAGGACGTGGTAAATAAATACGACAGTAATGTTGTAGGTACCGTCGTAGTACACTCCAAAATAATAAGTCGATAAATTAATCTCTCGCGTCATGGTACGTAGATTTAACACGTCGTGTTTTTGTAACATATTGTCGTGTTTAAACGGCGTTATTTTAAATGTAACCGACGTGGATATGAAATTTTTTGTATAAATTGAGTTTTTTTCCACGATTTCTTTCAGTTTCAGTTTTCAATTAGGGTTTCAATTTCTTCTTGCCCTCTGTCTCACCTCTTAGGAGGCAATTGTTTTGGATGTTGATGTGTGTGTATTTGTGTCTCATTTGAGACACAAATACACATACATCATCAATCTCTAAAATATTGTCTCTCTTAATGCAAATTTGTGGCTGTCGTTGTCAAATTTTAGAGGCAATTGCTTGGATGTTGATGTGTGTGTGCGTTTGTGTAGATACACAAACGCACACACATCATCAACTTCCAAAAAATTGCCTTTCTAAATGTAAATCTGTGGCTGCCGTTGTCAAATTTTAGAGGTAAATTTTTGGATGTTGATGTGTATGTGCCTTTGTGTGTCTCAAAGACACGAAGACACATACATCATCAACCTCTAAAATATTGCCTTTTTGTGGTCCGATTATGATGAGGAACAGAGTTCCATCTGGTAAGATTTTGTAACTCTTGGGATCTCAGATCTAATTCTGTCCGCTGTTTTCTATATAAACCGTGGTGGTTATTCTCAATTCTTGACATTAAGTTGATCCACAGACGTAGGAGGACAAAATTCAAGAAAAAAAAATTACAATTTAGACGACGGTTTAGATATAAGGTCCGACGTATAAAGTTAATAAATACGACGGTAATTTTAACTTCACGACGTATATCTTGTATCTCAGAAAAATCTATTCTGTCGGCGGTTTTCTATATAAATCGTCGTGGTTATTCTCAATTCTTGTCATTAAGTTGGTCTGCCGTCATAGGATACCAAAATCTAAGAAATAAATAGTAAAAAATAATGTAATTAAGACGACCGTTTAGGTGTAAGGGTAGACGTATAATGTGAATAAATACGACGGTAATTTTAACTTAACGACATAGTAAATTTTATTACACGGCGTTAATTGAAGAAACTAACGTGGTTAGAGTTAAAGATACCGTCATAGTATGAAACATGAAATAAGTCGATAAAATTATATTTTACGTCATTGTACATGTATTTAAGACGGAGGTATTTTGTAATATACCTCCGTGGATTCTTTTGAAATTATGCGACGCCGGATACGAAAACTTGGTCGTGGT